ATCGCTCGGGACGAGCTCTTAGAAGGGAGAATACCGGCCGCTATCGACTTAGCRAAGCGTATACGTAGCGTATATAAGGAGCTTACTAAGCGATAGCGTAAAGCTAAAGAGTAATAGTTAAAGTACTATAATAAGAGCTATAAGCCTATAAGCTTTAATATTAGTAATCTAGTACTTCTCTCTACGAAGAACCTTAAGCTAGAGGGTAAGAAGAAGATAGGACCTAAATAGCTAGGCCTATACCGCGTAATTAACGTAATCGGGACTTAGGCGTATCGCTTATAGTTACCTACCTTAGTAAGAATCTATAACGTCTTCTACGTTACTCTATTAAAGCTATATTCTAGCCGGAAGAGTAAAGCGTAAAAGGAGCGTATACTACTCGTAGTCGACGAGGATAGGTAGTAGGAGATTAAAGAGATTCTTAATAAAAGAGTATAGAAGGGCGAAACGTTTTATTTAGTAAAGTAGCGTAGATAGCTATTAGAATATAACTAGTAGGAACCTAGTATATATATTAAAGACTACGAAGCTCTCGATAGGTTCGAGGCGTAGGCTCCGCGTATATATAGAGGCCGCGTAGTAAAAGAGGCTCGGAAGTAGAGCGGAGTAAAATAGAAGAAGAGTAATAAGAATTAAGTAGTTTTATTACGGTTAAACCTAAAGGGGATTACTTTATAGACTATATTATAAGATAGGCGTATACGCTACGTAAGCCTAGAGAACGCGCTAAGCACTCTACTCGAACTTATTCTCCTCCGCCTCGGACTTCTCGAATAGCTCGTTTCTAGTAAGGGTAGTATCGAAGGTATTAGTAGACTGCCCTATTATCTCTAACTACTATATAGACGGTTAGTATTATAGACGTATACGAGGAGTAGGCGAGATACTTATAATATAACCGACTTAAGTAATAGCTATAAGATTGTTCGTTAAGCGAGTAAGATTAGGCGCCTCGACTACGCTACTTATACGCCGTATACCCGAGGTAGGCTCGTTAATACGGATCTAAGTATCTAACTTAATACTAAAGGTATTTACCGCCGCCTTATAAGTAGCTTCCTTCTAACTGCCCTTCTACTTAGTAGTATCTACTAAATTAAGCTCTTAGGCCGTAGCTATAACGCTATCGTAGCGTAGGCGTATCGCTACCGGTACGGGTTTATACTTATAATAATTATTCCTTTAAGGGAAGTTAGCGCTACGTAAGAGAGGAGTAAGCGTCTCGAATAAGCGTTACTTACTTATAGTAGTCGTACTTGCGCTTAAACGCGCTAAAGATAGCGTTATAGCGATAGCTAATACGAAGGTATACTAACCGCGTATAGCGGCGATAGGCCGTAGGTACCTCGACGGCGCGGCGCTTACTCGCCGACGCTTAAGCGGGAGTCGCCGGCGGGTCGGGTACGCGACGCTTATAGGGAGTACGTAGCGGTATAATAAAGAGTAGATATATAGAAGAGAAATCTATAAGATAGAAAGAATATTAATAAGAGGTAGTTACTAGAGTAGGTTACTTAGCAAATAACCTACTTAGAGATCTATAGATATAAGACCCTTACGGATAGTAGCGGTAACGTATACGCCGCGTAGTAGGGGACTTATTAACCCTCTTATCGAGTAGCGGTCGTTAAGGGAATTAAACCCTCGCCTTTCTAGGTACGGTATTTAGCCTACTAGAAGGAGGATAAAGTTCCGAAAGCGGCTACTTCCTATATAGCTAGTTTAACTAGCCGGCTTTTATATAAATAGCCCGAAGGTTGCTTAGAAAATAGGTACTTTACTATATAGAGTCTACGGACCCCGAGCGCGACGTATACGACGCGCGCGCGCCTCTATTTCCTAAGCCCCCGAACTAAGGCTAGTTCGTATAGGGGGAAGGAGGTAATTATAAGGGCCGTATAAGAGCCCTTATAATAATAGGATTAATAGAGGTAGCTAGATTAACTAACCTTAGAGAAGGGAGTGTAATATAACCTAACTACTTAGCGTAGGCTTAGCGTATACATAACTCCTACGTATAGCGCACATTTAACCTATAAGAATTAGTCTTATCTCTAATCGAGTAATTACGGGTGTCTAATATATTACTACATCTTTACCCTTATAAAAGAGCTAAAGAAGCTACTAGCCGTATTAAGTTCTATATTCTATACCTAAGAGGTCTATAAATTGCTAGTTATAGCCTTATAAATTAATACCGGTAGTATAGATATTAAATCTATATAGATATAGGCAATATAAGTAATCTATTTACGGTTACTATCCTCTAGAGGCCCTAGTATTAGCTTGTTCTAATAATAGACCTTAGTAAAGACTCTTTTAGCCTTCTAAACTACTCTAATTATAAAGCCCTTTTTATCTATATTATACGTATTATATAGTAGTATCCTATACTTCTTAACCTTCTCTTAAACGAGCTTAAAGTAGCCTTTATACGATAGGCTATTATTTCCCTTCTTTCTTAAGTTATCTAATATATTAAGGTAGTAAGAGTTAAGCTCTTAATTCCTTCGGACGAAGGATCTATACTAAGAGCGTAAGGGAAGGGTTCTATAGATATCCTATATAAGGTTCCTAAGTATTAAAGGAGTAGGAGGGATTCCGTATAAAGTAAGTTTATTAATATAGCGAACTAGCGTACGCTTCTATTAGTATAAGAGCAACTATTAGTTTTCGGCTTTTTCGGCTATCGAAAGAACCTCTTTATTATACTACCTCGTAAGGGTGCTACGTATAACGCTATACTTCGTAGCTAATTTTATAAGTAATAGATTAGTTCTATCTTTAAGCTCCTTTAATGCGGCCTCTATTAGACGGACGGTTATAGCGTATTAATTCGATAAAGTGGTTAGCTAATTGGCTAAATAGGAGGATTTTGGAAATATTAGCGCATTACGTAAACGGCGCACTTGGCCGGCATGACTTCTAAAGTTGCCGACAAAGCGGATCCTCGCACGTGGCAGAACTTCCCTCCGACACCTCCCTCCGGCTCACTCCCTGTTCCGACCTGTCCTACCTAAGGTACCTTACATGTACCTATGCATCAACTCTCGACAATCCAAACTCATTACAAGTTCTCTTCCGCTAGAGTAAATACTATGCACACGACGCGGCAGCCCATCGAAGCCAAGAAGCGCCCGCATTGCAGATCGGCGCTCCACATCGATCTCTCCACCTTGGGTAGGAGTACGAGGGCAAGAGAGTTTCTCCGCAAAGTTGCATCCTCGCACAGTGCGTGCCGCATGCATGGATAAATGGTATTATCCAGCAGACTGTCCATATTTCTTCCATGTTCCGTTTGGTCTCTCTTCCAGTTTCATTTCCATCTCACATCCTTCCAAAGCCCAAGTCCAGTCACAGCCATGGCCATTTCAAATCTGCTTGCCCTGCTCATGGCCGTTGTTGGCCTCAGTCTTGCTCAGACCAACAGTTCCAACATCTTCACCAATCCAATCATTTCCTCGGGCGCAGATCCTTGGATGGTGAAGCACGACGGAATTTACTACATGACCTACACCAATTACAATAACATTACCATCCTGAAAAGCCCCAGTCTGACGAATTGGGATGATGCGGATGCCAAGGCAGTTTTCGTGCCTCCTGTATGCGATCCTACAATCTCATGTTGACAGCGATTGACAAATTCCAGCCAGGTGAGGCATATTCCACCGATTTATGGGCACCCGAGCTTCATTTCATAGATGATAGCTGGTATAGTATGTAAAATGGATCCCCAACCAAATTTAGGCTCACTTTCAGTTATAGTCATCTTTACCGCCGATCCCAACAATGACAATCCTCCCCCCGAGACCGAGAGTATGTGGAAAAGACGCTTTGGACACAAATTGCACTAACCGAACACCCAGTGCTTTGCGACTGGAATTGCCCGGCTGTCAATCACCGCATGTATGTCCTGGGATGCGATTCCTCGGACCCAATGTCTGGAAACTGGACTTTGAAATCGCAGCTGGACACTTATGACCAGTTCGCCATCGATGGGACATATTTCCAACATTCGACCGGTCTTTACCACATCTACTCGTGCTGGTTCTCGGCTTACCAGTCTTGGCCCGCCAACTTGTGCATCTCCAAGATGAAGAATCCTTGGGAGGTATCCTCCAACATTACACAGCGACAGACCATCTCGGTGCCCACTAATGCGTGGGAGAAGACACCGTAAGTGGAATGATGGGCGGAGCTTGCGAAGCCTTAACAACGTGCGAGCAAACGCAACAATTGCTGAACATCATCGCAGATACGGACGCATGGAAAATGTTCGGCTCTCCAGTAACGAAGGCCCTCAACAGCTCACAAATAGGGAAACCGGACAGCAGTTCATCATTTACAGTGCTGCTCGTAGCGACAACCGTAACTATTGTCTTGGCCAGCTCGAACTTATTGGAGATGACCCGATGAATGCTGCGGATTGGCGGAAAAATAACGATGGCTGTGTCTTCTACCAAAACGCTTTGGATAAAGCCTATGGTGTCGGTCATGCAAGCTTCACAACCAGTCCGGACGGTACCGAGGACTGGATCGTGTATCACGGCATGGAAAACCCGATAAGTGGGTGGGCGGCTAGAAATATTAGGACGCAAAAGTTCACCTGGAATGCAGATGGCTCTCCAAAGTTCCCGAGACCGGGCTATGGTCCTTACGAGGCGCCTAGCGGGCAGAATGCTAGCATGCGGATGTTGTAGATTTATACAGGAGACAACTGCTATACGCTGTTATTTGATTACCACCTACAGATTGCAGCCGGTAGGGCGGCAACCTTCAGTTTCACTGGCCCTTGTTCAGACAGCGTGTAGTAATGCTTGGTTGTTCCAAAACTTTGTGCTAGCCAAACACCCACTCACTCCCGAAACAGAGCCATATTTGAACCGTGTCGAGCGTTTACAACGACGTTGCAGCTTGCAAGCCCCGTCGTTTCACTAACGAGGACTTCCACTCGTTCCCGCTGCATGGGACACGCTACATCGTGGGAAGACCGCGAAAACGTTGCAAGGCTGGCAGTCCAGAATGTGGTTCTACAACAGCGACTACTGTACCTACTGCAGCCTTCCACTGACGCCCGTTTCAGAGCAGCGTATCACTCTTGAATCATTGCTCGAGGCGTCGTACTAGAGAGAACTTCCACTCGCGCCCGCTTCCTAGTTGCTGTGAACGACGAGTAGAGTGTGGGCGCTTCCATGGAGTCTACAGAGCCGGTATCAGGTCTCATTCCCACCATATGCGGACAGCCACTGGAGGCCGCGCTGTGAACCGCGTGTTGAGAAGAGCTGGTGCGATCTATCACTACGGTGGCCGCCGTTGCCGCTAACGAGTACTTCCATTAGATCCCGCGCGAAATCAAGCCAGAGTAGCGAGATTTCAGCCTGTAGTAGAACTCACCACCAGGGCGCGAAGTTGGTCCACGCGGGTTAGTCTGCGATCATGAGCCTGGCGGCTTTGCGATYCCGATGCTCCGCATAAGTTACTGGGAGCCGTTTCTGTTGCCGCCGGCTGCTATCGAGCAGGACTAGGTAAAGGAATGGGATGCCTGGAAAAAGTACTGCATGCTTGCAGTACGACTATGCGGATGCCAGTCTGCGTTTGAGACGAAGTCTTGCAGCTTGCTTCGAATTAGGTGTTGCTGTGGTCACAGCCTTCAGGTCAGGTCGGAAAGATCGTGTTCAGCTCGGTTGGAACAAGCGCGTTCCTGACCCGCGGATCGTGCCACCGCCTTCCATTCCACCATCGCGGACGGGTAGCGGCCGTCTGGAGCCTTTGCTTTGTTCGAACGTCAGTCGTCGAGGCCATCAAGAGGACAGTTGCACATCCTCATTTCTTAATTCTCATTTCATCGTGTTTGAAGTGATATCATGCACGTTCTGTCGAAATCATCAGCAATCGCGTGGCGGCCGTCCAACGTTTCAAAGAGTCATGTCACAACCCTTCCAGGTCCTTCCAGCCCCAGGTCCCTGTGGAGCCGATCTCGCATCTTGCTCGCCGGACGACGGCGGCAATAGGTTCTACGGCAGCCCTCCCTCCCTCTCGCAAGCATGCTTGCATGAGGTGCTAAATTGAACACGACTTGACGGAACTCGCGACGGCAGGTCAAGCGAGTTTGTATGCAGGTACTCACGACTGCCATTGTGGATTACTGCTATCATCATCTTGGGGCGGGGAAGACAAGCATGCAAGGCAGACGTAAATAGGAAGTCCTGCTGATTTTGTTCGAATTCATACACAAGGGATCCCGGCAAGGCTGCAGATCTCGGGCGGCGGACCCCGCTGTTTGCTGTATTCAAAAGAGGGAGGCAGATTTCCTGCCATCATCACAAACATAATCAACAGCATCACGGCCAAACACACCGGCGCAATGGTCGYCATTCGGAGTCTTGCATCGGTTGCACTGCTTGTGTCCAGTGCATTCGCAGTATGGCCGCTGCCTACGGAGTACTCCCACGGAGACAAGGTGCTGTGGATCGCGCGTGAGCATGTAACCGTTTCTTATCACGGAGCGGAGAATGTGAGACCCACCGTATTCTTCCAAACCGAGCAACTGCTCACAAATCTCGAACAGAACTCATCGGGAACCCAGAGCACATCGAGCAATGCAACATCTGGCAACCAGATCGTCAACAATGCCGTGGAGCGAACATTCAAGACTCTCTTCGAGCAGAACTTCTTGCCCTGGAAGTTCCACCCACGGTTGAGTAACTTCGAACCAGAAGAGGGCAGCGACGCCACCTACATCTCCTCAATCACCCTTACGCAAACCGCGGCCGATCCGGAAAACATCCTGAAGCCTAGCACTGACTTGGATGAGAGCTATTCCTTGGAGGTCACCGCAGATGGCAAAGTCAACGTGTCTGCGAAGACTTCGATCGGTCTGCTCTATGGCCTGACTACATTCTCGCAGCTCTTTTACAAGCACTCAAGCGGTACCGTCTACACCCCGCTTGCTCCAGTCTCTGTGACCGATGCTCCCAAGTTCAAGTGGCGTGGACTCAATGTCGATACATCGAGGTCGTTCAAGCCAATGGCTGACCTGTATCGCATGATCGATGCTCTATCTTACAACAAGATGAATCGACTTCACTGGCATGTGACCGATAGTCAGTCTTGGCCGCTTGAGATTGACAGTCTGCCAGAGGTTGCCGACAAGGGTGTGTATGTCAATTGGCAGCGATACACCAAGGAAGATGTCAAAGCTCTCCAACAGTACGGCGCGCTTTTGGGTGTCGAGGTTGCGCTTGAGATTGACAACCCTGKCCACACCGCCTCGATCGCTCTCTCGCATCCAGAACTTATCGCCGCTTTCAACGTCCAGCCCAAGTGGACGGACTACTGCGCTCAGCCTCCTTGTGGAACTTTGAAGCTGAACTCAACCAAGGTATACGACTTTCTGGAGAAGATGTTCGATGACCTGCTCCCACGCCTCGAGCCTTTCACCAGCTACTTCCATTTGGGAGGCGACGAAGTAAACAAGAATGCCTATAACCTGGATGATACAGTGGGCAGCAACGACAGTGCAGTGCTACAACCACTCATGCAGAAATACATGGATCGCAACATGAAGCAGGTCGAGTCTTACGGTCTCGTGCCACTGGTTTGGGAGGAGATGCTGCTGGATTGGAACTTGACTCTTCCGAAGAACACGATTGTGCAAACATGGCAGAGTGATGAGGCTGTTGCCAAAGTCGTCTCCAAAGGCTACCAAGCCTTGGTGGGCAACTCCAACTACTGTAAGCGAGTCCAATGACGGGGAGACGAAGTTTCAAACTGACAAGTATATTAGGGTATCTCGACTGCGGCAAAGGACAATTCCTGGACTTCTACCCGTCCAATGCCGCAAACTTCTTTCCATTCCAAGATTACTGCGCACCTGTGCACAACTGGCGTGCCATGTACGGCTATGATCCACTGAGTGGAGTTCCTGAGGACCTCGCACATTTGGTCCTTGGAGGCGAGACGCACATTTGGTCAGAACAGACGGACACTGAGAACCTGGATCCAATGGTGAGTAGTCTGAAGGTGCATGTCAAAATTTGGCGAAAAATTGAGCTAATCTTGTAAAGGTCTGGCCACGAGCCTGCGCTGCCGGCGAGGTCCTTTGGAGCGGTGCCAAGGATGCATCCGGACAAAACCGATCCACCGTCGAGGCTTCTCCTCGTTTCGCCGAAATGAGGGAGCGACTCATCGCTCGAGGTATCCGAGCTGATACCTCCTTCCAACCCTACTGCACGCAGAATGGGACGCAGTGCGCGTTCCCGGAGGCGTAATGTGCCGAATCGGACTGAAGCAGCATTGCTGAGAAGTTTGAGCTTTCAAACGCAAACCACGGACTTGCATCCGTGGTAGAAGATTGACCTTCGGCATAGCATTGGGTTACTGTCATATGTTGGCGTTTGTCGACGGGTGGGTTGCTTGCCGTATGAACAGTCATCAGGCTTAATGTACGCATACTTTTTAGAGCTTTGAAGAACCGTCCTTGTCATCGTCGGCTTTCTGACCGATGAAGATGTGCCCAAGACTACCCTTGCTGTCCTCGTGTGGTTTCTTTGGCTCAGTGGGAAGCCGCTCATTGCGAACCTTTTCTTCATGCCACTTCGACAAGTTGAGCGTCTCATCGACTTCCTTCGTCAATCGCGCAATCTCTTCCTCTAGCTCCTCATCTGTACGCCTCTGTTTTCCGGCGGGCTGCTCGACTTCGACATTCTTCGCAGTTCTGTAGTTCGGAGCAGTGGAAGCCCACAGCGCTTCCAGTTCATCAAGCCAACCACACGCCTCTGCAAGCTTTCTTACCCCCTCGTCGCAGTCYCCAAGTATAAGCACATCATCTGCGCTTGTGCCTAGGCCTCCCACGCGCTCCTTATTAATGAGAACACGCGGCGTGGAACCTCTGCACATTGACGGTAAGCTAGCAAATGGCTGTACTGTCAAGCTTGTTCCCATAACGATGCAAAGGTCCGCTTCGGCCGGAAGAGATCGTGCTTGAAAGAAGGCAGCAGGTAGCTGTTCACCGAAAAATACAATCTCTGGCTTGACAAGTCCCTTGCAGTCGTAGCATCGTGGGATCGTCTTGGATGCGATGTGCTTCTTGATATCCGCTTCAGGATATGGTGCTTTGCATTCGATGCAGCTTTGTCGAGCGAAAGAGCCATGCGCCTCTACGATCTTGTCGTCCGGTACTCCCGCTTCTCGATCAAGACAATCCACGTTTTGTGTGAAGTGCTTGAGCAACAAGTCTTTGTCGTGAAGGAGCCGAATGAAGGAATGCGTGATGGTCGGTCGATACTTTCCAGGGTAGATTTCATGGGCAAGCGTGTAGAAAGGCTCGGGCTTGTCCCTAAAGTAGCTGATATCGAACACAGCCTCTGCATAGGGAAGGTTCAACCGTGCAAGATTTGCATACAGTCCAGTATCGGGAGATCGAAAGTCGGGGATTCCTGCTGAAGTTGATATGCCAGCTCCAGTCATAACCACAATCTTCCGCGCCCGACCACTTTTGATGTATTCTCCAACAGCCTCGATAGTCCTGTYGGTTAGAGCCTGTGGCTCGACCGACTCGTTGACCGGCGAGCTCTCCTCATTGCCCATCTTGAAGGAACGTCCGACACTTCCGCGCGAGCGATTGTTGGACTTGTCAGTCTTTCCGCCCTTTTGGTTGCGGTGGTTCTTATGTTTTCGCCCTATGGCTTCCTGATTGTCCCGCGAAGCTGGACAGCGGAGTTTATTGTGTGTGGATGAAGTCTGCGATGGATGAACAACCTGGTGGTGGTGTGGAGAAGAAAAAGAAATGTCAACCACCAGAACGTGGCAAAATATCAAGACCACGAGCTTGGAGATCGATTTCCCCTATGATCGCTTCGAGAACGTTCACTTTCGCTTGTGATAAGGCCTGGTTGGTAAGATGTGGTTCGTCTCCTCTGCAGCCGAGTGATTAATTCCGAGCAGGCGCGATGACGTAGCCCTTGCCTTTCCTTTAAAGTTCAGGTCCGATTCACTTCCTTTCACGTGCAAGGAGATCAGCACAATACATAAACTCATCTCATTTTCGGAAAGCGGATACTATTCTTGGCATATCTGTTGTCTTTCAGGTCCTGCGAGGTACGCTGCTCTACTTGCCAGTAGCTTGGGAAGACAGTCTTCCCCGCGCCAGAAAAGCAGCATTCACAGCTATAATGATTTGTAGTAATCGGTCATACACCACTAGGATCTTGCCATTCCTGACGAGAGGACTCGGAGAGTGGCCAGAACACCAAAATGAGCACCTCAAGCGGCTTCCTCAAGTTCAACAGCAGGCCAACCCAGCTGTATGTTACAGCAGGTATGCATTTCTCAGCCGTCACGTCCTATCTCTCTAGTAGTAACATTTTCTAGATGAAGATGAATTCGATACGTTGTTCTTGAGCTACCTCCAAGAGGAAGGCTTCAAAGCCACATATCTTCCCTACCGAGGGGGAGGTAGAGCATATTTCAACGAGCTGAAGCACCTCGCCGATGACCTAGAGATAGGTGAAAGCTATGGCATCATTGGTCAGTCTTCCTCTCCTGTCCACTACTGTATGTGGAAAGCGCTCTAACAATACCCAAGCTTTCGCCAGCGCCGCAACAGATTGTCTGGAGTTCCACATCAAACCTCAACCCAAGCTCGCAGCTCTCATAGCTTACTATCCAACCGAAATTCCGAAACCCAACACCAAGTATCCCGTGCACTTGAAGGTACTCTGCCATATAGCCGGATCTCAATGCTTCGCACCTGCATTCCCCTCGTACACCTACCAAGGAACCCTGCCTGGCTTCGCAGAGTTCGATCTCGAAGAGTACGATAAAATCGCAGCATCTCTGAGCTGGACTCGAAGTCTTACGACAATCCGAAAGGCATTTCAGGTCGAACTAGACAAAGGTCTCCAATCTGCAAAGGACGCACACGTTAGCCAGATTTGTTCACGTCACGATCTTGCCGGGGCACTCGGAACGATGGCACTCGATTGTTTCGTCAACAATGTGCCAACCATGACAGGAGGTGTTGGAAAAGAGCAGCTTTTGAAGTTCTACAAAGACTACTTCATCTCCAAAGGGCCTCCCAGTCTAACGGTCAAACTCATCAGCAGAACGCTTGGAGTTGATCGAGTCGTCGATGAGATGATTGTCAGCTTCAAGCACACGCATGATATTCCTTGGATCCTTCCCAGCGTAGCGCCCACGGGGAAACAGGTGCATATCGCTATGGTGAGCGTGGTGAGCGTGCGCGGAGGGAAATTAGTCTCCGAATCGACCTATTGGGATCAAGCTTCCGTTCTGGTGCAAGTTGGACTGCTGAACCCATCGCTTGTGCCGGAGAATTTCAAGAAGCAGGGCCTGAAGAGGTTGCCAGTCTACGAAGCTGAGACAGCAGCCAAGGTGCTGGATGAGGACAGCCACCCAAGCAATGGTCTTCTTGCAGATTGGGGCAAGCCAAGGGCGGAGAACGGGCTACCCGCGAGACCCAAACAGGCTGCCGATGGTGGGCACGCGAAGGGTTCCTGACCAGAAACGTGCTTCAACCAACCCATGTGCATGTGGGCAGTCGGTACCTGAGCAGAAGAACCATTAGCGAGATGCCAGACGGGCCGGCAAAGCAGGGACGGAAATCGGCTGCAGAACCAGCGCATCATGTGTGGATTACACTTACTCGGGAACTTCCCAGTACGACCGGCGGATTCCAGTCCAAGAGGCGCCTGTGGTGAAGTCAGTAAAGGCAGGTGTGCGAAGTCTCTGTCAGACACGTACCTGGATCTTGTTCTCCCTTGAGGTTGGGTACCTGTAATACAGTCCACTCAACGTCGAAACCAGCGTTCTTGAGATGCTCCTCAGCAACCTCAGTGTAGACATCGTAGCAAATCTGTCTATCCGCTCCCAGACCGTTGTAGAAACCGAATTTGCCATTGCGGTCAATCAGAGCGATGCAGTGCTCCTCAAACAGCTCCTTGAGATCAGAATAGTCCTCAGCATATGTGTCGTAGTACAACGCGTCGAGCACAACACCTTGCTCGGCGAGCTTGGGGAGGACATCCTGCCATCTGCCCTCGCATACGGTGACATTTGGCTTATCATACCAGCCAGTCTCCCGCATATGCTTTTGAACAGCAGGGTGCGCCTCGACAATGTAGTGCATCTGTGGGTTGTTCGCGAGAAACATGGTATCAACGATGCCCATTCCGTGACCGATGTTCATCGTCCTCAGACCTTCCTTTGGACACAATTTATCCGCGGATGCCTTCATAATCTCCGTCTCCCAGTCCATCATCACAGCATTCTTGTCCGAGTCGAGCAGACGTCCAGGAGAGTAGATGAGCTCTGATTTGAGGTAGTCCTGGTTGTTGACGTTTGGGTTGGAAAGAACAACTTCAGGTGCGGTTTGATCGCCGTTCTCGTCCGTCTGAACAACTTCAGGCACTGTGGGCGGATTCGGCACAGGCTCGAAGCCATCGACAGCCGAGGCACCTCCGTTGCTCTGTCCATTTGACGTTGTACCAGCAGAACCACTAGGGGTTGGGTCCATCCCTACAACAGCGTCATCATCCTCCATCTCCTCATCCTCATCATTATCCGGCAGCAAGTCGTACTCGTCAAGTCTGCTGAAGAGCAGCTCGGCCATGACACCAGCAGTCACAATTGCTCTGTAGACCTTCTTCAAGCCCATTCTCAAGGCAATACAGCCCGGAGTCTCATCGTTCTTGTCGAGATCATTCCAGATTGCGCCATTCTCCAACAGCAGTTGGACGGTAGCAAGAGCAGCTTCCTCCTCAAGAGCATTGCTGTGGACAGCATCTCCCTCGCCATCTACGCCTGCCTCCTCGTTCAAGTTGCTATCAGCTTCGCAAGAAGCAATTGCGGCGTGTAGAGGTGAGAAGCCGGTTTCCGGGTCCTGGATTCTTGCGGAGCCGGTGCGAAGAAGTTTTCGCAGAGCTTCCAGATCGTGGTTGGTGGCGGCCAGCAGGATTTCGTCGTTGAGTGTGTTGGTATCTACGGCCATGGCGGTGTCTTCCTGTGCGGTGGTCATGATTGCGATGTGTCGTGGTTAAATCCTCCCGCCGGTCTCACGGTCTCTCGAAAAAAGTTATGGAAGAACCCAACGCCCAGCCATTCGACGTGGGGCAGACGCGGACCCTTGTTCCTGGGATAGAACTAGGTAGGTAGCTCCAGCACCATCATGAACGCGATCAAAAGGCATGGCACATCCTGTGAAACGTGCAGAGTTTCGTCGCAGACTCGCAGCCATCATCATGTTGGCGCCAGTACAGCGTCTGCCGTGTCATTGACCAACAAGGTCAGTGCTGATTGATCGCCAACGAGCACGTTCATGAGATGCGTCGCGTCAAACAAAGCCTTTCCAACTTTCGGGACCACTGCTGCAGTTTATGTCGTTCCGTCTTGTTACTTCCATCTCACCARCCAAGTCGCACACACACAACGTCGATCTCGATATAGCTCCATGATGACAGAATCACCTTTTCAACGTCCGAAGCTGCAAACCCAAGACACGTTTCAAGCTCCTCAGCTATCGGGGACTTTAGGTCCCAATGGCATTGCTACTGTGCATCCCGACCATCCGGCATCGTCAAAAGGTAACGGCAGTGTCGGATTCAAGGATAAGGATCATGCCTTGCTCAGAACTACCGACGTATCCGCCCCTGCGCATTCCACCGTTGACGATGATGATGATGATGATGATGATGATGGAGAAGATGAAGATGAAGACGATGATTTCCTGGAAGACTACGACGATATCCGACCCAATCCAGATACATTGATCAGCACGAGGAGGAGCGTTGAAGTTGGCCGCCGACCCACTAGCGCAGATATGAGCTTCGAGCAAGGGRAGACTACAAGAAGAGCCTCTGCTGCTGCGGCTGCGAACATTCAGGTCCGACTAGAGCGGACAGGCAAGCAAGGCCACTACATCCTCACAGCAGACGATCCTGATCTGAAAGAGCTGCTGAGAAAACGAATCGAGCGAGAAGATGCAGATGCAGGAAGCGGGAAGCCTCGTACGAGGTTCAGGGACCTAGTGTTCACCAGACAATGTATGCAATTCGTAACCACAAAATGTCCCCTCTTGGAATTCATGTGCAAGGCTCACAATTTCGTTTCCCAGTCACCACTTTCGATAGGCGACATGCTGCTGCGCAAGATAGCCCCTTCTTCGGCTTCTTCACCCTCTTCTGGATCTCCATGGTTTTGATCTTCATCCAGCTTGTTATGAGGAATCTGCGGGACTATGGAAGCATTTTTGGACCAAACCAAGTCTTGAAGCTGATGTGGAGCAAAGACATTATCTTGCTCGGAATCACCGACGGTGTCATGTATGCCTCTACGTTCGAGGGATTGTTCTTCCAGAAATTGGTCAAGGCAGGCTACATCGATTGGTCGAAGAGTGAGTACACCCTAAATGATACTAGAGGATGATGCTGACACGAAACGGGCGGGTGGATCATACAAAATATGTGGCAGACCGGCTACCTGGCAGCTGTCATCGGGTTCACCTACCTACGCGAATGGCCATGGACTCACACGATATTTGTGGCTCTGCACGGTCTCGTCTTCGTCATGAAACAACACAGCTACGCGTTCTACAATGGTCACCTTTCTGGCGTCTACAAGCGAAAGGCGTCTCTGGAGCGGAAACTCAAGCAGTTAGAAGCCACACAAGCGGTCGAGGTCCCCTCTAGCCCAAATGGCGCATCTCACCACTCGCAGCACTTTAATTCGACGGGCGCGGATCTTCGGCCTGACAACATTGCGATTCGACGTCCCTCTGCCAGCATCAGAACATCCCCCAACGGCTCCGAGAAGAGCGAAGTGGCAGCAGTCGCGTCTGCTCTCGCCTCCAACCAGCCCATTACTGCCGACCAAATGACTACCTTTTCTACTGTCATCAAGCACGAGATTGAAGAGCTTACCAAAGAATTGCATGGGAAGTCCGAGAACGGGAAAAATGCGTACCCTAGAAACCTCACTCTTGGCAATATGGCCGACTGGTCCATCCTTCCAACTCTTGTTTACGAACTGGAGTATCCTCGTCAAGAAGAGATAAGTTGGGCGTATGTGGCCGAGAAGACAGCGGCGACCTTTGGCGTGCTGTAAGTTCCTTGATTATTCAGGGACTCCAGAACATGATACTAACACATATAAGGGCTGTGATGCAAGTTGTCAGTCAAGCGTACATATATCCTGCAGTAGCTGCTACTATTGCCATGAAGGAATCTGGCATGACTCTGCAGCAGCGCTGGCAGGAGTTCCCGTTCATTGTGAGCGACATGCTGTTTCCGCTGCTGATAGGTACGTACTATAAAGACGTATCTCGCACATGAAGCTGACGTTCTATGCAGAGCAACTCCTTACATGGTGAGTGAATGGAGTACAATAATCTCTCAGAGTAGAGCCCATATCCTTTCACATGCTACACTAACCCCTGATCCATATCGTCAAACATTGCTGACCTTTCCACCCTTTGTGATTTAGGTACCTGGTAAGATTCCCGCCCTCCAATAGCCAATCCCAGCTAACATCAATAGATATGGGAATGCATCCTCAACGTCCTCGCCGAACTCACCCGTTTCGCGGACAGAGGCTTCTACGGCGACTGGTGGAACAGCGTCACCTTTGATCAATACGCCCGTGACTGGAATCGACCAGTCCACAACTTCCTCCTCCGACACGTGTACCACTCTAGTATTTCAACCTTCCAACTGAGCAGAAAGGCCGCGACCTTCGTGACGTTTCTGCTGAGTGCGTTGGTGCATGAGATGTGCATGGCTCTGATCTTTAACAAAGTCAGAGGATATCTGTTCTGGTCGCAGCTTTTGCAACTGCCGCTCGTGGCGTTCAGCAGATCAAAGTTCATGAAAGATAGGACTATATTGGGGAATGTGGTCTTCTGGGTTGGGTAAGGCAAACATACAATCTCTCCTGGTCAATATACCGGCTGACCACGATATTTCATTTCTAGATTGTTCATTGGGCCGTCGGTCTTGACCAGTCTTTATCTGATTGTGTAATGAGCGAGCAAAAGAAAGGATGCTCCCTATTGAGTGGCTTGTGAAACATCCGCCTTGGTTCGATCGGAGGAAGTATCCTCACTGATGTAGCGCCTCGGCTCGACTCGCAAGCAGCTAGACATTCACTTGCCCCAGTCTTTGAGACTACCATGTCGAACTCTGGTCGAAGAATAGTTCAAATATACAAGAAAGCTCATCCATCTATACATCAGCTCCTTAAACCCTCGAACTGTAGCCTCTCCCGGCGCTCCCACCCCCTGATTTCCTCCGTTCCCACCACTTCCTCCCCTCGTCGACCCAAAGCACCAAACTACCAACAGCCACCAACCTCCCTAGGTCCCACCATCCCAACGCCTCTGTCTGAAACACTCCCTGCAGAGGAGGGAAATACACGACAAGTCCCTGCCCCACCAAACTACCCAGCACTGCAAAATTAAACATGGAATTGCCTCCCTCTCCCCAAAGCGGTAGCTCCCCCTTGAGAACGCTCTTGGTAGCGGACCGGCAGGAAAGTGCATTGAACATGTCAAAGACAACGAATTGCGTAAATGTCAAGGTGGTATCTCGTGCGGAAACAGAATGAGCTGCCAGATCCTCGGTCGTGAGGTTCGAGACGTAGGTATACAATGTGCCGAGGAGAATGATAGTCGCGGATTGAAGGACGCGTCTTATTAGGCGTGGGGTTAGGACGCGGGCGTTTCGAGGTCGGGGAGGGAGGGTCAGAAGAGCGGGATCCACGGGCTCTACGCCGAGGGATTGGGCTGGAGGGCCGTCCATGAGAATATCTGTGAAGATTTGTTAGTAGGTTTCATTCTTATGTGGCAAAAGGCGACCTACTGATCCACAAGATCTGCATCGCATTGAGTGGATTCTTCCACCCTCCCAGACTGCTCATCATGACTAAACCTAGCGCCGCCACGCTTGTGGAGAGCTGAAAGGTCAAGAAATTCTGAATGTTATAGAAGATTCCTTTCCCCTCTTCGATCGCGCTTAGGATGGTGCTGAAGTCGTCGTCGGTGAGAATCATGTCTGCGGCTTCTTTCGCCACGTCTGTTCCCAATTTTCCCATGCTGATTCCAATATCCGCCTTCTTCAACGCGGGAGCATCGTTTACACCATCACCGGTCATTGCAACCACGTCTCCGCGAGATTGCAGTGCGGAGATGATCTTGAGTTTGTGCTCTGGCGATGTGCGGGCGAAGATGGAGATGCGATCCATAACGCCTGCAAGATCTCCGGGTGACATGTTGTCCAGTTGGTCGCCACGGAGGACCGGAGATCCAAGTGCCGAATTCAAGTTGATGGGCATACCGAGCTTTTTGGCAATGGCTACTGCAGTAGTTTCTGCGTCACCTGTTATCATGATGACTTTCACTCCACCAGCCAAGAGACGGCGAATAGATCGATCTACGCCTTTACGCGGAGGATCTGACATGCCCACGAGCCCTGCAAAGCACAGACCCGAGTACGTTTCATCGTTGGATGTTGAAGGTGGGTTAGGAGTGGTAGAACGAGATCGAGGCTTGGAATTCATTTTGACAGGTCCCGATGCGAATGCAAGCACACGGAGTCCTTCTTCTGCCATGGTCTGGGCGGCACGCTCTACCTCTGCTCTTCGTGTGGCATCCATGACAACTTCACCGGCCAGGGAAGATATGTATGTGTCACACCGGGCGATTACTCTCTCCAATGCACCCTTGATGTAGGCAGTGTCATTCCCATCGCTGCCTTCAACTATTACACCCATCCATTTGCGTTCGCTGGAAAAGGGTATCTCGTGCTTGCGCTCGCCGATTCGACTGCGGACATCGTCTTCGTGGAAATTGTCCAACAAGTCGAGGAGTGCTACGTCCGTGGGTTGACCAGCCCAGCGGGACTTGGCGTCTGCAAGATCGTCGCCACCAGTGCTGGCCAGTACAGCTGCGCTTGCGGCAGTCACCTGACCGTGTGAATGCGTGTTGAGTCGGGCATTGTTGACAACATTGGCGGCACGAAGAACCGCCTGTGTGGTGGTGCCGTTGGGAGAACTTGTCTGCACCTTCGACACTTCCTGGGGCGCACTGTCCCCAAAGGACCACATCTTAGTCGCAGTCATGTGATTGACAGTAAGGGTTCCCGTCTTGTCGGAACAGACAACATTGACCGATCCAAGTGTTTCGACGGAGGGAAGTCTCCGCACAATGGCATTCCTTTTGCTCATCCTCAACACACCCAGCGCGAGCGTGACCGTCACGATGATGGGCAGCCCCTCGGGGATGGCTGCAACTGCCAGAGAAACCCCAATTTGAAACAGCTCGAGGAAAGCCATGCCTCGCCATAAGCCCACCAGCATGATCAATCCAATGACACCAAAGGACATATRGCTGAGGTCCTTGCCTAAACTGTCCATGGTCTGCTGGAGAGGTGTCCTGGGCGCCTCGATCTCCTGCAGCGATGCGCTTATAGCACCAAATTCCGTGTCCCCGCCGGTTGCAATGACAATGCCCTGGCCGTAGCCTGAGCGAACCAGCGTACCCTGGAATGCAATGTTCATCTGGTCCGTAAGGCGTATGTCCCCTCCAGCTACTGTCCCCTGGTAGGCATTTGGATCGGCGTGTCCATTCATCACCGCACCCACATTCACCACATTCGCTGTCTTCCCCACCGGCTCATTCTCTCCTGTCAAATTGCTCTCATCAATGCTCAGATCTGCGCTTTTTGTAATTCTGATATCGGCTGGTATCCTGTCGCCAGTGTGAAACAGTACTAAATCACCTGTCACTAGCTGCTGTGCGGAAATGGTTGTGCTCGCAGACTCCGCGTTTGCAGCACTCGAATTTCCTGGTCCTTTCGCCTCGCCGTTTACGTCCGCTACAGTCCGTATTACATGCGCAAAGTGAGGGACCAGTTTGTTCAGCGCTTCCAAGCTCTTCTCGCTCCGGTATTCCTGGACAAATGCGACCGTGACCACAATCGTCACTGCAATTGCTATTGAGATGGCATCCTCATAGTTGCCCATGATTGCAGAAATACCAGCGCTTGCCAATAGGAGTAGGATCAAGGTTTCCTTGAATTGTTGAACAAATCGCAGCCATAGTGGCTCGGGCTCCTCGTGAGGTAGCTCGTTCGGTCCTTGGATGTGGAGGCGCGTCGAGGCATCGGAGGGGTGTAGGCCGTGCCCAAGTGAAGTGGAATGTCGAGCCGCGACGGCTTCAATGGAGAGGGTCGCATGGTGACTGCTGATGGATTTGTGACCCGTGAGCTTGATCCGACTGGCGCTACGACTGTGGCCGGTCGACCCTCCCTCCCCTCCTCCAATCCGCTCTATCGGTGGGCGAAGGCTTGACGGCTCCATGTAAGGCAGCGCTTCTGTAGTAACGCGGGACATGTCGAGACTTGAGGCCAGGCCATTAGGCACACTAGCAGTTCAGCTAGGGGTTTCCATGAAGCGCGGCTCGGGAAGGTGCAGTACAAAGTCTTTGTTCGCACTGTACCCTTTGAGCTCTCAATAGGAAGATGTGTCCGTAAAGTATTGAGCCGGGCATCTGGAAATCTGGAACCCCTACTCCACGCGTGCCTAGAAGACCGTGCTTTCCGATTTAGTCCACGTACATCCACGCAATCTCCACTCCGTCTGGCAAATTCCTGGCTGTGGCCTACCCAGGTACACCACTGATGATCTGCAACCATCATCCGTCGCGCCAGCCTCCAACCTTTTGAACATTCCATCCCGAACATTCAACCCCCACCGTCACGATCGAGACTTAGCGTGCGAACCGGTCACAGACTTGGGAGGAATTTTGATCACATCGCAGCAAGCCATGCGCGACGGCTCCACCTGAGAGGAGGGAAACAACTGGACGCGTCGCATCACAACAACCTGGAACGCGCCGAGAAACTTAGTCGCAACCAGCTGCTTGCAACACAAACCGCGCCGGAACACGTCTGAAGCCACCATTCTGATCGCGTGCAGAGCCACCACCCAACCGCCATCATGTTTTATTCGGAGCTGCTGCTGACGAAAACCGGACCACTTGCGAGAGTGTGGTTGGCGTCAAACCTCGACCGGAAGCTCACCAAGCAGAACGTATTGCAATCAAATTTGGAGGACAATGTCAAAACCATCATTGGAGGCGAGCAGGCGCCAATCGCGCTGCGACTCAGCGGGCAGCTGCTGCTGGGAGTGGTCAAGATCTATAACCGCAAGGCCAAGTACCTTATGGACGACTGCAGCGAGGCGCTGCTCAAGATCAAAATGGCCTTTCGCCCGGGCAATGTCGATCTGCCTGCGGACCAGTCCCACAAGGCCAATCCGATGGCACTCATGATGCCGGATACCATCACCGAGCTAGACCTCTTTGCGCCGCTTCCGGATCCTGAAGACATTCTACGAGAGCCAGAGGCTCGCGCTCCGGGCCAGGATCCCACTCTGCTCGATTTTGGAATGAGCCAGATACTAGACAGCCAGACACCCACCCGCGCGAACCAGAAACGGACGCTCCAACTCGACGATGACGATTTGGGTCTAGATCTTGGTCTGGACGGTGGAGACGATCTAATCCGCTCAACACCGATGAGTGATGGCCCARGCATTGAGATGGGACGGCGAGCACCTACACCACGCCGAGACGAGCCCACTTTGCTCGAAGACGATGATCTCGGCTTGGATTTTGGTTTCGGCGCAGATACGACTTTGGGCGGACGGGAAGGTTCGGTCATGCCTTCACGGGAGTTTAACGATGAGCCTCTTAACGTGGGCGATGACCTCCAAATGGGCGGCATGGACGGCAACCAAGATATCGAAAAGGACAACGCTGCTGCTCTAGAGCGTGCAGATCGCCGACAACGCGATTCGGACTCTCCACTCTCTTCCGTTCGCTCCAGCATGGAACGTGATTTAGAACGGACCTTCCAACTCGATCAAGCCGGGCAGGATGAGACAGACCCGACTATTGTACAAGCTGCCCAGCGCGTCAAGCGAAGGAGAGTAGTTCGCATGGACGCCCAAACAGAGCTACAGACAGCCGTCCTCAAGTCTCAGCAAGTCGATCATTCAGCGATCACTAAAGCACCTTCTTACCTGCCTCGGGATCCACTTCTCCTGCAATTAATGGAGATGCAACGCAATGGCAGCTTTGTTAGTAACTTGATGGGAGATGGGCGTATGCAAGGCTGGGCTCCTGAGCTCCGTAACATCTTTTCACTCGAAGTTGTCCGCAAGGCCGGCGACAAGAAGCGCAAGCGCGACTCCGGGATAGTTGCAGATGTTTCTCCAGCTGGCTCCCGGCATCAGACGCCACAGCTCGAAATTCCCGAGGACAATGATGAAGGTCTCCAAGCAAGTTCAGGAGGCCTGAATGATTTCCCAGACATCACACTCAACGACGAAGACGCACCTCTCCTCATGTCCGACCGTGTTGAGGATGAGGAGGAAATTGACGAGATGGGAGATGCTATCAACTTTGATGTCACAGAAGCTCCCCTTCTCCACCCTTCGCAATCTGGAGCTGTAGCTGTAGAGACCAAACGCATGGTCCATCGCCTGCGAAAGCATTTTGCACCCGACCACCCACAAGATCTGAATGAGCCACCTACTTCCAGCAAGAGGACTGTGGCGAGCGCTCTGTTCACCGATCTATGTCCAGAAGAGACAACAAGTCGACAGGAAGCCACGAAGAACTTTTTCGAATTGCTTGTGCTAGGAACCAAGGACGCAATAAAAGTCGAGCAGCAGAGCTCGGAGCTGGGGTTGCCCATTCGGGTACGGGGAAAGAGAGGACTATGGGGAGCTTGGGCAGAGTTGGGCGAAACGGCGAGTCAGCGGGTGGAGGTGGAGGTTGGTGCGTAAGACTTGAGGCGTGGGCTGATCTGCTTTAGTTGTGTTGAGCGCACGGTGAGCATGGAGTTCTTGGGGCTCATTTTTGTGCTTGGCATGCGTTTTTGGGGGATACCGGAATGGAGTAAAGAACGGGCGGTCGGAGTTTTGGGACGATGAGTTGAAGAGGATCACGGCTGGGACGTTGACCGTGGCACGATAGCGGGCGCGCGATTGATCATCGTTGCGTCTTTCAATTCGGGGTGTAGATTATGAATCAAGCACAGATACCAGACTGAGCGATTGATTTTTCTTGGCCTACTTTTGAGTGGCATTCCACTCTTCCCCTGGTCCTGCCCTTGTGCGTATCAGCTGCACGAGAGGCCACATGCCGCCAAACGTCGATGACTTTCCAGATACCGGAACCCGCAATTCCAGGACTCTTGTTTAACGCTCCCGGCACTTTCGAGGAGCTTGAGGACAAGAAACCTAGACAGCTACAACTGACATTAAGAGCTTCCTCTCACGCTTTTGTGATCCGAGGCATGGACCCTTCGTCATGGCTAGCAGACGCAGAGGTCGCACTTGCCATAAATGGACTTTGCAGTGGTTGATGTCWACGTGGACACAGTCAATGCTGTACGTCGCGACACTACTTTCCGTCGGCGGAAACGGAAAGCATGCGAATACTGCCCAATTTGCGTTGTAGCGCAGCACTATCATTTTCACCCCGTCGACCATCACCATGATAAGCATGGCATGAGCTTGATGACGACTACACCGCCGATCGTTGTGCATGGTCCGATGGCGCGCACGTTTGTGCAGAACTGAGATCGATTGTCGTCATCTTCCCGCTCCATGTGGCGGTCCGAGCATGATCAAGCCAAAGAGGAATTCTACCTGCGGAGATGCTCGGCACAGCTATATGTCGGGTTCAGTCGCGTGCAGTGCGATGTACCAGACGTCGTTCGAAGCCGCGAGGTACATTGACAGTTTTCCTTGGTCTCACAAAACTACAGGTCAAACCAGATACGGCGAGCCGAACTGACTTCGGTTGAAGTTGCATGCGAGCGGTAAATTTGTAGCAATGCGGGAGAACAAGATCGAGTCTGGAAGGTTATGGACAGCGCAGTTGTCCATTGAAGAACACGACAGTGAGCGAGGTGAGGTTGGAACTGAGATGGCGCCAAGACTGCAGCCTTGCGCCTTCCTCACATTCTCGCCGCTCGGAGCCACCATTGACCGAACATCAACCTCCAGACTTAGACGCCCGTTTGCTTGCTCCCCATTCAACGACTGGACCAATTCGATGGCGCAGTGCGCTGTCAGGCAGAGCGGCCCGCCTGGTCCGCAACACATCGCAGAAGCCGTCTCGCCTCCCGGAATCTCAAATGCGTAGCAGGGATGCATATGGCCACATCACACGGATCTGTGTACATCGAGGTACGGCCTGTTCAGAATTGAAGAAGCCGTATCACGTACAGGCATTGCCGCATACCGAATGCCAGGGTCATCGTCTCACGTCGGTAGTACCATCCTCACAGGCTCGCGACTAAGGCGCTACCAGTCTGGTCTCAAAATATGATGCTGGAGGGTAGAGGCCGACTCTGGATGCCCACAGGTAGCATTCTGTCCTCAAACTGCAACGAACGAGCGGCCACGTTCTTCATTGACACTCGCCAGTAGTCTGACTGTCGGTATCGACTGGAACATAACGCACGTTGCAGGCCTCGCCTGTTGAAGTCGCAGCAAGGTCGATCCACTGGACTTGCCTATTTCGAGCCCGAAAGGCGTCGAGCACATGCATCGTCGTATCCGTCCGATTCAAACGTGGCTGAATTAAGTGTCATGAACTTGCTACCTGTTCCGTTTGCCTCTATCATTGTCGGTAATGACAAAATGAAGTGTCAAAGGCCATCCGCGATCACTCGTCACTGATATTGGAGCTGCAGCCCACGTCGCTTTTGCTCGGGGTTCGCATGGCAAGCCCCATCGATCTTTGAGACTAGACCATGCGAAGCTCGTGTGCCTTGAGGTCGGGCCACAGGGTATATAGAACTGTTTTCCGCCTCTTGGGTCTCAGCTTCGACCATAGCACGATCATCAAGGTTCTCTCGTCTACAACGCTACTTATTTGCAAGACTCGTCATCAGTCAATTGCAAACATCACACTCTGCTCCTCATCATCTGCCCTACGCTACAACACAGCTGTGGTTCTGCAACGCGACACCCAAGCGCACTCCGTCTGATACACTCAAGGTTCGACAAGGACATGTTTCGTCAGACCCCAACGATCTTGCGACTCCTTCTGGCTTTGCTCTGGCAGCAAGTCTCCGCCGTTGACCAGACCCGGGATGCGGCCATGGTCTCTAAACTCGATCTTGCCGCCACGCAGCTCGACCGGCTTGCGCTCATCCCGAACGATGAGGATTGGGTATTTGATTTCACGGCGCAGAAGCCCTACTACAGTTGGGCCCCGGGTGGAGTCACCAACATGAACGCTGCAACATTTGCCGCTGGACGCAAGAATGGATTGACCAGTGCGCGCTCTTGTCATCCCCAACTTGACTCAGACTAAACACTCACAGTGGCCATGGTAAACCTTGGACCCTGCTGCATGTTGCCGCCTCACCTTCATCCACGTGCTGCCAACTATGTTGTTGCGACCATGKGTAACACCACTACGTATATGTGGGAGGAGAACGGCGCGCATCTCATCACAACCAACCTCACTCCAGGAAAAGCTACCCTGTTTCCCGCTGGAGCCATGCATATGATGGTCAACACTGGTAAGCGACTACGCTTCACACCCCGCATGTGTATTGGTGACTTTTGCCTACTAGCAACGTGTAATTCCTCAGCCAGCACTAAAACATCAGCAGGTTGTGACAAAGCTCAGCTCGTATCTTCCCTGACCAGCGAAGATGCCGGCACACTCAACATCGCTGCCGTCCTTACCAACGGTTTTCCGCATGAGTATGTCAACGCCGCCTTTGGAGGCAATTTTGCAAATGACAATACCAGCGCCGCTGTTCCACCCATTGGTACCGGAGCTAATTGGGGCACTGATGAGTGCATGAAGAGATGCAACATCGAGCCCAGCAAAAATTCGGCGGCCAACAACGATGAGACTTCTGAAGGCCGGATCGGGAACAAACCATAAGCTGGACTTTGTGTTTGACCGACCGAACGGGATGCTCATGTTCATCGAGCTGTAACAGGCATATTGGTATGCGAGTCGATCGCTAGAGCTGTTGATATGGCTCTGTCAGCGGAGCGTGGGTTTCGGCGTTATGCTCATTACTCTTGTTCAGGTGCATTGTTGCTACACTCCGGGAAAGATGTGTCTTTTACGACAGCATATGCGCGTGCACTTTACCTTGGTCTAGTGTATACGAATGGCAGTGATCTTGGTGACTTCCCCGCTCTCTAAACCGCTGAACTTAAAGAGCACCTATTCCACATCCGTCATTCTGGAATGACGCACTATTTTCCGCCCTCAAATGACAATTTCATTGGATCCTTCGATGCTTTAAAGTGGGAAGTCCACGGTGGGAGCAGCAAAGCTCATACAGCACTCCAGCAGATATCCCATGCAGCGAGATCTGGGACCCTTTTTCGTATTGATATTCAAGGACGAATAATATCAAAGACGAATAATATCAAAGACGAATAATATCAAAGAGCATACAACCGGCGAACATGCCTCCGATCTTGCATATTATGCGCCATGGCCAGGGTTTCCACTCTCCAGAAGTGTCAAAAGACGGACATTTGATTCGCGACCCGCATCTTACGGACAAAGGCAAAAGCCAGTGTAGGCAAAGATGCAAAGACTTCGATCGTCACGATAATGTCGGACGCCCTCGACAAAATCATTACGTCTTCTCCCACTGACCATGTCAAGGTCGAACTACTGTTGGCTTCTCCATTACGGCGTGCTTTGTAAGTGCTTCGAAGGGTCGTTGCCCGGGGGAATATGCTTCTCAAGCGATGCCATCCCGTGTGTCTGCTGAGATATCGCTAATGCATCATGTTCCGCAATTGTAGACAAACATGCCAGCTTTCTTTCGCCCCTGGAATTGAACGGGGACTTGTCGTTGTGGCGGTACCACATGCAGAAGAGGTTTCGACGACACCATCGGACACGGGATCACCGGTGGACGAGTTACGAGAGGAATTTGGCGAGGTTGATTTCAACTTTCTAAAGGAGAAGTGGTACCTGCGGGAAGGAGAGTTCTCGAGCGATCCCAAAGCTGTAAACGAGAGGGCCAAGAAGCTGAGGAGATGGATCAAGCAGCGGCCTGAAAGGGAAATCGCTCTTGTGTCGCACGGTTTCTTCAATCACTTCTTGACTGGCGAGGTGACCGATGAAGGAGAGCAGACTACGCCTTGGTAAGTTGAGTAATAAGTTGCCGCAGAGAGTGTGAACGCTGATTGGTGACCCAGGTGGAATGAGGCAGAATTGCGAACATATACATTCTTAGAAGAAGATGACGAGTTGGCGTCTTTGCATGAAACGCCAGACTCTCTGTCAAGCCGTGGTGAAGACAGCGGAGAACGTTCCCTGAAGCTCAATATGCCATCGACCAGGGGAAGTTAGGCTACCAGATAAGCACGTGGTCCTAATTTGATCGGTGGATGCCGAATGCTTGTCTTCGGAAGTGCTTGCTTATCCTTGGATGGTTCGCCCTATTTGGGAAATAGCACCGCAGAGTGAATGTTGATATCGATGAACACGAGCATCTCACTCCTCATACTTCTCATAATCTTGGGCAACCCGATTCGACACCAGATTTTTTTGTACTGTCAATATTTCAATGCACCGGAAACAGCGGCACAGGCGGAGGTAAGACCTCGGAGATGACGTTGAAAATCACCACCCGTTCTCACGTAGACGCTTTCCCGAAACCTTTTACAACTTGTCCATGTCGACTTTTATTCGTCCCGGTTCAAAATCGAGGGAACAGTGCGTATCGGAACGCAAGAGAATGTGTTTGTACGGGAGACTCTGAGGCCCAGCAAACAACAAGCGAGGGAGCGTTGATCCTTCAACGTCGACCCTTCACCTCAAGCCAGCCATAATTTGGACACTCATTGCAACAGACCAATCCAACAATGGCAGAAAGTTCAGACTCCGACCCTAGGTCACAGGAAAATGGCAGTGTAGAAGAGAGTCACGCACATAAATTCGAACATCCAAAGCATCGCCGACTCCCATTTCGGCAATGGGTCGAAACGAACATGAACTGGAGCTGGTTCACATGCACACAGTCTACAGGTGGAATAGCGTCTCTATTATATGCTTGTCCGAAGCGCTTCGACGGACTTGACACAATTGGGACCATCATCTTCATATTCAACATCGTCCTCTTCCTAACATTTACAACTCTGATGGCCATCCGCTGGACCGGGAACCCATCAAAGATCAGGGACTGCTTCATCAAAGCACCAGAATGCTACTTCTTCGGGTCGTTTTGGCTTACCTGCGCGACAATGATCATCGATATGCAGCAATATGGTGTTCCTCATACCGGACCATGGCTCTTGGTAGCAATTCGGATCTGCTTTTGGACATATGCTGCAATAACCTTGGTCTCAACGACCCTCCATTTGACCTTCCTCATCAAATATACTCCCGTCGAGATCCACGAGTTTAACCCAGCCATATTTCTGCTGGTTCTCAATGCCATGCTTACAGGAACTGTTGCGGCTATTATAGCTGCAGATCAGGTGGGTCTTGTATCATGAAAGACGACCGAAACATATCTCCTCAATGTAAAAGGTTGACAATGTGTAGACAAGTGGTGCTGACATTCTCTTAGCCCCCCGCTCAACGCCTTCCAATCATCGTAGCCGGCGTTGCATACCAAGGCCTGGGATGGACGGTCTGTACATTCTTCCTGAACCTACTCATAGCTCGTCTGTTGGCGAAGGGATGGCCGAATCCGCCCCACACCAGACAAGGGCTCTTTATCATGGTGGGAACCAGTGGTTATACCATCGTTGCACTGATTGGTCTGGCTCGCGCAACAAATCCATTACCGTACGGGTACTTCAACACCCATCCAATGGCAGGCGAGGTACTCCTCATCGTAGCGACTTGGTTTGGGGTATTTCTCTGGGTCTTCACATTTTGGGTATTCAGCCTTGCTTCTTGTATCAACCTGTTTGGACTTTTCATTAAGGAAGACAGGAAGAATCTCAAGTTCGGCAATGTAGCCTGGTCCTTGGTGTTCCCTGTAGTTGGTGGGTTCTCTGACGGAGAAACTTTGCGACTTCATGCTGACAGTCTGATCCAGGGTTCACCCTATCGACTGTCTACCTAGGAGAGGAACTGGAGAGTCAAGGGATCCTCTGGGTCTCGGTCGGTAAGCACAATGGAATGGGATTATCTGGCATTACCCAAACACTTGCTGATCGTTGCTACCACAGGCATGACGATCATGGTCATCTCGTTCTGGCTTCTAGATCTTGCGCTCATGGCAAAGACAATTGTCATATCCATGTTCCTCGATCCTAGAGTCAAATTGTCATAGTACACTTGCATAGTACTAATTAGCGTTGCAATATGTTCACGATGAAGCTGTCCCTTCTTCTCGCAGCAAAAGACCCGACAAAAGGACCGAAGGCACAACCACATCGCCGTCACGAGATCTCTACTAGCGAGTCTGGCGGTCGCCTTGGGTCGCCTCGAACCGGCAGGATATGGGCCAGAATCCCCGCTGGCTTGCAATTGGCGTACGCCAGCTGTCGTGCGTTTGATGGCGCTTTTGTGCCCTGCGGTCCGTGTTTGCGCGTTTCAACATCCGATGATGGCTATGGTCTCTCGGTGGTGCTCCGGTAGTGCAGCCTAGTCCGCAGTCACGTCGCGGTCCTCCTTTGACAGATTCGCAGTGAGTATGCTGGAATCCGCGGAACAGTCATCCCTTTCAACCCATGTCCGTGTCTTCCTCACCACCGTCATTCGGCTCACGAGGCTCTTGACTCTCGTGGAACTGAATGGCATCGTCGATGTAGCTCAGTATAGCGCTGACACTGTCCTCGTCCTGTGCATCGAGCTTAAGGAACGACACCAGGCTGAAGTCGTCGATGAGCTGGCCGACTGCGCGATTGAGCTTAGAAAACGAAGCTCCACTCATCAAAGCCTGCGCGTCCTCGGGCTCGCCGTTGTCCACCCCGTCTTTGAACTCATACACCAGGCCGCTCTGAGGCGCATCTTGCAATAGACTTGTATCCGGATCGATGAAACGCTTCAACTCTTTCCGTGCGATCTGCCCCTTCACTTGATCCATCTTACTCAAGATGTTGATGTGTGGCAGTTCCATCATGATCATAGCACTCATCGCGCTGAGTGTGCCGGAGAAGAACTTGGAGCGATCGACGATGAAGGAGCTTTCGAGAAGGTACGCGGCGCACATGTTGATGTTCAGACTGCCTCGCGTGAGGTGTCTGAGCAGTTGTGGGATGATTGGAACGTGGGTGTACAGCTCGATTTGGCCAGGCATGTCAATGATGATGAGGTACTCTTCCGTCACATCCTCCAGAGGGTCGGTTATGAAGTCGAGGTTCTCCATGAGGAACTCGAAGCAGTAGATCAGTCCACCGTTGGGACCGAGATGAAGCTCCTCCATGACATCCTCGAGGGTAATGAGGTCCTTGATGTCAAGATCGGGCTCGTATGCGAACGTATCGGCGGCGGGGTCAAGGTTGATATAAAAGCATGACCTTCTGTTGTTCTGAAGGCATTGGATCAGAGATGCGCAAAAGGTGGTCTTGCCGGCACCGGCAGGTCCCATCACCGTCACTCCGTATCCAGGCATGTCGAAGTTTGAAGCACTTCCTGGACGGACGATGTGATGAGATTGTTTTCAGCAAGTCGATCGTGTTGATGGTTAAGCTTATTTTTGTCGGCCCCGAGATTCAGCCGTCAAGCACTCCAACACGAGACTGACATCTCACGGCAGTGGACGTTTAACATTCAATGCTTGGATGTCATATGCTACTTTCACCATTACCACAACATCGTATATTCGACTCATTATGCCCTTGGGTTCGAGGGCCGGTGAAATTGAAGGTTGCCGCCCTAGTTGTAGCAGGCAAAAATCTTGTATTTCCTACAACAACGGCAATACGATTAAGGAGACATTGTTTGGTCAGACAATCGATCCCCCGTATTTAACTCTCCGCAAGGCTGCTGCCTTTTGTGCTTGAAGCTACCGGTTCGTAAGCTTTGTCGTCGATTCACCACAAGGAGAGGCGGCAATCTTCAATTTCACTGGCCCTTGGGTATGTTTGCCCAAGCCCTCGCTTCCAACCTTTATTCCCTTCATCATTCGATAATGTCTCGTGCTAGCCATGCTGCTTCTTACAGCATTCCTTCGGTCCAGAGTACGCAGTAGCGTTGTCGCTACATCTACCTGCTGCGCTTCGACAGTATCACCATCAAGAGGGCGACGCAGACCGCGATGAAGCCGATGAAGGCAAAAGCCGTGTCCGTCTGAGCTCTGGTTACGGSAGCGCCTGCAGCATTGTCCGGAGTACCCAAGAGCACGGCGAAATTCTGGAATATCTGTTAGGCCGGTGTACCCAGTCATCAGAGAAAGTAGTAGGGACGGCGGACTCACAATGCCATGCCCCAGCAAGAGAAGAGCAGCGAGCCCATCGAGAACAACCATCGCGATCCAAGGGAACGCGGTTACGAACGCGGCGACCAGCCCGACGAGACAGTCGAGAAGACCGAAGGCACCCGCGGCGGCTCCATAGGCGAGGGAAGGAAGTAGGCGACCAGTGTAGCAGGTATAGCGATAGCGACCACGGTAGTATGCCTCGCAGTCTTTCTTGGCATCGGAGACGTCGATGTAGAGGCTGACACTCAAACCAAGAACGACCGCGCAAGATATAAGCTGCGAGAAGCTATGTCAGGTGAAGTTCAATTGTTGGCGATGGTCAATAAGTGGTATACCAGGATAGCTCTAGCAACAACGTTGCCAACTGTGACGCCGTTCATGTTGACCTTGTCGCGTGTTACTTGAGAGACGATATTACGGTGTGTCTTCAATAATGGGAGAGGTTTGGAAAAGAGCTGGAGGTGAGGGTGGAGAGGAAAGGGATTATACCGACACTTTGTATACTTTCCTCAACAGGCTTTTTCGATCGTCGCGAGGCACAGCAAGCAGCAGACACACAAAGGCCTCAGCGGCGGCCTGCATACAAACCAATAGCTTTGCCGTTTTCAGCTTGAAAAACAGAGTTCKGTCTGATATGGCATAGTCTCGCGGGACGTCGCCAACGTGATTGATGCTGCCTACGCATACCGGTGTGGTTAAACTTTCTGTGAAATCCTTTGGACGTCACAGTGGTTGCCAGCGTCCCGGCTTGGCGGATGCTCCCGGATGTGATTCTGTTCGCTGGGCAGAAGACGACAATCTGGAGCGCAGGCCAAAGACGATTCCCGCGATGGAAGGACTCTAGGGACGTTGTGGCTAGTCTCTCGCTGCATGTGCTGTAACGTCGCGTGCAGCGGGTGCTCGAGAGATATGGACAGTTTGCGGCCCTGTAACCAGCCTGGCTCGCCCTCAATCATATAAAATTGGTACTAGATGGGGCTGATTTCTTGATGGGGCCGATTCAAGAAGTGTTGCATTGTGGTATGGGACGGGGACGAGGGGAGTGAAGTGGGAAGAATTTGGAACATCCATGCGGCTTATTAATCTTTGACTTTTATGACTGTGTTTGCCTCTCGTTCCTTCAGATACTTTACGATACTCTGTCATCTCGCAGAGGATATTGGCATGTGACGTAAGAAGTCTACGACACTTCCATTCTCTGGCGCGCTGCCGACCTGTCTGAGGGGCATCGCATTCCTGCGAGACTGCGATGCGCTGCGTCGAGTAACGGCCAGATGTCAATAGCTGCTCATGATATCCTAGTTTGCAGGAGCCGAGATTGCGGGTTTCACGCTCTGTAGTCGGCCTCACTCACAGACGCCGTAGAGTTGAGTAAGTACATGTAATAAGGGAAGTAGGTACCCATATAGTCCAGCCGAGACGGTGCCGTCAGGCACATCGACCTCATCTCTTCGACCCTCATCGTTTGTCTCGAACTCTCACCTTCGGACTCAGTTTGCATCGGATTGGGACAGTTGAGACATTTCGGTCTCTTCGCTTGCCACGCTGCTCTCTTCATGCTCGAACCCTCCCGCACGTTCCTGCCCCGAACACGTGTGTAGCTGCTTTACTGCCTTGGCTCTGGCTTTAGCTCTACCTACCGTGTCCGCACTCTAGTGAGGTGCAACAACCAACACAGTCCACCATCCGGACGCAAAACAATGGCGCGCAAGCGAGACGCCCAGACAGCCGTCACTGCTCCCAGCTCGGAGCTGGGAACTGGCGACTGGACGACGCAATACACAAGCATCGGTCGAGCGATCCGTAAGTGCAGGTCGAAAACAAAGCAAGCCTCACAGGAATACGAGGGTGCGTCTGAAGACGACAATTACGACGATTCCGACGACACGAGCGATGAGATTGCAGTGGCACCTTCCCGTAAGAAGACCAAACGAGCTCGATCAGTCTCTCCAGCGCGATCGATTCCGTCCAATGCCGACCTGGCGGACGCTGGAATGACATCTGATGAAGATTACACGGAACGAAACGATCAGAGCTTGACGCAGAGTCAACGAGTCCCGGCTGGCCATTTGACCGTCAATCTGACTGTCAACATCCCACTAAATCACGATCGCGTCATCACGCTGACCATCGACCCGAAAAACTTCACCGCCCAGCCCGACAAGCTCGCTGAGGCTGCCATGGCCCGAGCGAACACACGCTCCAAGCCCAGACATAGGTTTGCCGGGTTTCTCGACCTGCCTGCCGAGTTGAAGAACATCGTCTATCGCGAAGTTTTGGTCGCCGATAGGCCGATCAACTTCGGCTCGCCTGGTAACTCCTTCAGTCGCACCTCTGCTCTATTACGTACATGCAGACAGGTCTACGTATGTTTGGCCTGCACACACAAGACCGGGCGACACACGGCTGACATCGAATGTAGGAGGAGGGTCGGAGCATACTGTACTCGGAGAACACATTCATCGTTGAGCGTCGCATGGAACGATGTGGCAGCTTATGGACAAGTCAGTGGAATGAGGCTTGCTATCTGCCCACTCGGAAGTTCTTCAAGTCGATTGGCTCCGAAAATACAGCGCTCATTCGCCACATGACCTTGAATCTGGAGGACAGACTCCCTTGCTTGAACACGTCTCTCTCGAATGAGGAGAGACGGTTCGTCAACGATGAGGAGCTCCTATCTGTGCTGAGGCATCTGATCCAACATTCTCAGCTCCAGACTCTAAAATTGCACTTCTATGGGCGGAAAAAGGTCGACCGAGGTACTGTACTCCTCCGAAGTTGTAGTGCCTTGCTGACCTGAGTGTTTAGGTGACGATCGCTTTCTCGCCTACATGAGGCGCATTCATGCTGATTGCGTGACGTTCATCACTTTTCGCGAGCATGAGTACGGCAGGGAATCCAAGCAAGAGGACTGCGTGAAGCAAAGTCTGCTCAATGCATGCACTCGGAAGCACAAGAAGTTTGACGGATAGGATGCATATGCGACCTACTGCTCAGAAAAGTCGTTGAAGCTGCTTTACCCGCGCATGTGTCGAATGAAATGGAGCAGTCTTAATGAAAGAATATGCGAAGCGACAGCTTTCTCGCTGCGTGCACAAAGCACGAGATCCGCACCAGATGGCCGTGGGAAATTTCAGGTGCTTCGAAATCAGTGGCTTTAGTTTTACGGATGTGCTCACCTGCAGAGGGATATAGAAAATTTCAGCATCACCATAACACGGGTATTATATACGTTCGCAAGAAAGGGGTATCTGTATAAATCATCATATCGTTCCTGCGGCTTCATCTTCCACCTCTGTCCAGCCCGTGGACTCAAGTTCCCTCATACAAGATCTGGCTCCGCCTCGTAAAGTGGCTTTTCGACCGAACCTCACTGCCGGCGTTCCAATTCCTGCTCTGTCGATCGAGATCAAAAGGGTCGCTCCGCCTCGAGAACCTCGCCGATGATGAGACTGTATCGACAGAGCATTCCGACGAAGCTCGCGCTCTCAGTTCAAGACAGCTCGGGGAGCGACTTCGAAGAGGATTCAATATGTGGGCCCATGTTTTGCTTGCCGCGGTGGTGGGACGAGGTGCGCTGGATCGCTCTGTCTGTTCGCTTTCGATGGATTGCCCCGTACTTGGGGTACGAAAAGGATCATCAGAAGGTTGTTGTGCCACTTGCACTGTGCTGATGGACGGATATGATTTGAATGACGGCGTGCCTGAGTATCGCGATATCAATTCGCGTGAAAGGATAGGGTCCACGACTTTGATGGTAGGGAGTGGGAGAACTGGGGGAACCGGGGGGACTGGCGGAACTTCTTGTGCTAGCGAATGTCGCTGCGACATTTCTGTCGTTCTCGAGAGTGAGCGTTTCCGGTTGAAGAGCGTTGGAGGGGTCTTTGGGATTGTTTGTGACGTGTTTGGACGTGAGGGATCAGGGTTTGTGCAGCGAAGTTGACCAGCCGGGATCGATTCTCGATAACCCTCACCAGCGCCCAAAGCAAACGGACGCGACCAGTGGCGAGTGTTGATGTGAATGATGCGATCGTCTCTGGTCACAGCTGTACCCGGCCGTGAGTGAACGCCTGCGGCGAAGAAGCTTTTCTCCACTACATGCGGAGTCGGTGTATCTTCTCTCGCTGCCCAGTCCATCCCGCCTGGGTGTTCTGCCTTCTTCCGGCGCCTGCGCAGTAGCAGACAAAGTATCACACCAATGAAAATAAGTCCAGCGATCGTTCCAGTCAGACCGCCGACAATTGCGATCTTATGCGACTTTTGTTCGCCATCCTTCCCTGCAATTGGAATAGCAGTCGATTGTGGCGCTGTGCTTGGAGATGCCATGACGGCGGGAATGACTGAGGAGGATGTCGATGGTGAGACTAAGACAGATGGAAATGCTGTGTGCGTACCAGCCAGTGCTGAGCTTCGTATCGCTGAAGCTGATGATAAATCATGAGAGTTGGAGCTGCGAAGTCCGGATGTTGTTGGCAGACCCGTAAGAGTAGAAGCATGAACTGTCACGAATGTCGTCTGTAGGATGGTCGATTCGAACACTGTGACCGTGGAGAACGGAATGATCCCTGCCGTCATTTTGACTCGCGCAGCAATTATAACGCGGGGAGCGGGTGTGTCGTGGCCATGAGATATCCAAAAGATGGTCGCCAGGATCCAGTCTCCGAGTCCACTCCCAATTCTTGCTACCATCCGCTTCCCACCAAACGCGTTTCGCAAAATGAACAGACACAGAGGGAAGAGATGATGCGAACGAACACGAGAAGAAGGGAAATGTGATCTGCGGACATCCTTGCTAGATTTCTTTGCGCTCTGGGCGGCGCGCACAGGGCGCGCGTGGACTGGGAACGCGGGCACTTACCAAGGTGACAGTATACAATCTATGGTAAACAATAGGTCGCACACTCCCTTCCCGGTACCTCGCATAGGGCGACTCAGTCTCACAATTTCTAGTGTTCCTGCAGGGGTAGAACGATGGTTGGTGGGAGTGCGAAGCCGGTCAGGCGTTTGAGGAGCTGCAGCAGCTGTTCGGCACCTTGGGCGGCTAACTAACTAGGCATGCATGGGGAACAGGAAGCGTCTGGTGCCCCCGGCTCCGACACTCGCWCGACAGAGTACTGAGTGATTTCCGAACAAACGAAGTGTTCTTTTGATTAGCAGTGCGCGAACGATGCGATCCGCGTTGCGCGCAGCTTTGACGGAGGATGGCARGACAGAAATCCAACAAACACCTAACGTTGATGGTGCACGGAGCACGCGTTGTTTGACGATCAGCGATTCGAAGTACCGAAGCCTGTTCGTGGGGTGGAGGGTGGATATGGTGGTCGCTGTGTGCTGCGACTCGCGAAATTCAGAGTAAGATATTATAGCAATTCACCAGGTCTGAATGACTCTCTGCTGATCTGACTCGCAAATATATCAGTCTGTTGTTCTCTCTTCGTCAAAGCGGCAGTTCTACCTTGCGCCGGTCAAGGGCAACGCAAAGCGGATACTGTAGTCGCTAGTGGCATTGATCAAGAATGAAGGGACAGCAGCATTTTGTTGTCATTCCACCTGATGATGGACACTGCTGAATTTCTAGGGGAGCTTGCCACTAAATCATTTCTTGTGTTCCGTAACGCTTCACAGTCACCTGAAGGCGCGGACAGGTAGCTGCGTCGCATACATAAGTCAATCGTAATGAAGATTTCCGTTCTGCTTGTGAAGCGTCGCGTGAACTGCTGCGAGCCTGTGATCGCCTACTCTTCAGATGAACGCATGGATATGATGTTTTCTGGGCGAACTTGAGGGCACTCAATGTGCTTGATGATCGCACGGTGAAAGGCGCTGCTGCCATGGGCGCATGCAGATGGTCATGATCCCACGCCATGCTCGAAATACTCACGCTCAAGCCATAACTTGACATTCAGTATAGTGATACTATATCGTAGGGCAGCAATAGGGTGTTCGATCCAACATTTCAAAGGTCATCAGGGTTGAACGGAGCATCTTCCTGGACAGTCTGTCTCCGCCCGTATCCCTCAAATGCCTCTCTTCTCCGCTTCGCCCTGTCTTCTTCAGTCTTCCGCTCTCGCTCTTCCTCCTCGCCCTTCAACCGCTCGGCCTCGGCCTGCTGCTCGGGACTTAGAACGCTCGCGGGATCGACTCCGCTCTCAATCATCTTCTGAATCCCTGCCAATGCGCCGCGCATGATAACATCGTGGTTTGGCCAGGGCTCGAATGGAAGATCTGCAGGAACCAGCCACGCCTTGTCTGTCTCCCCCATTGCTTTGATCCCAACATTCCCACTCTTCACGTAGGCCGGGTTATCGGACGTGCCCTCTTGAGAATCGCCTTGTGGAGGCGTAGCCATGCCGTTCGCCAGTTGAGCAGCATGGCCATTGGCCTGTTTGGGACGGAGGTCTTCGGGTAGTGGTTTTCGGAAAGTAGGTGGAACAGTAGTCCTTGCGATGAACTTTGCGTAAGCTAGCAGTTCATCGACCTTCACTTCGCGGCGCGGCTCGGTGGTATCAGTGGAAGGAATGGCTTGTATTTCTTTGCGAGTTTCAGCGAGCAATCGGAGAGTGTTTTTGATCGTCTCATCGTGTGACTCTGAAGTCTGGCGAAGTTCCTGTATGCGGGTATAGTTCTTCTGGTGCTGGGTAACTGCATCGCATCAGAAGCCATTGTTTCCAATCGAATGTGCGCAAGTTCGCTAATCATATCATACGCTGCTTGACATTGATGTGCACAGCTTCATCCGCAGTGACGAGCTCGTCCGTGGCCGCGACAGATGGATTGTATGCTGCGATCGAATCCGTAAGCTTCTGCAGACTCGCTTCGACGCGCTGATAGCTCGCTTGAAACTGGGAGAGCATAGCGACAACAATTTCAACGGCGCGTGGGAGATTTGGAGACGAGACAATCGATTGTAGAGTGGAGCGTGAGGTGAAGATGAAGTGAGTACTTTACTAGCGCGTAATTCTTCAGGCACGTCAGGCATTCAGATTGCCATACTTACTTAACTTCCAAGCTGCCAATGACGGAGATGAAAAGAGCGAATTGATGCTTCTGTTGTGGCTTTCATATGCTGTTTATGAAGATACATGTAGACATTGATCATTTCTTGCCCTTTCCCGCGCCTGTGACACCCCGAGCAACACCCCCAGTGAATCTGCCTAAATTGCCCAGACTGCTTTTTCCCTTTGAGTGCCCGACTCCGCCAGCTGCAGATCCTTGTTGGTTGCCTCTCTGAGCGCCCGCAGCGGGCGAGTATCTTCCCGTTGGTTTGTCCAGATTCGCTGACGCTGGATTAGCAAGACCCAGAGACGTCCTGCCCTCCCTCCTGGCAGGACCAGGCGGGCTGCTTTGTGGATCTTCGAGACCGTGAGACTTTATCAGTGCCCGTTGCTGACCCCGCCTCACCTTCTCCTGTGTGGCTCTAAACTTCTCGAGCAGTTCCGTCCACTTGATACCGCCTTCCTCTCGGCTTTTTAGTCGGTTCTGCCGCTCAAACGTGCTGACGGAGCTGGGGGTCGCAGGCGGCGCACCGCGAGTCCCAATGTGCAGATACCCAATCGCGCTCACGCTGTTCAGTCTGTTCTTGAGCGCTGCAAAAGCGCTACTCTGTGGAAGTAGCATGAGGAGGCCATACATGCATTTGTATAAGTTCGGGTGTCTCTCGGGCTCCAGCAGCTGCATTCTGAGRTATGTGAAGACCGGGCTCTCTAGTAGTTGCACAAGCTTGTCGATTTGAATAAGCATGTTTACGGTCATTTCAATCTCGCAGAAGATCTGCAAGAGATTGTAGGCTTGTTCGTACGCTTGTGCCAACAAGCAGAGAGAGAAGGTCGCGACTGAGTTGACACACCACGCCTTGAACAGAACCGTGAAGAAGGTCTGTCCATCTCTACTGTCCAGATTTCTCAGCCGTTTTCGGAGATCTGCCAGCTCAGGTGCAGTAATCAGGTTGTTGTTCAAATTTTGAACCATGATGCTCGCAAACTCCACATCGTCCTCTTCACGCTCAAGACAGTCCGCCATAGTGCGGTAGATCCTCTCTGCCGACAAGGACAAGCACAACTGGCGAATAATAAGGTTGCCCCTTGTCTCGAGCAATCTTCTGTCGGTGCAGAACAGCTTGAGCAAGTTAACCATGAATGACGTGAAATAGCTATCATCGCTGCTTTTACTGATCTGTGAAAGCAGAAGTAGATCTCGAGTCACGACCGCCTCCGCAGGATCACTCAAAGTCTTGAGAAGTGCTGGGAATGTGGCGTCCTGAATCGCCAAAATCTTCCTCGGGCTTTTGCGGTGCAGCATTATGAGCCATGCCAACGCTGCGACGCGGGTTGCCTCATGTTCGTGTAAAAATTGCAGGGTCAGAGCGCTAACAGCAGCTTCATAGTCCAGATCTGGCACGTGAAGAGCGTTTTCAGCTGTCATATCCCCGGTATCGTCGTTTGGGATGGGTGGCTCAGGTGTCGAGACCTGTGAAGGTCGAGAGGCACCATCTTCCAAATCCTCGGGAGTTGGGGGCTTCCGCGTCGTCGACTTGGACACCCCAAGGCTCTCACGCTTGTCGTTACTTACTCCTTCCTTTGGCGGACGAAGCGACGATCCTGTCGGCGCGTTCGTAGAGGCGATCTGAGCTATTTCCCCTCCTATGGCCGTGGTTCCTCCATTGGACCTGGTAGGGTCATCGGGTAGTGCCATGATATGACTGATCAAGAGCTGATTCACTCTGTTTGCAGCTTGGCTCACATGGTTCTTGTCATGCGAGAGCGCTGGGAGAAGTTGGTTGAGTAGCTTTGGGGTGAGGGAAAGTATGTCTTCGGGGCAGATCTCCATGAATGTCTCGATCCACTTGAGCGTGGTGACCTGGATCTCTTCCTGGCGAGACTCCGCGAGGAATGTGACCAGAATGTCAAGGATTCGCTGATAGTCAATCTGTGCGTCTTGACCTGGGATCCATTCGTCGTCCACAACGCCGGCTTCTGCGTAGCCATCCTCAGCGGCAGTCAAAGATGATGCACCGTCGGCGGGATCCTCTTCTCCCGTTGCAATTGTCGGTGCCGTCGCTACCTGCTCTATGTCATCGTTTCCTTCACGATCTATCACAGCGTCGGTGTCAACCTCTTGACTATGCTGGCTCTCCCCTGCCCAGCTTGAGTTGTCGCTGGGCTTCCTGGGAGTGTTGTCGCGGCTTTTCCTGCTCTCCGCAATCTCTTTCTTCACCGCCGCAATCTTCTTGATCTCTACAAGAAACCTGTCTAGTGCGGTCTTGGTTGTCGTGTGGACATCCTCATTTGTGTCTCCGAGAAACCTCAACAGTCCGCCAAGGAAGCTGGGCAAGTATGATACCAGCTCCAAATCCGGTATCTGATCAAGCAAAGTAATCCAAGACACGAGGAATGTCCGGGCGAATGGATTTGTAACGTTGATCCTTTCCTGCAACAGGGGTATGAACCGTGGTAAGCTAAAGGCATGAGGGATGACCATGCTCTGGTCTAGAGAGAAGTCTTGAGACTCTGCTGGTGGGGCGTCAGGTACCAAGACCGATGCGTATGATGCTGCAGACTCAGAAACGATGTCCTTGACGAGACGGTCCAGCAGCTCCGCGCCGTTTTTCACGGAAAGCTCTGTGTCGGCCGCTAGTTTGGACAGCGCATCGAAGACGTCGTTGAAGTAAACGAGGATTTCTCCCTTGGCCACCTTTGCGATGTTGTACATGCTCTCGCATGCATAATAACGCACACGGGCATCTTGGTCACTGAAGCAGGCCAAAACGGGCGGCACTATCTCTTTGAGATGACGTGCTACGTCCTGAAATGCGCAGGTCAGTCAAGTTGTTTCCAGTCGGAGAGACTAGGGATCTTACAGCTCCAAGAGCAATTGCAGCAGCGGCCAGCCCAATCAGACCTCCATTTCGAGCGTGGGGTTGATGCACCGCATAGGCGTACTCATGGCAAAGCTGCCACACAATCTTGGTGATGCGATCTTGATTATTCTCGGCAAGAGCAGCACGTATGGCCGATTCAAGTCTACAGCAAGGATTGTTCAGCTGCTGCTGCTTGGAACAGGCGATGCTTCAAGAGTGTCGTCTTGCGGTGAGGATTGTGAATGCAACGCAGTACTCTTGAGTTGACAATGCCAGCACGCCGGATGGGATACGGGCATGAACTTACTCTAAAGCTCCAGCCTTCCGCTTATCATAGAATTTATCCTGGAGCAGGCGTTGCACGCTGGTCTCCATCTTCCAATATGTCCTCGCTCATTCCCAGAGGTATACTGCTTGCTTTTCAATGCTTCCCGTCTCTCGTAACTCTCGTGTCGACTTGTCCGTCTCTTGCCATGTATTCCGTGTTGTTGGTGGCTTTGCCTGTGATGGACGACACAAAGATTGAGATAGTCTTGTGCCAACGCCCTTTCACGAGCTTGAAGTAGGCGGGAAAGTGACATGGGTGTGTTGGCCGTACCTGCTCTTGCTCGGCTACATCCGCGCGATCTGCAACTAGGGCCAACTCCACCAAATCTTTCCAATACCTAATCGCAAGCCTGCTCATCACTCACCACCACTTCCACACGCATCYCGCTGACATTCAATATGGGCGACGACAACTCACGCGAGCTGTATGAATTCCTCCCCGATTCCCTTCGATTCCCGCTCACATTTCACCAGGTCCCGGCTATGGCGCGTTCTTCGCACGACAAAGCAGATGTGTGTCGACCGAGTATGCGCATAGATCATCGCCCATTCATTTCGCGCACGTGAAAGCTGACAGTCACCCAAGGGCTATGAACTCACCGAAGAAGAGTGCAATATCTCTCTAGACGAGTTCCGTCAACAGTACGCCGACGACTCGGGCTTCCCGCAGCGCACCAAAATGGCTTTCACAGCACGTCCTTCCGCAGCAATGCAGGCGAAATACACACCACTCGCGCGTCCCGGTCAGCCCGAACCAGAGCCACAGATTGGAACAATACACGTCGAGTTCTCCAAYGAGCCTAACATCGGCATCAAGCACATCAAGAACTTCGCACAACTGCTCAACGAGAAGAACTACTATACTGGCATCTTTGTCACGCAGGTCGCACCAACTTCAGCAGCATTGAAGATCATCCCGTCCGTGTTGCCGACCATTATGGAAATCTTTCGCGAGGAGGATCTGCTCGTGAACATTAGCAAGCATGACTTGGTGCCTAAGCACATTCTGCTAAGCCAGGAGGAGAAACGTGGCCTGTTGGAGAGATATCGACTCAAGGAAACACAATTACCACGGATTCGGGTGGATGACCCCATGGCGAAGTATTTGGGATTGAGAAGGGCTCAGGTTGTGAAAATCATCCGGAAATCCGAGACTGCAGGAAGATACGCAAGTTACCGATGGGCTATATGAGGACACTGGTAGGGAGCATTGATTTTCTGAATAGCGTGGTGTATGGCGTATGGCGTATGCGAAGGGAAATCCTGAGTGGGCTGCTAAGTTCAAGTGATGGAGAGGTTGTCGACGTGGAAACGCTGGTTGGAACTAGGAGTACCGGATGTGCCCATGGCATGGAAACGCCAGACTACCCGCTTCGTGGGCCTTCCGTCGCGATGTCTGGGAAGATGCACGGTTGCTGTTCATCGTCACGGGAGACGATCGTTAGCAGCTTCCGTCTGCTCGAAAAGTAAAAGGCCAGAAGGTGGATCAGCATTCAGTCGCATCTATTAGAGGACGTATGGAGATCATGCCGTCTCCAAGCTTGCTCTTCATTGGAGACCGCGTTCGAATCGGAAGAGCGCATCCGTGGGGATCTTCGATCCGCTGCACGCTCGTCTTGTGGAAAGTCGATAATGCCATGGCATTCTATCGACCAATGTCTTCAAAAAGTAAATAGGTGAATTTGATGCCTCGTAATGGAGCTCTCCGTTCGCATGTTTCAACGCTGTGCTCCCGCGAAACGCGCTAGTGCAGTGCCAAAAGCCCCTTCGGCGCGAAACACCTCACTCCACCAGAAATGTTCATACATGTACTATCTTACGCAACAGTGTTACATTTACTTTTAGATTAACCACGATATTATCTAAGGTATCCTCTGGGCACGCGAAATTGGACTCTCCCAATCTAGGTCGCGATTTCCGGAGATTCAAAAGCCAAGCCGCGGTCCAGGCCACTTGTTCATGTACAGTAAGGCAACTCTTAACGTCAATCGCCTGCTTGGATACCATTTCTAAAACAACCCGCGTTGTCGTTCTTCTTCCTGTCTAGCGCAGGGCCCAGCGAACGCGAGGCTCATTGAGCCCCAATCGCGTCAAGCCGTATCAGCATTGCTCTTTGTTGCCTGCTCTACACCACTGATTTGGAACACTACGAGCTCTACAACAGGCAACAAATGTTATCAGCAACATATCCATGATGCTGCAGAAAGCGATTGGTTCTACATGCAGTCTGTTGTGAGCATTTGCTATAGATCATGGACCAGATCTTGCCTTCTTGGACCCGCAAATGGATTGCTGGCATAGACAGGTCTCGAGATCGCGGAGAATATGAGTTAGTTGGCACTACGCTCAGCACTCCTGGACCAGATGTTGGGAAGGATCGAGAACCTTCGGAGTCCGACAGTAAGACTCTAAGGAAGGTCGCTGATCATTTGCCATGGTATGAGAGAAGTCTTGCACATTGGCAGGACATGATGCTGATGAATGTCCAGGTCTACTTTTCTGATCGCTGTAGTTGAGCTATGCGAGCGTTTCACATACTATGGACTCAGTGGACCTTTCCAGAACTACATATCCAACTCCTACCATGATCCAAACGGCCTTCCTGGTGTACGCGATCCCCTCATAGGCTTTGTCACTGTGCGTGGATTGACACTTTTATAGGCGATTGGCTTGAATCAGAGCGGTGCAACTTTTCTCACAAATTTCTTCCAATTCTGGTGCTATCTCACGCCTGTAATAGGCGCTGTGATAGCAGACCAGTATCTGGGGAAGTACTGGACTATCGTATACTTTTCAATTATCTACGCTGCGGGCATCCTCATCCTTTTCATAACCTCTCTCCCAGTTGCCATCGAGCATGGAATGGCGTTCCCTGGGCTTCTCATCGCTATGATTGTTATTGGTCTGGGAACAGGAGGGATCAAAAGCAATGTCAGTCCGCTGATTGCGGAGCAATACACAGGAACGAAGACATTCGTGAGAACGCTGAGTGGAGGAGAACGGGTCATAGTTGATCCGAGCATTACCATCCAGGTATGTACAAAGCTCCAGAAGGACCTTTACACTGCTGACACGCCAGAATACAGCGAATATACATGATCTTCTACCTCTGTATCAACATCGGATCTCTATCCTCTCTGTTAACCACAAATATGGAACTCCACATAGGCTTCTGGTCGGCCTACCTACTCTGCTTCGTTGTTTTTCTTGTCGGCCTCGCCATTCTACTACTAGGCAAGAAGAACTACGTCCTGCACCCACCTACTGGCTCAGTCATCCCTAGAGCTCTACAAATTTGCTGGACAGCCTCAAGAAACAACTTCACCCTACTCACCACCAGCCCTTCCCTGACAGAGCAAGCCTTCATCCAAGAGGTCCGTACAGCCCTCCAAGCATGCAAAGTCTTCCTTGTATTTCCCCTTTACTGGCTGGCCCAATCCCAAATGCTCAACAATCTCGTCTCTCAAGCCGGGCAAATGCAACTCCATGGGATCCCCAATGATATTATGTCCAATATCGATCCACTTACCATCATTGTCTTCATTCCCATCTGCGACAGAATCCTCTATCCATTCCTACACAACAACATGGGCATCGCTTTCAAGCCCATAACGAGGATCTTTGTGGGTTTCATGTTCGGTGCAGCTGGAATGGCGTACGCAGCAGCTGTCCAGAAGACAATCTACAAATCTGCTCCCTGCTTTGAGCAGCCTGGCGCTTGCTCCGCAGGTCTGAGAGAGGACGGCACGACTTACAGACCGAATGAGGTCCATGTGGCGATTCAGGCTCCCGCGTTTCTGCTGATTGGCATGAGTGAGATTTTCGCTGCGGTAACGGGCTTGGAGTTTGCATTTACGAAAGCTCCGGCATCAATGAAGGTGACTTTGATCGTTTTAAACATTCACATGAACTAGGGCGTGCTAACCGATATTCGCTTAGTCCTTCATCATGTCTATATTCCTCCTCACAACAGCCTTTGGAGCAGCCTTGGGTGCGATCATCAGTCCTTTTGCGAAGGATCCGGATTTGTTCTGGGTGTATGCTGGTCTAGCAGCGGTCTGCTTTGCTTCGGGCTGGATCTTTTGGTACTGCTTTCGAGGTATGAATGTGGAGGACGATGCAGTGGGAGCAATTGAGCGTGAACCATAGAGATGCGAGACCAGAGCCCGTCCAAGGTTTGATGAAATAGAAGGTTGCCGGGTCTCCTTTAGTGAATCGACAACAATGCTCGCCAATAGGTAGCTACAGACATAACAAGAAGTAGCCTTGCGGAGAGTCAAATGTCTTTTGACGTTGCAGATGGCGTAAGATTTTGGATGCCGCAGGTAGGGCGGCAATCTTCAATTTCACCGGACCTTGGTTTGGGTGTTGCATCATCAACCACAAGCTCCGGGGCTGAGTGAGGATTTCAAATGAAGTCGGCAACCTCGCACGCCCCACACACTGTGCAACACTACAACTCGCCTGTTTCACGAAAGCCAAAGCCACAATCGACTTGCGACAAGCAGGTAGTCAAGGGAATGATTCATTCGCACACGGCTGATTCATGCCGCCGTGTTCAACGCGTCCGGTCTCCCTGGGGCCGTATCTCATCCAGAACACTCGGCTGCCTTACTCCAAACTCCTACGCTATGCAATTGTCGTGCCGTCAACAAGGCTATAGTCCTTGTCGTAACCGTTCGCCCAGCTTCTGCTTTCCAAATTGATAGATCTTGAGCAGTCCTTCTTCGCTGAGATCCAATCCTTGCATGTTGGGTGCATCTTGCTGCGGTGGTCGGCTCACTCGGCTCGCAATAACGACAGGATCCGTCTCGAGAATGATGCCGTCGTCGACAATCTCGTCTATACAGAGCGATGCAAGATCGTAGTTCTCAATCAGTGYTCGCTTGTCGACAGAATTCCTATGATCAGTTAGTACCAACCATTATGTCTCCCATGGTTATTTGGTCTCACTTGAGCAGGATGGTCAAGCTGTCTCGTAGTGCCAGAACTACGTTGTAGAGCATGATTTCGTTCTCGTCCGCACCTCCCACCACGTAGAGCATGACATCCGACTCCATCTTGAACACGACCACTCGGTTGTCGTAGAGAATGACATCGCTTGTCTGCTTCGCAGTCTTCTCCAGAAGACCCTTTTCAAACGCTTTTTGGTCCTTGACATTCGTGTATGGGTTCGCGCCGGGGTAGTTGTTGCCCTGAGCGCCTTGCGGCATATGCGGGGGATTGTAGTATTTGGCCAGAATGCGGGAGGAGTCGTCGGTCGCGAGGAGGAGGATGGCGTTGACCGAGAACAGAGTCATATTGGGTGCCATGGCTGCGGTTCGTGTGAGATAGAGGGAATCGTGTGGATGGTGTTGTTCAAGCCGGATGCTGTACGAAGTAATAAGGGAAGTGACATACGATTCGATCAACAGACAAGCTGGCATCGCTGGACTACGATCTTAAGCTTGGCGTGGTGGAACTTTCTTCCCCGAGACATCTCGACTGCATCCAACTCCTCGATGCTCACATTTCGCCTCCGTCGCGTGCAAGTCGAGCTCCAGTCGCACCGGAAGTGGCTGAAAACTTTCCATGCCGGGTCGGTAGACCATCACGGGCGAGCTGAAGCCGCATCTTCGACCTCGAGAAGTTTCTCTAGCAGCCATGGATACACCTACCGATATGGACAGACCCAAGATCCTGCGCCTGCGCCCGAGCAGACCCGCTATGTCTCCCCGGCGAAGCAGCGAAAGCAGGAGCGTAAAATCAATCGTCAGTTGGGACGGAGTCAAAGTCATTCGAAGGAGCGGACGGTGAACCTTGGAGCACTTGCAACGCGGTCCGAGCTGTTCGAGGCCGTCGACAGAACCGACATTGTTGGTGTGATGAGTGCCTATCACCGGCTGCCTGAGAAAAAGCCTCTGTCCTCGGACGACTTCTACAAAGTAGCACAATGCGCACATCAGGCTCTCAGGCTAGAGAACCAGAAGCCTCCCCACACCAAACGACGAGAAGAGACAGAGCAGATTGTAGCATTTGCMGAGCTACTTGCTAGGGATATAGGCAGAGGAGACCTTGTGCCTAGTACCGCTGCGCACGTGCACCTGATGGGATTGTTCAAAGAGTCTGGCGCCAAAGACGCGGGTTTGAAGTTCTGGAACTGGCTGCAAACACAAGACTGGTCAGACGAGCACGTTAGTGCAGAAGTCTACGCCGTAGCGGTTGATTTCCTGGCTGTTAACGGCTTTCCGCTGGAGGATCTCGAGGACCTATACCAAAGAGCACTGGTACGGTTTCCTGGCTCCTTCAATGCATACCACCTGTCACCAGAAGCAATTGTGTCTGATCGGGAGAAAGCTATATCCATCAAGGGCATTCCCATGGCCCTTCTGCAGTCCATCATACTTGCGCGGCTCTTACGAGGTGAGTCGCAAAAGGCATATCTCGGACTGGATACTGCTCTGCGTCTCTTTCCTACTGCTATCCCACAACGTGCGCTGCGGACTTTCTTAGATGAGCGRCCAATATCCGAATCGTATACTGTCTTCGCAATGGTGTATCGTGCGGGTATGCATCTTCCTGGACTGCCTTTCAAGGCCTTTCTTTCCAAGCTGCGCACCACGGCAGATTCTAGATCAGCTGCATCTCATTTCTGCTCGGTCCGCGCCATGCTATCGATCATGTATCTGCACCTCGGAGCTTCGGGCAGTCTTGCATCGAACACTGTAGGCGAGCTAGTCATTGCCATGACCCAGATTCTGCGTTTGCCTGAATTCGATGCCATGGAGCGAAAACAGCGCGGCGAGGTGGTTGACTCGGTGTTGGAAATCGTGAGGAAGACCTGGGCGGTGTTTGCTCGCTACGGTGCAGTTCCCACCCTGTCATCGTTCAACTCAGTGATCGCGAATGTTGCATGCTATGGTCGTCTGAAATCAGTTGTAGGTATCGTGCTGGCAGACATGAAGGCACTTGGCCTGGAGCCGAACGACATTACGCGACGCTCCATCATGAAAGTTGGAACCGTCGTACACGACAAAGAATTCGTGACCAAGGCGTGGAAGACCATTGTGGACGCACGAGCGGCGAAGGACCAGAGACCCGACCTGATTGATTTGAATGTTTTCATAAAAGCCGCCAGGCTCTCGGACATGTCTGACTTCGCGGCTCAGGAAGCCCAAAAGTACCGATTCTACTTACCAAAGAATAGCCAAAGTTCGGTTGACTACTATCTCACCAAGCCGCTGGAAGGGGCGTCTCAAATACAGAAGGTCGAGGGATACGCAGAAGATGTTGTCGAAGGTCTTGCGAAGCTTCGTGCGGACTTGGACGTTCTTGATGAGCGGACGCGGGAAAATCCCAGAGTACAAGACTTCAGTAACCAGACTCTGCCCACTATGCTTGTCAAGCCCCCTGTCGTTCTGGCGATTGATGATCAGGCGATGCGCGCAATCTACGATGAATTCACCACGGAGCCAGTCACTAGAACGACGGAAATCTCTGCAGAGGAGCCTTCCAATGCAGAGAACACGCAAGACGCGACGGAAGACATCGCACTTCCCAGGAGTGCAACGAATCTCACATTCGGCACCCTACGATACGAGAGCTGGAAGTGCGTCAACAGTCTGCTTTGGCTCGCTGAGAAGCATGACAAGGAGTATGAAGCTGCTGTTGATGAGGCCATTGCGGCTGGAACGAAACCCCCAACGCGTGAGATGGGTCTTGGAAAGGCTGAGCAAGACGAGCTGGACTCTTTCGGCTTAAGTGATTCTACGGACTCTAATGTTACGCCGCAAAAAAGTGATGCTGCTGCTGTGGAAGCTGCTCGTAAAGAGATCGCGCGGCTTCGTGGTAGGCTTGCTGTGTAGATAGTGTAAGATATGGACTGGTGTACTATATATGTGCGGTCCACTCTTCAAGACTAGTCGATTTGCTTGATGCTCTCATCGTGAGTGTGTGGATTGTGCATCGTCCGGTCTTAGGGTTAGGGTTGGGGTAGTACATCTGTCGTTCATGGCGACATGATACCTTCTACATCGCCTTTTCCTATTCTTTATTGTTGTTGTATTGATTTTATAGTCACGACGAGTACTCTGTAGACAGTGCATAGTCTCCCTACACCGTTGGGGCATGTTTGACTCCATATTGAACGCCGAGAGAACAGCGTTTTATACACAAGGTCAATCCATTTCACGACCACCAACGTTTCACATACAACATCAACGACTGGCGATAAGCGAAGCAAGGTCGAGAATGAAATATGATAGCTCCTTACTATATATTGATAACCACGTAACGACTGTAGAGTTATACCGCAATAGAAACCCTAAATAATGGTTCCTTCGCAGTGGCAACAATCAAGAAATCCCATCAGGCATCAAAAGCTCTCGCTCAGTTGATGCTGACCATATCGCCCCCATCATACTCGATGTCGAAGATCTTCAAGATATTCTTTGCGGCAGTCTCGCCCGTAGCAAAGGCACCGTGAACACAGCCATTGGCGACCATAGTGCAATGCTCGCCGGCGAATTGCAGACGGGAGTCTTTATGTTTCTCCAAGGATGCCATCCAGAGTTCGGGCTCATCGTCTACTTTGTCTGCGGAATAAGAGCCAAAGCCAGCGAGCGGACTACTCTACGTTAGCATGGGCGTGGCATATATTGTTTGGCTTTGCTCACTCTTGAGTCCACTTTGTCGTCTCTACATTCAACAGTCGTGGGAGAGCCTTGTATGGCTCGGTACGGAGCAGACGGAAGAGAGGTTCAAAGAACTTGTAGACTGCCTTCTTGTCCGTCATGGCTTCGATACGCTGTGTCAGAGGCTCGGCGACCTGGACGCAAAGCTCCTTGCTTCCCGTCACGATCCACAAGTTGATGATAACCGTGGCATAGTTCAAGATGCTGTCTACTTCGATGGAACCGGAACTGCCGGAGCTCGCAGAAGTCGAATAAATATCTTCCTCAAGGTCTGGCGGAGATGGGTAGAATACAAACTTGAATGATGGTACATCAGCTATGCATATCGCTGTAGTGAGGTGTGATATACCTGATCGTTGTCCTTGGACCAGAACACATCGTCGAACTCGAAGAAGATCTTGCCTAAAGCTCCATAGCCGAATCGGGATATACCGATCTGCATGTCGGTGGGAAGTGGAGGATTGAACGCGACCAATCCGTGGCGCAAGACCCCCAGGGGGAGGGTAGAGATCACGGCATCGGCTTCAAGGTTGGCCACTTCTCCACTGGGGTCGTGATAGTCCAATGTACAAGACTGAACGCCATCGTAGCTCCAAGAGATACGGTCGACGATCTTATTCAAGTGTATGGTGTCTGGACGAAGAGACTGTGCAGTCMACTTGACGATGTTATCGTAGCCACCTTTCATGTAGAGGTTGCGTTCAGAGATGAAATACGAAAGGTGTTTGGCGCTTGCGAGATCACAGCTGGTGCCAATCCAGAGTCTAGAGGTAGAACGTAAAAATCAGCAGTATTCAAGTAGTGATACTCGTCATGCCAGTCCCAAGTAGCGATACAGCAATCATGTGGTCTATACTGGACGAGACCCACAAGTCCAGAGCCCCTCTGCAACRTTAATATAATTCCACGGCCAACATCTTCTGGAGTTCCAGAGGCACTGATAAGGAGTGCGCCACATACTATGTCAAGCTTTGCGCTTCCTTGGAAATCAATCACTTACTCGACTTCCTTAATCGCCATCGGAGCCCAGCTACGGTCACTCTCGGATATAAGCTCGTGTTTCTGAACGAATGCATTCACGTATTGCGTGACACTGGTATCCGGAGCGTCTGGGAAGGTCTCGTAATACCACTCCGCATTACAGACTGCCTCGTCAGCGACCTTTTTGGCCTTGAATTGAGCGCCTGCTCTTCCATCTTGAGTGTAGTACAGAGGAGCGCCGTCATCGTAGTAGTAGKCCAGCTTCAGTGAGGCAATCAGCTTTGTCAAACGGTTCTGTGAGGTCTCATGCAGCCAGGCCGCGCCTACAGGGGACATACAACTGTCAGCAAAAGAGGAAACAATGTTCCCTGGAGGTGATGAAGCCTTTCGGCCATCAACAGAACCGCACAGGTCTGCAGCTCAGTGTCAGCCACAACTTGGCTATTGACACTAACCGATGTCCCTTGGGATGCCGTCTTTCGTCCTGGTAGTGTGGATCCGTCCGCCGATACGGTCACGACCCTCCAATACCACGACTTCGACGCCGTGGCGTTCAAGAACAGATGCAGCACGCAAACCTGAGATGCCAGCACCAACGATGGCTACCTTGATCTTCTTCTTCTCTATCTTCAGCTCCAGTCCTGGTGGGCTATCAGAGGGCGAGTCTGATAACCCGTTACAATTAGACGGTTTTTTGGTGGTCTCGTATAAATTATCCATGATTTGATACTGCAAAGTTCCATGCGGTTTAATAGGAGGGGTGATGCTGCGTTTGTTGCGTTTGGCGCCGTAATTTGCGGAGTGCTGTACGATGCCTCGAGGGTGCTTGATGCTGAGGAAGAGACGGGAGAGAGTTTCGGCGAGCGAAGGTGGATGTCCCCGATGTCGATGTCACGGGTGCGGGCCTCGATGATCGATCCACTTTTCAAGCGTGCCAAGCACGTGGAGGACCTACCTTAAACGACAAGGCTGACCTATTTCAAGCAAGACTATCCGCTGGTATGTCGGGCTATTGCACAGGACCGATAAGAAAACTCATTTCTAGCCGATGTACCTTGCCAAAAGTTCGAGATAGGTATGCGCGTCACGACCTATCGCCCGGGGATTCTATACGACCATCAACTTTTGAGTAGGCATGAGCCCCTGTTGACGTACAGCGACATAAGGTAGCTTYTGCTGTGGGAGCGTTGTGGCGCAGAGCCAGCACACCATCTTCCTAAGAACCAATCATCCAACCCGAGGACAAAGACTCCTGGCAAACGCCTGCGAACTATCCTTGTCGAGGCATCATGGCAGAAGTGAATGAACAGCCGCTTCCTGGAACCATACAGCTGTTTGTGCAGAGCGACCAGGAACTTCGCGACCAGGAAATCACCTTGATTCCACCGCCTACATCGAGTCCGAATGATCCATTGAACTGGTCGCCATGGCGGAAGTACTGGCATGCGGGCCTCGTCCTTTTCATCACTGGCCTGACCGCCGCAACTTCAAACAGTGCTGGAGCCGCCGGAGACGGAATGCTGGCCGAGTTGGGCATTCAGTATTCCGTTGCGAACACTGCGGCAGGAGTGCTGTTCATTGGCATTGGTTATTGGACGTTGTTGGCCAGTCCCATGCCATGGCTGTACGGACGTCGTATTCAGTACCTAATCAGTCTGCTGTTCTCCGTGGGCGGTTCTATCTGGTTTGCACGCATCCGCGGCGTGCAAGATTCTGTCTGGTGTCAGCTGTTTGTCGGAGCATCGGAAGGATGTGCGGAGGCGTTGGCGCAGCTGTCGCTATCTGATCTATTCTTCCAGCACCAGCGCGGATCGGTCCTAGGAGTATACATTCTTGCCACCTCCGTCGGTACCTTCATGGGCCCTCTGGTATCGGGATACATTGCTGCCGACAATTGGAGATGGGTTGGTTGGACAGGAGCGATTATATCCGGTGCCACGCTACTTGTATTCTGCTTCGGTCTAGAGGAGACATCGTTCCACCGGGAAGCCATCTTAGGCCGACATCTGGGCGGGCAGTCACTTCAAAACATCGGCGAAGATGAGAAAACGGCAGATAAAACACAGCTTGACGTCAGAGATTCACGCGAGAGCAATACTTTACCGGGAGATCGGGCAAGAACGTACCCGCAGCGGATCGCTCTTATCACGCCAGCTCCGAACATGATTGGAACAGGGTTCAAGCAGTACTTTCACCGGCTATTTCACACGTTGCGAGTCTTTGGATTTCCTGCCGTGCTTTACAGCGGATTACAGTACGTCAAACTGAAGTAGGGATGGCTCGAAGCCTCCATACAATCCCCCCATTCTATATACTCGACGCATGCTTACCACTCATTCTTCCAATAGATGGGGTGCCCAAGATGCATGGCTGGTGAGTATACTCCATTCGTACTCCAATATTGATACTCATCGAACTTCTAGACTTTCTACTTAACCGTCGAGGAGGACAATTACTATGGCCCACCATGGAAYTACTCCAACTCCGCCGTAGCCATAATGAACGTCCCGACACTCATCGGGGCGACATTGGGCTGCATCTACGGCGGATGGTACTCTGACGTATTCGTCCGCTGGATTGCTAGAAAGCGTGGCGGCGTCAGTGAGGCCGAAGATCGACTTTGGTTGATGTTTCTGTCAGCCATCATCAACCCTGCAGGCCTGATGCTTTTCGGGATTGCGTCGGATAAAAGTTTGAACTGGCCAGCAGCCTATGTAGGGCTGGGGATGATTGGCTTCGGATTTGGTTGTGCCGGTGATATCTCCATGGCCTACCTTATGGATGCCTACCCTGACATGGTTCTCGAGGGAATGGTCGGGGTGGCCGTGATCAACAACACGTTGGCTTGCCTCTTCACCTTTACGACAAGTGAGTATCTGTTCTTGCCCCGTCATCGATGCCAGGGGCTAATAATTTTTCAGGCTATTGGCTTGAAGCCAGTGGCCTTGCGAACACTTTCATTGCCATTGGAATTTTGTCTTTTGCCTTTCAAATGACCACGGTCCCAATGTTGATTTGGGGCAAAAACTGCAGGCGCTGGACATTCGAAAGGTACCAGAGGTTCTTGTACCTGCGAGACGGACAACGATGACATTTAGCACGTGCTCGTTATCCGCGCTTATACGATGCTGGTATCATCAGCTTTGGCTACTTGTTGAAGTTGTTGTATTGTGCCTTGAGTCAATTATCATCCGCATCACTGCAACACTCGACGCACTTGCTGCGTTGAAGAGCAACAACTTCAACGTGGGTCATGAATCTGTGATGTTGAATAGAGAGAACTGTTTTCAAGATGGTGCGTAACTTGTGGAATCATGGATCTAAAGCCATCATGGCAGCATCGTCCACGCCCGCATCATACTCATCAGCCTCGSCCTCTGCCATCACTTGGTCCCCATAGCCATTTTCGTTGGCATCCATACCTTTCTGCTCGTAGCTCTTCTCTGCGTCAAGCTTGGCCTGGTGCTCCATGAGGTCCTCATAACTCCACGTACTGATTCCTTCCTGGAGCTGGGCAGGGAAAGGCTTGGCCATTGTTTTCAGAAACTTTTTGGCTGCTGCAACCGCTTGATCGACCGACATGTTTGCGTCGCTCTCCATCATAGCGCTCCCAATCCACTTCGGGAGCTGATTGCGCTTCTTTGCAAATCTCTTATCTGCCATGACCATGACCCCGTAATCATCTTTGCCTCGGAGAACGCGACCGAGACATTGGGCACAATGCCGCATGGCATCGAAGGATAAAAAGTCGTTCTCGCGGATGCGGTATGTCTCTCTGAGGAACTCYAAGCGTGCTTTGAGAATTCTGGATTCAGTATACTGGAACGGAACACCGATGCAAAGCACAGTGCGTCCGTAATGATGGTCGAAATCGATACCCTCGGAAACTTTCCCACGGGCGACACACAAAAGCACTGCGCCTCTGCCGTTGCTGCAGGCTGTTCTGTAAGTTTCAAGCGCAAGAGAAGTCTCTTGACTATCAGGCGTCTCCACCAAGATCAGCTTGCTTTTCCAGACTTGATCTAGAATGCCCATGCTCTGCCACATGGAAATCACGCTTTCCATGTACAGATACGAAGGGAAGAATACAACAATTCCATCTGGTGTCAACTTGGAGAATTCAATGATGAGATTGCCATAGTTCCGAATATTTCCGGGGTCGCTTCGGGTCTGGAAGCCAGATGACATCTGCCCTTGATCTGATCCTCTTGTGACGATCATTGGAAGAAAGGATCTTCTCGCCAAAGTCATTGCATACGACTCTTGCACCACTGCTGTGAAGCCCAGCATTTTGGGGTACATCTCGAGGGGGGAAATGGTACCCGAAGTGATGATGACAGAGCTGAAACGGTCAAAAACGGGTTTGATAGCTATGGCGGCGTCCAGGCAAGTGAAGTGAAGGATCGGATTTGGAACAGTCGCKGTGTCCGACTCGTAAGGCTCGAGAATCAGCAAGAATCCAGTGTCGTATGTAGCGACGAGTGTAGCAAATGTAGCCACCTCCTGCAATGGCTGATAATCCTCGATGTTTGTGAGCTCCAGCGTTCGCACGAGAGAAGTAAGACGCTCGGCACAAAACCGAAGCGGCTTCTTTTCGATGAACGTTAGCTCTTTCAGATGTTGGAGGAATGATGGAGGTGTCTCAGAAATGACATGAAGAACCTTCATGCGCGTTTTGAGATATTCGATGAAGCGCTTCAGGAATGCGGTGAAGTGCTCAGCACGTCGAATGTTGCCAGGAACAGCCTCTTTTAGAAGGTCGTCCGGGAGTGCAGGATTTGACATGAAAGCACCTTCGTCTCGAGCTTCATCGGCTTCTCGTAGGCCCTCCACTAGTTTCGCATACTCGTTTTGCAGCTTCTCCGCATCAGTGTCTTTCATTTCTGTGATCTTCCTCTCCAAGTTACTGGCGCCTCGCGCTGCCTTTCGTAGGGAGTCCTCGGTGAGATCTATGCTCAGAGACTCAATGCAGACATTGTCAATATTATGAGCTTCGTCGAAAACCACAATGCAATCTTTTGAAAGCTCTTTGGATACACGCTCGGCGATCTTGGGGTCCAGTAGATAATGATACGAGTAGATGATTACGTTACAAAACGGCATCATTCGTCGGGCCGTAAAGTAAGGGCATTGCTTTTGCTGTTCTCCGTACCTCAACATACCGTCAAGCGTCCATACTCCTGGGGGGATCAGGTTGTGTGGCTCGAGTAAATCCAGGTTGTCGTGATAGATGCAAAGATCGACGTCTTCACCACGCTCCTTTTTCTCCTTCACGAAGCCTGCTGTTAGACTTCTGCATCTCGAGTCCACGACGGCGCCACTCTTCTCTCGCTTCACTGAAGGGTGCAGACAGAGGTTCTTTCGACTTGTGAGTCCCAGGCCTCTGAAGTCTTCAACCACGCCCAATTGATCAGATCGGTACTTCATGAGCGCCGCAAGCTCTGCAAGCGCCTTCTCGATCTCAGACATAGTTCGAGAGCAGTATATGAGCTTCCGATGCTCTGGATAGTGTTGCTGATAGGCGACAATGAGCGAAAGCAGAGATACTGTCTTTCCAGTTCCCGAAGGCATCTCCAAGACACAGTGGCCTCCTGTGTCCAACGTGCGCTTGAGATCGCACATGTAGGCATATTGCTCCGGATAGATTCGAGGGTAGGGAAAGAGGACCGGAAGGTCCTCGATGAAGAACTTCATCTTGGAGCKAGTGTGGGTTGAAATACCAGATCACTGTCAACCATGCTCGTCGCCACTATCTTGTCAGATTCGCAGCCGATGCGATCTTTTTACAGAGTTGGAGGTCGTGTCGACACGCTGCTCTCTAGCAAGCTGTCTTGTTGTCGATTCTCGTCGCTTGCTGGTCGATGGCCGGAATAGAGCGAGATGGAAGACGAACAAGGGCAGGCACGCGAATCACGCGCTAGCACGTGCGCAAAACTCTAAATATGTCCGCATCCTTCACGTCATTGGAACGAAATTGAGTCCGGCCTGCAGTCCGCCAACCACATCAACCTGGAGTTTTGTGCGTGTTTGTGATCACTGAAGATTTGTATCCGGCAGGACGGACGCCAACCATTCCCCGTTGCGCGCTTCCCCAGAGATCGAAACAGGCCAAAGATCAGAAAGAGCCTCCAATATGAAGCGGCAGTTCAAGTCGCAAGCAAGCAGTGGCCGCGTTGGGACCTTTGGAAGCTCTGGTTTTGGCTCGACACGATCTTCCGCACTTTCCTACATTCAAGAACCGTTGGACTTCTCTCAGATTGATGATGCAAACGTCGTGGTCGCCTTCAAGAATTTGACCAAAAAGGACGCCACCACCAAGGCGAGGGCACTGGAGGATTTGCAAGGATCTTTACTGGTTGAGGGCAGTGATCTCAACGAAGCCGTACTCGAAGCATGGGTGCGCTTGTTTCCTCGACTCTCAATTGACAATGCCCGCCGGGTGCGTCAGCTCGCCCACATTCTGAATGGCCAGCTCTGTGCAAAATGTGGTAAGCGAGTGGCCAAACATCTCACACAGCTCTCCGGTCCTTGGCTTGCCGGGGTGTTTGACACGGATCGCGCGGCCGGAAAGGCTGCCTCGGATGCCCYCAACGCTGTCTTTCCAACACAGGATAAGGTGGACGGCTTGCGAAGGACTTTTCAGGAATCCATCTTGCAGTACTGCAAAGATGCGCTGCTCAATGAGACTGTGCAGACTCTGAGCGACGAACGAGCCGTGAGCGTCGATGATGCACAAGCCACGCATGCTCGCGTGGTGGCAACGAGCATTGCTGTGWCCAGCAGCCTGTTGGAGCACCTGGCAGCCGATGAGGTGTCGAAGCAGAGCGATTGTTACGACTCCATTTTCAGTGACAAGAAGCTCTGGGAATTTACCACTCACCCGGATGGCAGCGTTCGAAAGGCTACTCATCGTCTTGTCCGTGTTGCGCTGCACAAACACAGCGCACTTGTGAATGATAACCTGAAATTGATCTCAAATGCATACATCTACAAAGGTCTCACATCTGACCAAACTGGCTCGGCCTCAGACTTTGCACAAACCTTGGATCTCCTTACAAGATTGTCTCCCACAGTCTGGACTGATGCATACAACGGAAAGAAGCCGGCCATTTCACGTTTGCGACAGTGTGTCAAGAATGGCTCACACTCTGGGTCGTCGACTTTTTGGGATGCCATGAATAGCGTATTCCGAAAGCTACCGGATGGAGTACTTCCGGCCTCCTACGATGAAATTGCAGATCTTCTTACTGCGGCCAGAGATGGTGCTGGGAAGAGGGAGGAACGTCTGAACGTGTCGTCAAGCTGGCTAGCCTACTTCACACTTGTCGACGTAGCAGCTCAGCTACTTTCTGATGCCGAGGGCGACAAACTCCTTGAGTCGTTTGCGATGCCAGTCGTCTGGCAGTACGTGAGTCCATCAGACAAGACTGCACAATGGAGTGTCGCTGGAAACAAGACAGCACCCATCGTCTCCGAGGTCGCTTCGGTGGGAGGGATCGCGTCCTTGCTAGAAAAGCAGTGGGAAGGCCTTGCAGAYCAGGTCATTGCAACTGCGAAATCCTCGCAGCCTGAGCAATCAAAAGACTTCGACATCTCCCAGAAGCAGGTTGCAGGCGTCGGAGAGCGATGGTCGACCTTACAGAGAGAACTCTTCAACCATGAACCTGGACCGCCAAACTCGCCCAACGGTGTCTTTCTGGCGGCGAACACCAAGATCTTGAATGAAATGATTGCCTTGCTGGACTCGCGCAACGGAAAGCCATACGGCGCAGCGGCTGTTATTGAGCAYCAACTTCGGGCGTGTGCTTCCGTCTTGTTGCAGAGCGAGGATTACAGAGCTGCTCTGCTTCGCTTTGTTGTCAACGATTTGCCTAAGTTGATACACAGTCCATCACAGAGACACCTGGTGCGCTGCATGTACGCCCTAGGGTCAGCTCCCGAGTTCTCGAAGGCATTTCACAGCACACTAGGGGCAGTCTTGGAAAGCAACGAGCCGAATGATTTCAAGGTCCGGGGACTGCAGGCACTATTTCCCGCGGACACGCCACAAAATGCAATCGAGCTCGCTCGGGCATCGCCTTCACTTCAAGAGTTTGCAGTGGCTCTTTCAACTGGCAATGTCGATGCCACGACCACAGATTTGATCTCCAGACTACTGCAAATGGGCGTTGCAGGGCACGAGACATCCGACGAGATACTCTCTAACCTGACCAAGGGACTGTCGCTTACAGGCCCAGTGGTTGCAACTAGTCTCGCGGCTTTTGATAAGCTCGTAGCAACGAATGAGCAGGGCGTGAAAGCTTTCATGACGAAGAACAAGACCGCAGGGGAGCAGCTACTGCCCAGCATGTTGCGTCTCGAGCAGTCTACAGACGATGTAACAGCCGAAAAGGCAGCTTCTTTGTCAAATCGGCTGACGTCTGCCATGGGCTCTGCAGCATCAGGGGCAAAGTATGGTGTCATTATGCAAAACCTGCAGAAAGTCTCTGCTGCGTCTCTACCCATTGACACAGTTCTCGATCTAGCAAGCAAGGTTGCTCCAGAAGACTCCAACATCGAGGAGTTGCTTCCAGACAGTGATGTGTTTTACAACGCGGTCATTGCTGTTGTGAAGCCGCCGAAAGCCTCACTAGCTCTGCTGAGTCCGCTCGGTGGCGCAGTCCATCTCGCCCAATCGGAATCCCCGATAGCACGAGAAGCAATCCAGTACGATGGTGAAGGTCTTTCGCAAGCCTTACGCATTGCCATGTATGTAGCCCGTACCCTCAACAAGACCGAGCTGCCGACAAGTGTCAGCAATGACATTGCCTCCAATCTGGCGCTAATGAGCATTTGCGTCCTTCTCGCGCAGGACGCTACGAGTATATCTGGCGCCAACGCTCTCTGGAAGCCAGATGAGGCCAAGGCTTTGGAGCACGAGGTCATGGATTTCGTGGTCGATGCAAATGCCGTGCTACGGACAAATTCCGAGCGACTGGCAATGGGCTCAGCAGTCGAGCAAGGTGGATTGTTCCCGTCTCTGGCAGCCTTGCAAGATCGAGCTGGAAAGAATTCGCCCATCGCCTACTATGTAGCGCTGGCTGCCGTGAAAGCCCATCAGAACGCCTTCGAGCTGCATGGATACACCACTGAGCAGGCAAAGACGGCAGGGGATAGACTCAAATCGCTTCGCTCAAGCCAGGATCCATTTGCTTTGGCTACACACATCGTGGAATACTCTCAGCCGCTGGCCGGAAGTCAGTCACTCAGCCGTGTTTGCAACGAACTTGTAGCGGACGTTACCGCCCTTGATGTCGAAGACAAGGAGCAGACGGCAATGGAGTCATTGATTGTGTTGAATACCATTTTGCATACTCAGGAAGAGATCGTAACGGACGTCGCAAAGAACCGACTCATATTCTTGGTCAAGCGCATTGTCTCATGGCTTGAGACCGACGCCTCTTTGATTGTCAAAGCCGAGATTTACAAAGCTCTGGTGATCTTGTTGCCCGGTATGGCCGACATGTATGGTGAGCATTGGAGTCAAATCGTTGAACTACTGGTCTCGTTCTGGAAGACTCCTACCGCGATAAGAGAAGATGGCGTCGTGTCAGATACCGGCATATTGCTCGTACATGCATCGCTTAAGCTCTTCGCGACCTTGCAAAAGCTGGCAAAAGTATCGGATGTCAGTGATGATTTGGTTGAGAGCCTCAAAGAGAACAAAGAGTCCATCACCGAAAGCCTGATATCACTCTTGCAGGCTTTTGGCGGGTTCTCGGATGAGAACCACAAGCCTCTGATGGTAACGAACGAGTTGCTTGGAAGGCTGATATCCCACCTCCCTCCCAAGACGTTGAGAGAAGCTGAAGATCTTTTTCCACTGCTGTACGCACCTTCATGGGCCATTCAGACTGCAGCCTTCGAACTGCTCCACAAGCATATCCCAGCAGCGCAGGAAAAAATATCCTTCGATGCTGCGCTGGAGAACAAAGCTGCCCACCTGCCCGATGAGCTCCTCTCTCTGATCATAGATGCGCCAACGCTCGACAGCCTAGCCGAAGCCTCCTTTCTCAATGCCATGCCATTGCAACTCCATGGCTTTCTGAATAGCTGGAGGGTTCTCTTSGACCATTTCAACGGTTCAAGTTTCCGCGTTAAAGGCGACTATGTCGAGCAACTGAAGGAGGGCGGTTATCTCACTGGMCTGTTAGATCTCACATTTGACTTTCTGCGGCACACAACAGGTCGGCCTATCGATGCCTCGAAATTCAACGTCGCGGAATATACACCACGATTGGAGGAAAACGTGGAGACAGATGTGCAGTGGTTGTTGGCGCATCTGTACTACCTCTCGTTGTCATATCTGCCCAGCCTGGTCAAGACCTATGTCCTCGACCTGCGCTCTCGTACAGTTCCTCRGACGATCGAAACGTGGACATCCAAATACATCAGTCCAATGATCATCACGTCGAGCCTTCAGGAGGTCGCAGATTGGTCTGAGAAGAGCGTGAAAGACGACCCCGACTACGAGAATATGACAGTCAAGGTCGGTTTCCGTAGCAGGGAGATCAACGTTGGCTACATGGTCGATGAGCAGACCATGACAATCAAAGTGACTCTGCCCGAAGCATATCCGCTCGACTCTGCGAAGGTGACAAGCGTGAATCGCGTTGCAGTGAGGGAGGAGAAGTGGCAGAGCTGGCTGCGAAACTGTCAGGGCGTCATCACTTTCTCGGTAAGTGGCGAACTCGTTCCGTATCAACCGTGAGAATKCTAACATTGTGCCTCACAGAACGGAAGCATCACCGATGCCTTGACTGCGTGGAGGAAGAACGTGAGTGGCACACTCAAGGGCCAGACCGAATGTGCTATCTGCTATTCCATCATCAGCGGTGCGAAGGAATTGCCGACAAAGAGATGTACGACGTGCAAGAATTTGTTCCACTCGAGCTGTCTCTTCAAGTGGTTCAAGAGCAGTAATGCTAGCACTTGCCCATTGTGTCGGAATGCATTTAACTTCAACTGAATATGCTCAGTGAGGAGGAGGGGAATGGAGATCCGAATACAGTCAGATAAAACAGAAATATTTGCATGTATAGCTCAATAGCACCGCAAGAGGCACGGTCAAGTCGGGGGTGTTTCGATGAGACTGACCCCTGAAATACGCCAGATAGGAGCTGGGGAGAAAGCCAGATTGAGCGTGGGAAGCCTTTCATGTTGGAGTCGCTCCGATTGTGCGGTCTCCTTTCACACTCAGATATGCTATCAACACAAGAGAGGCAACGCAGCGGCTTCAACGCTCTTCGTGTGCTCCAATGTCATCTCTCAGCCAATGGCTGCCAATGTGCCACACCTGAGATTACAAAACCTGACGATGTTGCTCCCTGCCGCATCTCATGAGAGATCACGGTATTCCCAGCACAACAGCGTATGCCTCCCTCGGCGATACAAGCACGCAGGAGAATGCATGGATAATATATCAGCATAAAGTACTACATCACAGCCAGAACGCAGCTTACTCTCAACCTCAACCCCAACCTCAATCACCACCGGGACACCCGCGCAGAGACCGGAGGAATCTTTCCCGGAGCAGAATAAATGAAACCCGGATGCTCGTATGTTTCCTCTCCTCCTTTGAGAAATACAAATATTGTCCAGAGTACTCATGTCCAGTATGAAATAGGAGATATTATCCAAGTCCACGCGGGATTTCGAAGACAGTTGTGGTTGAAAGGGAATATTGAAGGAAAAGCACATACTGGGAGGGCGGACGAGAAGGATGGGTATGAGACGAGTTTACATTGTTACAAGAGTACGACGGTGGCTTTGTTGGAGAAAAATCYGCCTTTGGATGAGTGAATGTGATGCTGAGCTGATCTTGTTGACGTGTTTGGTGTTTCAAGAAGGTCAAAGCAAATCATCCAGTGCTTCTAACAACCATGGGCGCCGTCTGATCATGCATTACCAGCTGCTTCTGCGAGCTGGTATATGGCAATTCGAATTGGCTGTGTGTTCATGAGGGGTTGACAGTGAGTTCTCTATCGTCCGTTGATTCATACACTTGGCATGTTTCGAAGGGGTATACCTACAAGACATCCCTCAAACCTCCCTCTATTCATTCCTCAACACAATCAGTCCTCATCCCAGTTCGGGTTGGRACCAGGTGGTTTCGGTCCACCCGCCTGTCTCGCAACGATGATCTGATCCACGCTCAGTACTGTCCTAGCAGCCTCCGTGGCGAGCTTGATAGCCCAGGACTTGGTGACCATCAAGTCCAGAATGCCCTCCTCCTCCGCATCCAGGGTGCCCGTTCCAGAGCTACCGCTTGTGTCGAGATCCACTCCAATGCAAGGAATCTCCTCATCGCTGTCGTCTTCCTTGCCTGCCTGTACGGCGCTGTGATGTGCGGTGTAGAGCTTCGCCAGAATCTCTGTGGCGTCGAGACCAGCGCTCTCGGCGAGTGTGCGAGGGATGACTTCGAATGCCTCTGCATATTTCCGTATCGAGTATTGTGCGAGGCCGGAAGTCTTATCTGCCAGTGCGGTCAGGCGCTCAATCAGCTGCATCTCAGCGGCGCCCGCACCGGGCACTAATCTTGGGTCTCTGGTGATGGCTTTGAAGACATTGACACCATCATCGACAGCACGTTCGACATCGTCAAGGTGATTGTGAGTTGCGCCGCGGAGGACCAGAGTTGCCGTTCGTGTTTGGTCGTTCTCTTGTCTGAAGACCGTCACGCGGTCGCCGCCCATCTCGAGGGTCTCCACAATATCCACACTTCCCATCTCGTCCGGCATGGGTGCGCCAAGACGTGCAAGAGGTGTTGCGCCCACCACTCTGCATAACCGTCGAAGCTCAAACTTGGACAGAACTTTGATGACCAGAATGCCGAAGCGGTTGAGGTAGTGAAGTGCGAGCTCACCGACCGGACCGCCTGCCACCACAACACGCATACCAGAGTCATGCAGCTCCTTGATCGAGTTCTCCATCTGTGCCTCCTCGCCCTTGGTGAAGTTGTACAGTTCCTTGCTGTTCTTCAGCAGGACGGTTCCCTTTGTCTCCGTTTGAGAAATGTCGATGGGACAGCTGAACACTCCGACCTTGGCCTTGACGGCCTTCTTGACGGTACCATCGGGCTCGCGACCAAAGACCATACCTTTGACCACCTTGGACTGCTCCAGCGCACCACCCATAATCTTCACGACGCGGATGTTGTCAATGTTGAAATTGTAGGGGTTCTTCGGCAGAACGGCAAGCACGGCCTCGGCGACCAAGTTGGCGAGGAAATCCTCAGAGCCGGACTGTTTCGCGGCGACAACGGTACGAATAGCCTTTGCCAGCTCAGCTTGATCGCGAATGTTTTCCACCTTGTCGACCTCCAACTCTTCCAGCGCGGCGAGCGCAAACTTCCCCGCGCGCTCATATCCCTGTACAATCTCGCTGGTCTTGAGGCCCATTCTCAGCAACTCCTCGGCCTTCTTGAGCAGCTCACCAGCGAAGACAATGACCATGTTGGTGGCATCACCCATCTCAGCCTCCTGCTGCTGCGACGCCATGACCAGCAATTTCGCCGCGGGATGAACGACTTCGAGCTCGCGCAGAATGGTGGCTGCGTCGTTTGTGAGGATCATCTTTTGCAAGTGATTGATGACGATCTTGTTGCGTCCATAAGGGCCCAGCGATGTCTGGACGGTCGAGGCGATGGTGCGGCACGCGTCAATGTTGCGAATGACGGCGCCATCCTCTGCGTCGTAGCTGTCGCGGTGTCAGCATACGTGCAGTGTTGCAATCCAAACAGCTACACTGACTTTTGGTAGCCAGCCTTGAAGAGTCCGGCGTTGGGCGCATTGGGTATTGACAGCGACATGGCTGCGACGGTTGTATTTGTATCTGTCCAGGCGGTTTGTAGTAGCGAGAGACCGTGGGTGGGTTAGGTTGATGTGGTGGAAGAGATGTGAAGTTGATGTTTGTAGTGGGAGTTGGAGTTGTTGCTTCACCAAAAAATTGTCGTATCGAATGCGAGCAAAGTACTCCCGCGGGGGTCTTTGATCATGCATGTATGTGGTTACATTTTATATTTGCTATCATCGTTCTCGGCACATGCTCATAGATGGACGTAGACCAGCTCCATGGGCATATGATGGCTATATCAACGGCAAGCAAAATGTTCGCGATCGGATTACCTTGCATTCAGGTTCAGCTTTCTTCAACTTCCATAGACGACAACTTCAGCTGATTAATTACTTTCTACTCGCAAGCTTCGCACCCGACCAGAGTGGACCAGAATTAAGGCAAGTCTATCAGGATACAGCTCCTTCATTCTCATCGGGAGTCTCGCTTTCCCTCACAACTCGATTGAAGTCTTCAGAATGAGTCTTCGTCTTACCAATGACTTCGGCACCAAAAGGACAATCCGGATCACGATGGCCTAAATCCTTGGGCAGCATTGAACTAATCACTGATGACCAATGTGCAAGGTGATGGAGAGCTTTGACGTGGCGAGGTCTACATAGCGATGGAGATGGAAAAGGGGAGTCGGCGGTAAATGACAGTAAGGTACCGTAAGATGTAGGCATGTACTAGCGCAGCTTATGTAAAAGCATCAGAAGTGAAGCTCCAACAGAACAACCCAAAAGCTTCCAAACTCAATCATTTCTGGGAAGCTCTCCAACACCCTCGACGAGCATGATCCAACGACAACTTCCTCGAACGCTTGTCCAGACGTCGTTCCGCGTGAAAAGCTCCTCAACATGCCGAACATGCACCTGTCGCTGCGGGCTCTCCTTCGAGCTGCTCCCCACCACACCCAAACCACAGCAACAACGACGAGCATATCACCCACCCCGCGCCCCTTCGACCAAAGATCGCGCCAGGAACCGTGGGAGTATCCCACTCACGCCTGCTCAAGCTGCCGAGTGGAATTCTCGCAGACAGCAAAACCATCGATGGTTTGATCACACACTTGAAACTTTCTGCCGCTCAGGCGGCATCACCTGCACCTTCGAACAGGCCAAGGAGTTTCTCGCCGATTTCTCTCAAGCAATGGACCTGGCTCGAGGGCAGAGCAGCTTGGACCCGCAGGTGTTCAACGCCTTGATGATCAAGCATTCCTTCAACTATTTCTGGGCCAATACCATCAGTACGACTTTGTTGAAGGATCATATTCCGCAAAATTTGTATGTGGGCAAGAAGTTGCTGTACACGCTGAGTAGAGCTGGGTATGAGGAGAGCACGATAGCGGTCATGGCGCATGCGATTCTGCAGAGCAAGGGCAAGCCCGCACTGTTGAATAGCAGGGAGATTGCGGTTAGCCGGCAGCATCTTACGAAGATTGCAAATTCGAATGAGACCACGAACTTTCGGGCAATGGTGTTAGAGGGCAAGGTTGCGTTGAATCTGCGGCAAGAAGAATACGCAATTGAGATGTTCAACAGGGCCATGAATGCTGCTGTGCAGGCCAGTGAGCGGGAGCTGTCACAGGTGAACAAGGAGGATMACCGAAGAGACTTGTTGGAACTGACAGCTCCCTGGCATGAGTTGATGCAAGTACACAGTCATCGTTCGCAAGTGAAAGGGCTGGACGAGTGGGCAGAATGCGAAGCGGCCATGGAAATTGGATGTCAGCAAGACGATCCCTTGGCTCACAAGTTCAAAGCGGACCATGTAAAATGCTGGGAGAAAGTCGAAGGACAGGAAGAGTCCGTGCACCTCGGAACCAGCGACTGGCTATATCACATCACCAAGGCCGCCTCATCAGGTATGCCGCAAGCCGCTTACGAATTAGGAGTGTTCTACGCGGAGAGCGGATGGAAGTACATCGAGGACGAACCCCCGAATCACGTCAAACCCACACCTTTTGATTCATATCCTTCAAGTCGAAGTGTGAAGACTTTCTGGGATGATGTGCTTCGCTTCGTCGGAATCACTGGTGCGAAATTAACACCCCAGGAACGAATATTCCAAAACGCGGTGTTCCCCCACACAGCTGTTGATCGTTTGAAGATGGCCATGGGCTGGCTCAAAGAAGCAATGAAACTTGGCTACGCTCCGAGCTTCCTAATGATGGCAAGGCTCTTCAATCGCAAGACTCTGTGGGCGCAAGCCGACGCTCCACAGTCGGCCCTGCAATTGCAAGACTCGAGATACACCTACGCCTCGCAAGAAGATTTCGAAGCTCGTAGACCCATTCAAAGAGACAGTGTTCCGGAGCCGGAAGATCCTCCGAATCCTCTCTACGACCCCGAAATGGCGCAGAGATGCCTGTGTGATGTCTTTGGGGCGTACGAGGCTTCGAGATATGAATCGCGGATGAAGGCACAGTATCAAAAACAGATGGCTACGGGCGATGGCGATTTGCCAGATCCAGACGACGCATTGTCTACGCGCCACATGATCAGACGCGGAGGATTACCGCCGAAGATGGGGAAGTGGTTTATGTTTCCTGAGATGAGGGAGCTGAATGGGGCATTAGTCAAGGGGTTATGGGAGGAGGCGAAGGCCATGTGCGAGGAGGAGGGCTGGGTGCTTGTTGATGAAGATGGAGGGTTGGTGTATAAGGCGGGGCTTGGAGAGAAGAAGCTGTAGATGTCGCAGCGAGACGGTGGTGCTGTATAAATACGAGTGCCAGATCCATTGGCGATCTCTAAGACCCAAATCTCTCCTCGTCCCTGTCGAAATATCGTACAGACATGCATATGCAACGCAAAATGAGATCATAACCATCCGCTCTTCATTGATTCACCGCAGTGAACGCATTCCGCCCTCCATCATGCTCCTCCTGCCCGTTGCCCACCGCTTGAGTCGACGAAGGCGCACCCACTTCCATACTGTTCATACTATTCACCCTCTCAGAGCGACCACCACTATTCGGCAGCCCGTTCGATGGTGGCCCGTACGGACTTCCATGTGGCATTGGAGGCGGTGCTTGTCGTTGCTGCTGCTCCGAGTAGAAATATCTCCCATCATCCGTCACCATATTTGGCGGAACCATCGAGTTTCCTGGCCCTGGAACTAGTTGCGCAGATCCTACATTCGGATCTGAAGGGTTTCTTGACTGTGAAGGCGTGTATTGTTGGGGTCCGGGCTGCTGTGGTGGCTGTGCGAATCCCGTCTGCTGATTGCCGTTTGCATTGCCTGAGGTCGGTCGTCTGCGCTTGTCGCGATGTGGGCGATCTGGTGGAGGAGTKGCCATTCCTTCTTCGCCGCTGCCATCGCTGCCGTCGATGTTGGTATCCATTCTTCTGCGCAGTTCGTCGAGGAGGAAGGCACGTTCGAGGCGCATTTTCATGATTGCTCGGTCGAGACGCAGACGGCGAAGTCTGGCTTCATCGTTGGCCGCTTCGACTTCATTGAGGCGACGTTTGAGGGCGATGCATTTGCGGTAGTAGGCTTTCTCGACGCTCGGCGCGAGCGGCGCTGGGGTTGTCGCGGCGTCTGCGGAATTGATTAGCTTGGAGGATGATGGGGAGGCTTGAGGTGGGACATACCACTGTTCATTGCGAGGTATGGACGAATATTCAATGTGCGTTGGACGGAGATGTAGTTCTCGAGCACTGGGGCGTGGAGGAGCTACGAGGGAGGTCGCAACTGCGGGATCGGCAATCGCGTCAGGGTCAATGCGCGTAGAGTGCATCCATGGGAGTACCACATGCATGGATCCAGTCGCACGTGCACCGCACTGCTTTTCTTTCCACAAACATCACATCGCCAGTCGACAGCACGTTTCGGGGTCTAGGAACAGCAATATTTGTCGCTGGACACAAAGCTTCTTGTCCATGACGAGATCAGATAAGGCCGCAGAAGTTTCCTCATCTTGCTTCCAYTTCCTCACAGCACACTTCCAATCTTACACTCTCACAATGCAGCAAGAAGACGTCTGGACGCACATTCCCTCCAAGTCCAAGCGTCATCGAAAGCCTGCTCTTATTAGCACAACAAATCTTCCTCTGAAGGACCTCACACTTTCCAAGCTCTCCGCAGAATTCCACACCAAGCTCAAAACCTGGCAGCATTCCTCTTGTCGTCAAACAGCCTTACGTCTTCTTTCCAGGATCCGCCCAGAGAAAGGGTGGAACTTACACAAAGCGATTTGCCTGGGTAGCGGCAGCCTGAGCCGCGAGAATTGGGAGTGCAGACGACGGAGCGTGTGGCAGTTTGTTGTGTTTTATGATCTCGCACGTCATCTCCTGGGAACCGAGCACGATTGTACTCTGTATGCGCAGGAGCCGGCTTTCACAGAGCTGGACGGAAAATTCCTCGCAACTCTAGGTATCTCGGTCTTGGAATCGCAAGTCGGGATCGTAGGGATGGGAGCCGCGGGAAGCGAATTGGGAGGAGAAACCTTCCTGTTCGAGCCCTTTGTTGATATGGACTCAGGGATGTTAGAAGCTATGCTGAAGGGCGGAGTGGGACTGTATATGGGGAGTTCAATTGGTGGGATCTTGGAGAGGAGGGAAGGGAGCGAAGTAGGGAGGTTATCGAAGGAGTTTTGTCGAGGGAGGGAGATGCTCAAGTTTCCGATGTTCGAAATCGAACCCAATGTTCTGGACGGCATGAGGATCTATTGGAGGGAGGAGAGCGATGAGGACGATGATGAAGGCGCAGTGTGAATCGCGGCATGGCCGGGACATGCCTTATACGTTGGCTCTCAGGATCGAACGAACCGCTTGGCTGCTAGGTTCACGAGTGGCTGGACAGAAGTGAGCAACCTCCATGACCTGCTTCCCATGACCTATGGAAGAAAGCAGATCACCGCCCCACCGGCAATGTCAACAGTTGCACACTCAGGAACCGCATTCGGAACTTTAAGGGGACCACTGAGGGAAAAGGACATGAGATTTGCTACGAGGTTGCTCATTTCTGCTGCCTAGCCCTACGATGAGTTCATGTTCTTCAGAAAATCTAGTCCAGGACAAACTCTAGCACGCGGAAGAGAACACGAGAACGACTTGTGACCTGAGTTGAGTTGATATTGGTGTTGCAATGGAGAAGAGCAAGATMCAAAGATCGATCAATGCCGGCTAATCGTTCATCACCCTACCCACTCACCCCACTTATCCAAAGCTAGGCCGAGTGCTCCGCATCTCTYTCCACTATCACGAAGTACACTACTCACGTCTCTTCCTTTAATACTACTCAGACCCGAAATTCTGTCCAAGAACATTCACAACTACCATCATGGCGTCTAGCTCCGAACAGGTCCCTCACACTCATGACCATCCACACCCACCAGTGCCACAAGATGGTTGGAAGACCGAAGGCGTGCGAGTGATCCCGGCCGACTCACTCGACGGCAATACAGCTCAGACGCCAGGAATGGATCGTAAAGCAGCCATCAACTTCGCCAGAGTAGGAGCTCAGAAACTATGGGTAAGATCGCTGTTCGTTCTGTTTTACTATGATACCATTTAAACATGTGCATTGTAGGCTGGAACAGTCCACATTCATCCCGACGCCAAAACTGGAGCTCATCATCACGGTCACCTCGAATCAGTAATATACGTGCTTAAAGGCAAAGCCCGCATGCGGTGGGGCGAGAAGCTGGAAWTCACTGCYGAAGCTGGACCAGGAGACTTCATCTAGTACGTTCCACCTTCACCTAGCTATATGGAAGCAGTATTAACCAAGCTATTGCAGTGTACCGCCCTATGTACCCCATCAGGAGATCAATGCCAGCGCCGACGAGAAGTTGGAGTGTGTGTTGATGCGAAGCGATAGTGAGGCTGTGGCAGTGAATCTTCCGGACTTGGAACCGATTGAGAAGCCTACAACAGTCAAGTGGATTGATCCTACGCATGTGGATTAACAACATTCACAATTCACTCTCTTGTCATGACATATAACTTCCCATGCGAGATAGTGTATATCACTGCCACTACACTATGGGGGACTGACATTGACGGCGTTCATGAATACTGTTGCTATGCAAATACCTGCTCCTCATCGTTACAAGCCACCACTTTCTCTCGTAACCTCATTATCCTCTTACTACCGTTACAGGACTCTACTCCCAAATATACCTGAGCTTCTGAATGCCCTTGAACACTCTCTGCGGCTTCTCCTCTGCGATCAACTCCTCCAATCCAGTATGAAGGTTGACTTCTTCAGGAAGACGGGCCCAGCGGTCCTTTCGTGCGTAGAAGCGGTGGCCGAAATAGAAGACGAAGAAGAGTGGAATTCCCACGTAAGCGGTAAGGAAGCTGCTGGCGAAGCTGCCCTTGTCGACCTGAGAAGGGGTTGTCAGTAATTTGTTGAAGCAGAAGATGGTGAGATACTTACACTCCAGAATGTAGCGAAGCCGTTGAGGAAGCACAGAATTGTGAAGACGACAACCACGACGTAACTTCCCCACGGTTGCAACCACTTGGAGTAATACGGTAATTCTCCGAGGGTGATTCCTTGCGCTCTGCAAGCCTTTCGGAATCGAATGTGGATGATTCCACAAGCGACCCAGCTGATGAAGCAGGATGTGTTGGTGAGGTTAACGAACCAGTTGAAGACCACTGCCGAGTCATTGGCCACATTCAAATAAGCAAGTGCGCAGAAGATGGCGCTGGCACCGACGGCGCGATATGGGACTCCGTTCCCGCTGCAAACGCGGAAAAAAGCTGGTGCGTTACCGCTCATTGAGAGGGCGTAGAGAGACCTGCTGGAGAGGAACATGAAGGAGTTTCCAGAGGACCAGGCGGAGAGGATGATTCCACCGTTGATGATCGAGTCGAGGTAAGGAATCGATGCATTCTTGATGGCGACAACAAAGGGGGAGGAACCTGCCCCAACGGCGCCGCYTGTAAGACGAGCGTCGTTAGAAGGGCAAATCAAGCCAATGGCCAAGACGGATCCTGGAGAGGTGATGAGTATAGTGCTTGTCATACAATGTTGTCATCTTCGACTTACCGACGTAAAAGACAATCAGACGCCAGATGTATCTTCTGGCGGCGGTGGGCAAGTTACGACGGGGGCTCTCCATTTCTCCACCCGTAGCCACGAGGAGCTCTGGTGCGAATGCGAATGGGAAAGCTGTCAAGATAAAAGTCGACAGCAGAGCCAAGAAACGACCGGTGTCTCCTTTCTCAAGATAAGTGTTCACTGGACCAGGCTCTTTCCAATCTGTTGTGCAATTTTTTATTAGCACGATCATCAGCGCCCCATTGGCGAAACTCACATCTGAAGCCAAGACGATCCCTGCTTGGTCCACCTCCCCAGAAGAGAATGAATGACATGGCAAGAAGCCCCAGCATCATGATAACCTTCATTCCGGCAAACCAGAACTCCGTCTCCTATTTTCGATTAGCGCTGGAACTAGGAGTACGCAGGATTTCACTTACGCCGTAGAACTTGACAGGAAGCAGGTTCAACCCCACGATGACAACAATCATGATGGAGATCCAGACCGCTATGTGCACATTTGAGTTCCAGTAGTTAATCACCAGACCGGCAGCTGTGATTTCGTAAGGTACCAGGATTCCAAGAGAGTAGAAATACAGCCATCCCAAGCTGAATCCTAGGGTGCGGCTGACGTAGCGATGTCCAAACTAGATGGATGTTAGAGAAGTCTTGAATGAGGCAGCGAGAAGATATTCACCCTGTCAGAATGTCAGTAAAGTAGAGCGTGTGAGCAGAGGCATACTGACATGTTCATCGAGCAACCTGGAACGGGGAGCCAAGCGGCCACTTCACCAATGCCCGAGACGAGACACAGGACCAAGAACGACATGAAGATATAGGATCCCAGGATGAAGATCGGCCCTCCACGCGCAAGAGTCTGTCCGCTTCCAACGAACAATCCCGTACCGATGGAACCTTTCGGGAAGTATCAGCTCACGGTTCAGCGCGACATGTCAGGTCATAGACTCTACCTCCAAGCGCAATCATCTGTGCATGGCGACTCTTCAGCCCACGCTCAGTGGTCTTCTCGTGCGTCACCAAGACTTCGCCAGCGACGATGTATGTTCCATCCTTGCCATCTCTACCACTCCCGCTTCCCAATGAGTCGGGTCCTTTTTCGGCGCGGCCAATATCTTTCTCCGGGTCCTGATATGACATTGGTCCAGACATGATGAACACAAGCCGAGTTCAACTCGGATAGTTCAAAAGACAAGAGGAATGGAACGACGAGTGAAATGACAATGAGAGCGGCGCGGCATGCTGACGGTTTAACAGCGCGTCTCAGCCCTGTCCAGCACCCTACTGCATCCGATATCTGCCAAGAGCATCTAGAAGACCGGTAGAAGGTAATCCCACAGTTTTGCAGGGTATATAGAAGAGCCGAAGACATTGCGAAAGAAAGGTGGAGGGCAAGCGTTGCAGATTGTGCCTTATCTACTCTGTGCCAAGTGGCCGAAGTTTGGAAATGGAGATGCTCCGACAGCGGTTACGCCGTGAGCATGGGTCCGCGAGACTGGTAGTCTGGACGCTGGACTCGCGCTGGAGGTGAGTGCTGCGTGAAGCCTGGTCTATTGGCCGTTTGAAGGGCTCAAACCGTGTGGCGCTCCACCATTGATGCATCGTCCTAGTGTTCGTCTCGTTGAGAGATAGGTAGCAAAGGTGAGGTGATGTCGAATGTCACGGCGACGACATGTGGTAGCATGTGGACTCCGCCTGTTGCCGCTCTTGGCACTCATTCCCCTGTCCATTGCTCGATAGCGATTAGCATCCTTGTAAATTGAGCATGGGACTGCCTGTTTCGAAGCTGCCGCCCCGGAGGTCGCACGTGAGACTGAAGGAACGCAAGGCGCACTGCTTGAGCTTGATTTGGGAGCTTCTTCTTCATCATCCCTCCATGCACTGTGATTCTTCATGATGAAATCATCATGTAGGAGCAATATGATGTTGCGGGGACTCGATGGAGAATGGCTCGAGAATGGGCCGGCGGATGAAGTCATCAAGGTCTCCCACTCGGCGTCTTGAAAGACCCCTCCCCTCATTGATCATCATTCATTCGGCGACTCAGCCAGAGTGGGCGGGGTCGAGGTGAGAGCAGTTGATACATAAAACTGCTGGAGTAACGAGAATACTATTGCGATCAATTCCTCAACACAATCCGAACCCCAAGATAACCACCTTCCTACGAATCCAACCATGGCTCAATCATTCCGTCAGTTGCTTGGAGTGCCTGCTTCTACCGCAAGCCCGAGCGACTCCACTCTGATCATCATTGATGCTCAGAACGAATACGCCGAGGTTAGTGAGGAGGAGGAGGAGGAGGAGGATTCGAATGAGAGAATACATGGACTAAGTCTGGTATACATTGCAGGGAAAGCTGAAGGTCACAAACGCACCTGAATCGAGGAAGAACATCTCCGCATTGCTGGAGAAGTACCGCGCCGACAAGGGCAAGATTGTTCACGTCAAGCACATTGTCCCAGATGGGGGTAAGCTTTAGGCACTTCTCTCTACAATGTGCGATATACGATTCTGACAGGCCAAGCCCCGGTATTCACGCCCAAGACTAAGCTTCAGGACGAGTTCGAGGAACTCACTCCAAAGGACGGCGAGGAGGTGATCGAGAAGAACCACCCTAGTTCTTTTGCAGACACTTCCCTTGACCAATACCTAAAGGGCGCAAACTCGAAGAAGATTGTCTTGACAGGCTACATGGCTCACGTCTGCGTCTCTACGACTGCCAGAGACGCCGCAAGACTGGGCTACGATGTTGTCCTTGCCGAGGACGCTATCGGCGACAGAGACATCCCAGGTGCGTCCGGAGCCGAGGTGACCAAGATGGTCATGCACGAGCTGGGAGACGCGTTCGCAACTGTCGTGCAGTCGAAGGACATTAAGTAGATTTGATAGGCTCAGTAGCATATCTACAATCCTTTCAAGAAGTCCAACACCTCTTTCGTCACAGCTTGGCTTTGCTCCTGCTGCACCCAATGACCAGCATGATCGATCAATCGCGTACCTTTGAAACAACCAGGTCGAACACATTTCTCATCCTCGTATGCTTCAAACGCACCGGGCTGCTGGAAGTTGCCCCAATCCTGCTTTCCACTGATGAACGTGCACGGAACCTCGATCCTACGTCCGGCGTAGAGAAGCATGTCCTTCTTGGATTGAGGAGTCGAGGCCGTTTGGGCACGGTACCAGTTGAGAGCGCCCTGGAATCCCGTACGACTCCATTCCTGCACATATACCCTCAGGTCGTCCGCAGGGAGCCACGATTCTGTCTTGCTGTAGTCTTCGCCTTTCATGCTCTTCTCGACAGTCTGAGGAAAGGAGTCATCCTTGGCCATGACATAGTACTCGGGCATCACTTCAATCTCCTTTGCACTCCATTCCTTCAATGGGTGAGGGTCATTCTTGTCCCAATCGGCGCTCTTCAAGTGAAAGTAACCACGCAAATACTTTTCAAGTCCCTGAGATGGATGATCCCAATCGTTGGCAGCACCTGCAGTGGAGTTGTACCACTTGTAATGCTTCCTTGGTGGGCTCAGTTTTGCTAGGTCAGCTTGTATATCAACCGGTGGCGGCTTGGCTTTGTCGCCCAACTGTGGTGTGGGAAGTGCATGATGCGGATGGCTCATCTGAATGGTCGCCTTGAAAATATCCGGCCGTATCAATGCCGCCATCGCAGATGATACGGCGCCGAAATCGTGTCCGATGATGCCTGAATATTTACTCAGTGAAGGCACGATTGCAACCTTGAAAATCACCTACAGGCCACATCAGTGTACCCGAGCCTGTACGTCAAGCAGACTAGGTCCCGCACGAGATTGGTGATGGTATACTCTGCCAGGTCTACTTCATGGTAGGGCTTGTCGTCCCATCCAGTCGTCCTTCCGTAGCCTCGTTGATCCATGGCTACGCAGTAGTATCCTGCTTTTGCCACGGCGGGTAAGATTTTACGCCAGGAGAAGGCGAGCTCAGGGTAACCATGGCAGAACAGTATGAGCGGTCTACCTGCTTCGCCAGCCTTGAGGATATGGAAGTTCAGTCCGCACGAAGAAGTACAATCGAGGTAGTCTTCGGAAATATCGTCGGGAAGGGGAAGGGGTTCGAATGCCATGATCGTAGTGGAGAAATGGGAGAGAAGCTCTTATGCTCGCGTCTTACTGAGAATGCGAGAAAGTCAAGTTGAAAGGCACTGAAATCGCTGTGATCTGGTGTTCCTCTAGATAGTGAGATGGAGGAGAGCTTCGGTTTCGCTCGGCAAATACCTCTCTACGCGAGCAACAGCTCAGCTGGGCAGCCAGATTGTAGCCCCGACATCATCAGAACCGCTCTTGTCCGCGCTGCGTCTCTATCGCATTCGGCGGTTTGGTCATGCTGTCTCGTGAGCGGTCTTGATCGCTGCTGAGATGATTCCAGCACGCGTCGATGAATATTGCGCCAAACGACTCCCGCCCGGCAGGCTAATTCTGCGCGATGAAACAAAAAGCCCTCGGGCGGATAGCAACACGAGTGGATGTGGAAGGAGAAAAAATGGAAGTTGCCGTCGTTGCACAGAGCCTCCGCTTTCATTTCCGCCAGCGGCTCCGGCTATGGCCGCCGGGAGCATTTCCGAGATGCAACATCATTCGGAGACAAACGTCGCGAACAACCTTGCACGTTGAAGCATGCGAGGGCATCTCTCGGCATGTGAGAGGGGAGAAGACACAGCAATTCTCCATCCCCATATTGAGCCACACTGCAGACCTCGTTCGTAGGTATTCGATAGGAGGACTTTCACGAGGACATTAGGACTACCTAAACCGCCGACAGGGGTGTTGGTGTCGCCGATATGTCGCCAATCACGAACCAGGACAATTGCGGGTGCTTGCATTGATCAGATAGATCATCTTGGGAAGTTTAGATCCTGAAGAAATACCAGTCAACTGGATCTCGCTCGTATCCAGCCTGGTCCTCCTGTGTTTGCTTCATCTTTTTCGCTGCTTCATTCACTTCTTCGTTCCCTTCCGAGCACACTGTCATTTCCACGCTCTTGCATTTCGCGCATTTCCTTCACACCAACATCATCCGCAGTCTACAGATCTTCACCATCTACAAGATGCTCTCGCTCACCCTCGCGGCTTTGGTCGTGGCCGTCTCTGCTCTAAACGGCATCGTGGTCCCTGCTTCAATCGAAGCTGGCACGGGATTCGAGGCGTCCTTCCAAGATGCCAACGATGACCAGTACCGAATCTACGTGGCCGCAGCCTTGTCTGGAGTCAACGGACCTACCTGTAAGTAGTTTGCGCGATAAAGTTTGATATTGATCCTTGCTTATACACACCCTGCAGGCTACCTTGTCAACTCCACTTCGCTAGACGCATCAGTCAACCTGACTATTCCCGCGGACATCGGTCCATCAGCTTCCTACTACTCCATCGCCATCGCAGACCTCACCACTGGCCAGGCTTCCACTTTCAGCAATCGTTTCAACTTCACCAACGCCACCGGAGAATATTCAGACTACGAAAACCAACTCGGAGGGTCTCCATTCTGGGATGCGAACTCTCTCCCATGCAGCGCATACAGCTGTGCTCGCGAATGTGCCGACGCATCGTACCCGGAAGACCTGACGGAGACCAAAGCCTTCGATACCATGTCCAAGTGCATCATGGCTTGCGATGGTGTGACGGCCTCTGTCAACCAGACCTCTCCAGCACACGCTTCGACAACGAGCTCCACTTCCAGCTCCAGCTCCAGCTCTCAGACCAAGACGGGATCCGCCGAAGCAGAGACGAGTAGCAGTGCAGCAAGCAGGAACTCTGCTGTGGGAGCTGCACTGGCTGGCTTCGCTGGTGTTGCCATGCTACTCTGAGAGATGGCTTTGAGGATATACTGGCGCAGCAGAAGCTGTGTTTGAACGTGACAGACATAACGTAATCGATGGGAAACGCAAGCTTTGCGAGTTCAGTCATGCTGGTTAAAGGCACGATGACTTCCTGTACAGTACCACGAGACATACGAGCGTTGATATGATTTGTAATGCTGTCCTTGTCCGTCTTCCTGGAAGGTCATACTGTTGCAAGGTGAGTCTTGGGCTCCACCCCACCGCAATATGCTAGGTCACGCCTTTGCCGTCCGTCTTGGAGCTGTATGAAAGCAGCTGTTCATGCCTCGATGCGGCCATGTTTCCGAATAGAGTCACACCCAGCCGATGGGGATCAACAGTGGCGAAACACAAGTCACATTCAAATATACGGCAAGTTTTCGCAAACATACACGTCTAATGTATAGCTTTCCATCTCCTACCCTAAGAGTGTTCCGCAAACGTCAGGCAAATACCAAACATTGTGGACTATCCCCGACCTAACTCTACGAGCTTTCCTACGGAGAACGGATGAGCAGACACGAGAATAGTAACGTTCCCACTCAATACCAGAACCAGCCATCGCTACAGTTCTTCGCATGCGGTATGCTTTGGGACCTTGAGCTGTCAACTTGACCGGGTAAAATAGGTGGAGAGGGATGCCGTGTTTGCAAGATTCGCTGTGTTCATTGAATCCTCGGGAACAAGCGACGCAGTTAAGCGACTTGCTTACCGCCATTGCATTCATGGATCAAATGATGAATCAAGGAAACTCTGGACCCATCGCGAACCTTTCCTATCGGTCTCGAAATCACGAATGAGCGAAGAATGTTGTACAGAACAACCAAGCGGGCAGGGGTCAGACTCGCTAAGCAACATACCGACCGGTACCCAAGGAAAGATTGGTTCCACATATGTTGCTTCAAGTCGCACAAAGTGGGYCAACGTGGAAGGTTCTGCAAAGAGGAAACGGAAAAGAAGCAGAAAAGAGCGTAAATATGCTTGGTACAGACGCRAGGAAATAGCCAGGGCTATGGCAACTACCTACCTTGATGTTGCGACCACAATGTCTCGTGCAGGCAGAAGAAGATGCATTCGCACAGATCTGCTAGGTCATCGATGTGCATCTCAGTGGTGTGCTGCTTCTTCAGATATGGCGTGTGTCAATGTATGACTCGTCCTTGGCGTGAACCGGTGTACTTCCTACAAACCGGATCTCACGGCATGTCGACGAGAACATCATCTCGGTAAAATTGCCCGGCATCGCAAGAGTCGATGGGGCTGGCTTGTTCCATGATGGTTCAGTGACCATATCCGCTCGCCCTTGCGTAGGGGAATCGCGAGCATAAGGCTGTGTCGACGTGTGCAGGGCCCTCACCGCTGGTATTGCGATACGATACCTTACCGCGCGGAGGGTTCGTCCGTACGCCGCGCTTGAACATGCAACTCACCGCCACCCTAAGAACTCCCAAATGAAGCGGCGTTTGTTTTGGTACAACGTCCCATATGCGGCGGAAGCGTTGCCTGATATTGTCGTGAGTCGTGATGTTGCTCGTAAAAGATGTGCGACACTCGGTGCTTTTGGTTTGAAGACGCTAGTGGGTTCCACCTCCCTTCTAGTCTCAACCTTCTTTCAACAGACTTCGAACGACGTGAAGCAGAGTTCAAGACCATCTGCATCAAGCTTCGTTGTTCATCACTTTGCGTTGGCAGGACGAGAACATCACCTTGCAGTAGTTCTCACATCTGCAGGTCATCATGCGTACATAGAACAGTCCTGACGGCGAAAACAGATCGCCTTGCGGTACCGCGTGCCACTCTTTTGGAACAGCAATWTCGGGTCTTGAATAGGGCTTCGGATCCTCCAGGCATATCCTTGCGCGGCGAAGTCATACTGGGTGAATCCCTGCTCGAATCGATAACAGAGCGGCCATGGCCAAGAAAAATCGTGCCCGCTCAAGTAAATGGACTAGCTTGATCAGCAGTGATGCAGCTCCTTCAGAAACAGATGCGCTGCTTGCCAGCTCTGGACCCGAGGTGGCTGAGACTGCCGATTCGCTGTTGCCGCAGCCTTCTGGTAAGTCCAGCAGTCAAAGCATCGATGCGAGCTTCGCGATGTCGCACATCATGTCTGTACCCAACGTGGCATGCCAATCCGTACCGCTGTTTGAAACCCCTTGAGAGTTCCCGGCTGCTGGCGTGGCACCGCTGCTAAGATCTTATCATGTCGCGTGGTGGACCATGTAAAGAAGCGGTCGGGAACTGGCATATCATCTGCAGGTTTCCGTGTGGATGTAAAGGCATTGTCGGTACACACTACTTTTGACCAGAAACATGGAGCCTGCACATCTCAAACCACGATCCAGCTTGGATAAGGAAAGCCCGCCATGGACTGATGTGAAAGGAGTCGCAGGAGAGACAATCATCAACTATGCCCCATCTTCATCCATTGGAGATGACGATGACGCCCGATTACTGGCACAAATTGGATACAAACAAGTATGTCGAGGCTTCATCTCGTCCCTCTTCCAACGCTCACCTTTTGCAGGAACTTCAAAGAGAATTCACCAAATGGAGCACAGTATCGTACGCCATATCAATTTTGGGTGTCTTCGGATCTCAACCGGCAACATATGGGGTCCCTATCACAGTTGGGGGACCAGCAACGGCAGTTTGGGCATGGGCCATTGGATCCGTGATGGCGTATATCATCGCGACTTCAGGTTCGCGCACAACCACACGAGTAGCGCAGCATGAGCTAACGACGGACAGTATCTGAGCTGGTCTCCGCATATCCCACTGCAGGTGGGATGTACTTTGTAACCAAGCACGTCGTACCGAAAGAGCACGTTGCGATCTGGTCGTGGATAATAGGATGGTGCAATTTCCTGGGTCAAGCAACTGGAGTGGCTTCACTTGCCTACACTATCGGGCAGATGATCCTAGCAGGAGTCAGTATGAACACTGGCTACGCGGAGGGAAGCTACACTTACAGACCGTGAGTTCCTCGACATTCTCAGCAGAGATTATAGCTGACAGCAAACAGTACTGCCTTTATGRCAGTTGTAGTTGCCATAGCCACCCTCTTCGTTTTTGGTGCCATTTGCTCGCTCACAACGAAAGGCCTCAACCGGATCGTCATATGGTTCGCACCCATCAACATTCTGGCTACAATTGGAGTGTGCATCGCGCTCTTGTACTATACAGAAGACAAACGCAGTGCAAGCTTCGTCTTCACCGATATCAGAGATGGCTCAGGTTGGGGCAACAAGGGATTCTCATTCCTCCTAGGCTTCCTCAACGTCGCCTGGGTCATGACGGATTACGACGCCACCACGCACATGTCAGAAGAGACCATTGACGCAGCAATACGAGGTCYCAAAGCCATCAAACATGCTGTGATRATATCCGGTATTCTCGGCTTCCTCCTCAACGTTACATTTACATTCTGCTTGACGGAGACGTACATGGACGACATTGTCGGATCGCCAACCGGTCTCCCAGTTGCACAGATCTTCTTAAACGCCGTGGGCAAGAATTGGGGCACATTCATGCTAAGCCTTGTCATCCTGGTCCAGTTCTTCACAGGCGCATCAGCAATGCTCGCCAATGCCCGCATGACATATGCATTTGCCCGAGATGAAGCCCTACCTTTCTCAGACACCTGGAGCAAAATTAACACGCGTACCGGAACCCCCGTCAATGCAGWCTGGGGAGTCGTAGGATTCTGCGCGTGTCTCAACCTCATCGGTCTGGGATCTACGCAAACCATCACCGCCATCTTCAACCTCTGCGCGCCATGTCTGGATCTCAGCTACATCGCCGTCATCGTCGCTCGGTTGTGGTACGTGGATTTCAAGAAGCGCGTGGTGATCAGAGCCGGACCATACGTGCCACGTTATAATCGAGTTTGGAGAAATCTCATTGCCGTCGCTTGGGTGGCGTTCATCAGCGTCGTGCTGTTCTGTCCGACGACGTACCCAGTCACGGCCACGAATATGAACTACGCGGTGGTGGTTGGAGGAAGTGTGGCTCTTTTCGCGCKGAGCTGGTGGTGGTTGGGAGCCAGGGAAAAGTATACTGGTCCACGAACTCAGGAGCTCCCTATCAAGCCGATACCTGATGATTCAGAAGCACAGCCTCGAAAATGGGCTGCTCAAGTATCGTCCGAGTCATCCCTCGCGAGGGAGTCAAGTCCACATAGTCCTCCCAACTACAGCACGATGGCGAGCAATTAGGAGCGATGTACAGAAGCGTCGAGAACAGTTCGATTTGTAGCTAAAGTAGACTGCCATTTTTACGCTCGCAATGAGCTATGCTATTTCCACCTTCTGCTGTCGCTTCGATGTCCAGCAAGTAAGAAGTAGCTCAGCGATGAGCATCCACCCTCCGTGATGAGAAAAAACCATCCACGCAGCGCCATCCGCCATCGAGCACCGATAACGCCAKCCTTGGTTCTAACGCAGCCCCACAACACCACAATTCCGTGGTTACAGAAAGGTATGTCCTCTATCATGTTAGAAAGCTCTATCACCTCATCGTGTCCTTCATAAGCTATCTCGAAGCATCCCATAGTGGTGCAGTCCCACTCTTGCTCTTCTTCTCAATCGAAGAACGTGGCCGGCTTCTTACGCGGTTGCAGCTCCAAGAACATCACTTCCTCCGAGTCACTGCTATCTCCAGACCTATTTCAAAAGAAGCGTTTGTTAGMAACGTCATTACTCCTTGACATCAACACCAGTATCATTGACAGGAGTTTTTTCGTACTTATCCACTACATCTACTTCGCTCACTTGCTGCTGGTGGGGGTGAAGATCACCTCCAGTGGCTGCTGAAGTGTTGAAAGAAGATCTGTGGGCAAGCTTGACGTTCTTGGAATTGGAGGCCGATGAGTCGACGCCATCCTGGTCGCTCGGGTGCTGATTGACGATTTTCTTCTCAGCCTTCTCGCTGATGCGGGTCAGCTCCGTGACGAAGCTCTCCCCCCACCAGGCCGACKTGTACTTGTTGACGTATTTGGCGAGCTTCTGGTAGTTGATCAGACGCTGCTCTGCGCCCATGGTGACAGCGTCGTAGATCGAATCTGCTAGCTCCTCCGTGTTCCACGGGTTGACGACGATAGCGCCATTGAGTGACTGCGCGGCTCCAGTGAATTCCGACAGGATCAGAACACCGTTGCGTTCTTGCTGGCAAGCGATGTACTCGTAGGAAACAAGGTTCATACCATCGCGGGTAGAGCTGACCAAGCAGACGTCGGAAAGGGCATACAGCGCGGCAAGCTCGTCGAAGCTTACAGATTTGTGCATGAAGTGGATTGGCATGAACTCGATCGTGCCGAACTTGCCGTTGATGCGGCCGACGAGCTCGTTGACCACGGCGCGGAGGTTTTGATACTCTTCGACGTCCTGCCGAGATGGCACTGCGACCTGTACGAGGACGACCTTGCCGATCCACTCCGGGTGCTCGGTAAGAAACACCTCGAGGGCATGCAGCTTCTGCGGGACGCCCTTGATGTAGTCAAGTCTGTCAACACCGACGATAATCTTGACACCATCGAATTTCTTCTTCAGAGATTCGATACGCCGAATGACACTGTCCTTCTTGAGGCCTTGAACAAACTTGTCTGGTTCGATGCCGATGGGAAATGCTCCAACGGTGATCAGCTTGCCTTGGAACTCGACACCGTTGGGCGTAGTCGCGAGACCCAGAATACGAGCGCACGACGACAGAAAGTGCCGAGCATAGTCGTACGTGTGGAACCCGATCAAGTCGCAGTGAAGCACACCCTCCAGGATCTCGTTGCGAACCGGGAGGATGCGGTAGATCTCGGATGATGGGAACGGCGTGTGCAGGAAGAAGCCAAACTTGACATTCTTGGCCCTGTTCGGTCCGGCCTTGTTGATTTCCTCGCGAAGCATGGCGGGAAGGAGCATGAGGTGGTAGTCGTGCACCCAGACGAGGTCGTTGTCCTGTACGTCCTTGGCGATGGCTTTKGCGAAGAGACGATTGGCTTCCACATAGCCCTCCCAAGCAAGCTCATCGAATGTGATCTCACCTGGGTGGTAGTGGAAGAGTGGCCACAGGATGCTGTTGGAGAAGCCATTGTAGTGGCGATCGCTGAGCTCGTCATCCATGAACACGGGCGTCGCGCTGTACTCCTTGTTAAGGCGTGCGTTGAGCGACGCGGCTTCATTCTTGGGAACCTGGAGACCCGGCCAGCCATACCACTGGAACTTGGTGGTCTTGCTGAGGCCAGAAAGACCCGAGACTAGGCCTCCCGAAGACATGGCAAATTCATAGTGACCATCCTCAGATCGCTTGATGGTAATTGGAAGTCTGTTGGAGACCAAGAGCAGGCGGCCCTTGGGAGATGGAACTTGGGTTGCGGCCTTGGTGGCAGGCTTGGGAGTGGGAGGTTGGAGCGCCATTTTATTACTGTGTGTGTTGTTAGTGAGCGCGCTTTGAAGTGCAGAAATGGTCAGTCGTTTGGAGAGTTGCACAAGCCAAGTCGAAAGTCAGAGTCCAAGTGCGGTGAACTCCAACGCCGGCCAACACGTGCAACTGATCTGAGGACGTTGCGGATTGATGTGTAGATGTGTAGTGAGCGAAGAGATTGTGGCAACTTACGGAAGAGTGAGTGTCTTGTGATGGTTGTACGTCTTCGAGCTCGCGGCGTGCAGAAAGAGGAGGGGACTATGTTGCGGATGGTGTAGTAGGTTTGGAAGTTCGAGGAAGCGTGTGCAAAGAGTGTCTGTCAGAGCACGTGTCTGTATAGAAACGTCTCGAAGTGAGGCTTCCAAGCCAGACTGCGGGCGGAAAGTAGTCGCCGGCAGTCAAAGTACCGTGTGGACTTCTTGATGATCGACCGCAAGGTTCTCGCCGGAGAGGAGCGAGTAGAGCAGTTGGGATGTTGCAACTAAGGTAATGATCAGGTCAAGTAGGTGATTGAGGCGCTGGCCATGATCCGAGCGGTAGAAGCGATGCTGCTGCGTTGGCTCCGCTAGTTGGCTGTGGTCGGTGTCGGTGTTTCGTTGGAAAGAGCTCGCAAACAAGGATTAAGAACAGCGAGCTGGACAAGGATTTTATGACGTTCCACCAACGAGAAGCAGCCGGAGGCAAGCTTTACGTCAGGGCATAGACCTGCAGCGTACGACGGCGAGGTGTCTGCTCGTATTTACGGCACGGAGAACAACGCAGCACGTAGTTATTTCAATCCTACTCGTGCTGGTGCTCGCCCTGCTGTCCATCCATATGAAGACCCGTTGAAGGCGGCAAGACGTACCGAGCCCGCAACTTCCTTCGGCTTCACCTTGCCGGTGGACTAGTGCTAACTCAAACCCGCTTGTGGCGCTGCTTTCGTGTTGCGGTTCACGCGTCTTGCATACTGCGATTCATCTTGATCGCACCATTCGCATCTCGACCTCACCAACATGTCGGACTCGGGGCTCTCCTCCGTGAACATCCCAACGGACGTAGAGTACGAGCAGTCGTTGAAGCGCGCGGTACGTAATGGACTCAAGGCCAACGAAGATGTCTCTGTCAACACTGCCCGGGAACGCGCGGAACAAGAGCTAGGTCTGGAGGCAGGCTTCTTCAAAGGGGATGCAGTTTGGAAGGGCAAGAGCAAGAAAGCTGTACTGGAGGCCTTTGAAGATCCTCAGTCCTCTCCTGAGAAGCCAGCCCCGAAGCCAAAAGCAAAGCCTGTTGTCGCTAAAGCCAAGAGCGGTGCGAAGCGGAAATCGCAGGACACAACGCGCGTGAGCAACAAGCGCAGCAAGAAAGCAACCACGACTGTGCCTGATAGCGATGCTTCAGAGTCAAGCRCCAGCGAAGCTGTAGCGTCTAAGAATGAGGAAGACGCGTCGGACTTTGGCGGTAGCGAAGAGGACGAGAAGCCAAAGGCGGCCGCAAAGAAGGTCAGGGGTAAGACTGCTTCGAAGCCACAAACTAAGCCTGCCGCGAAGAGGAAGCCTACCAGTCACAAGGTCAAGGATAAGAGCAATTCCGGCGATTCAGGCTCGGAAGCAGAAGTTGAAGTAAAGCCCAAAGCTGCCAAGAAGAAGGCCGCTCCAAGCAAGAAGTCCCAGGATGTTGTCATGTCTGATGTGGAAGATGAGGACGAGAACAAAGCAGCGCCGGAGACGACCACAAACGGAGACGAGCTGCCAGACGCGCCCAGCAGCAAGAATGATGAGCCGCCGAAACCACCAACCGCTGAGGACGACGAAAGCGACATGTCTGTGCTGATTGATGATCCACCGCCAAAAAAGAAGCGCGCCAGCAATGGCGCCTCGAAAGTCAAAGAAGCCAAAGCCCCCAAACCGGCAGCTTCCAAGAAGAAGAAAGGACCCGACCTCTCACCCAACGAAGAGGRGATCAAGAGACTTCAGGGCTGGCTGGTCAAATGTGGAGTGCGAAAGATGTGGCACAATGAGCTGAAGGGCTGCGATGCCGACAAGGACAAGATCAAGCACTTGAAGAAGATGCTAGAGGATGTAGGCATGACAGGTCGGTATAGCAACGAAAAGGCCAAGGAGATATTCGAAGCACGGGAGCTCGCAAAGGAGCTTGAAGAGGCGCAACAGTATGCTGCAAAATGGGGCACCAAAGACGATGAGGAAGATGGTGACACTGGTAGCGAGGCTGGGAGCGGAGATGACAAGGCAGATTCGAGAGCTGCTGCGCCTCGAAAGCCAAAGGGCTTTGTCGATTTTGGCGACTCTGGAGACGAGAGCGATTGAATCACGCGTCGATGAGCGGTGGCGGATCCGCTGCACATCATCGATAGATTGTRGGCGATGCCAAAGATGAACAGGGTGTAGTAGCGCAACCATCTATGATGCACTTATAGCTGACGAAATGACGCAAATACTCCCGGTTGCTAGCAATTGCGCCCAACAAAGACTTCGATAATCCTGCCCTCTCGGACTTGGATAATTGGATCGACTAAGCAATGTTCGCTGCATGTATGACATTGCTTTCACGACCGCCGAACGACGAAAGCATTAGCTCGGTCGATCCATTGCAGTTAGAACACGACAGGAAAGTAAACGCGACTTTCAAGTCTAGATGTGGACTTGAAGCTGACGATATGAACATCGTTCAACGACATCTCTGACCCTGGTGGGTACGAGTGTCCTAGCAGCTCCAAGAACTAGCAACTTTGTCCAAGAAAAGCCCTTGGAATGGTTCCTAGAGATCTTAAGCGTCATGTATGGATAATAAGTGATGCTTATTTGACTGCTCTGCGTGGACTCAGGAGAAGCTGTATTGTACAAGGCTGGTCTTTCTCAGTCGCAACACTGTTCCTCTGCAACAACTTCATACCATCCATTAATAGCCCATTTTAGTCTATCCATCCTTCAAATCATAATCATACAAGCCCTCTTTTTGTATGCCCTGTCTCTATCCAAAAAACGCTATGCAAAAGCACCGTATGCCGTATCCCATAACTCATTCATCCTTCGTATAACTACTCCGTTGCCGCCATTTATGTCCATATCTCATAATCACAATCGGAATAGGCGCCAACCCCAGCGTMACGACTCCTAGAAACGTAAAAGCCCATCCATAACCGAACTTCTCGATCAGAGGTTCCGTCGCCAGTGGGAGGAAAGTCCCCATCAGACATCTCGTGACGATCACCGCCGTCATCGCAGAGGCAGAGTACATGCCAAACGCGTCTACGACGTAGGACATGAGGGGTAATGTTGCAAGCATGAGACCTGCTCCGAGGGCTGCTAGAGAGACGAGGACCCATGCTATTGGAAGGTGACATTCTGCCGCCCAGCCGTAGAGGACAACGGTTAAAGGTAGCAGAATGTTCCCTGCGATGGCGAGTGGGAGTCGATACTCGGGTTGCTCTGCCCCTTTGTTCGAGTCTCGGAGGTGGATGAAGATTCTGTCTAGGAGTCGATTGCAGAGCGCGACGCTGATGATCGAACCGGCGCCTGGAAATTGTCAGCAAAAGGAAGACTCGGCAAGTCAGGTTGCGTCACTCACTGAAAGAGATGAACGCCGCTCCGGTCGCTGCAGCGGACAAGCCGTACAAATCTTCTAGGATACTGGGGAGAGTCGTAGACATGACATAGAAGTACGTGTAAGCGACTGCTTCGATCAAACTCAGCGCTTGAAGAATTCCAGAGCCTGCCATGACAACAAATGGCCGCAAGACTTGTTCCCACAAGTGGTTCCCTGTCTTCTGCGCATTCTCAATCTCGAAGACGGTCCTGTAGGTCTTGTCTCCWGACTCCTTGCGAAGCTTCGCAGCTCTGCGATTGAGGATGGGGACTTTGAACGTTTCCCGGAAGAATGCCAAGAAAGCAACCTCGCAGATCGTGGCCAGTCCCGCGCAAATCCAGAGCATTTCCCGCCATCCCAAAGTCTCCGCAACAGCACCACTAATCGCTGGTCCAACGGCACCTCCTATCAAAGGTGCCAGCATAATGAAGCTCATGGCGGTTCCTCGCTGCTCGGCAACGAACATGTCACCTACRATAGATGGATTCAAAACGTTCGATGCAACAGCCAAGCCCGTCAAGAACCTCGCAGAAATCAACACTGTTGCTGATGGCGCAAAAGAAGCTAGGAGCGTGGCGGCAATGAAGACGATGTTGCAAGCATTCATCACGGGGTAGCGTCCAATAACCTCGGATAATGGAGCGATGAACAAAGGTCCGGCAGCTTCACCAAGTTCCCATATCGTTACAAGTAGTACGCTGGCTTTCCTGTCCTTGTGGCCTTCCAGGTCGACAACGATGTGGTTGGCTACGGGCACGACTGCAATGCATGTGAAAGTTCTGTAAACATTTGTCAGCGAATGAATGTTCTGCATACTATGTTGGCAATTACGCACACTGTGAAAGCCGTGAGTGCTAGCAAGAAGACGGCGCTGTATTTGTAGGTATTCGTCCATTGCTTGGGATCTTCGGCATCGCCATGCGGGTTGAATTCGACGACATTCTTGGTACTGGCATCATCGAAATTTCGCGATTCGGCATTGTGTGCTCGTAGTAACGGCGAGGTTTCGCTTACGTTGGCCATTCTCGAGTAAACAACACAAACCGTCCAGCGCGTGAGAACGAGAGAATTTCGGCGGAAACTGATGGAAAAAGAATCAGGGAAGAACAATGATGTGAGGTTGAGGCGCCTGTGGCCCTGTGTGGGGTTTGCTTTTTGGCGCGATCTACGCCCTGCCGGATGCATTTAAAATTTCTTAGCGTCCTCAATCGGGCCATTGACTTCTCTTGAGGAGCCGTTCATTTTATTCGATGCTGGCATATGCCTKTGCAAAGAACCACTGATGTTTGGTGGGACAGTAGCTTCGTGGCTTCGCGGAGGATGTCGAGCTATACCATCTTTCCGCGACCAAAAGCAAGAATCGCAAAAAGAATTTTGCGACTGGCAGTGGTTGCGGTGGAGTCTACCTATTTTTGGTGAGCCCTGGTTGAATTGGTGTTGCTAAAGCGCCTTTGATATGATGGAATGGCAAAGGTTGATTTGGACAACAATTCCTATGTGCCTCAATGCCGTCGAAATCGATTAAACAAACCCCGAGGTCTATACTCGATCGATGCAGCGTATCAAGGACAGCCAACGTCAAGCGGAGACCTTTACAACTCGGCTTCCCGCCACATTGTATGTCGCTAGGACATGCCATCTGAGCTTGCCTTCCGTTTCGCAGAATGACGCCCACACAAGCGCCTGGTCAATGCTAGGTCGTGTATACTTCAGTCCGAGTATTGAAGAAATGGAGATGAGCTTTGCCGTTTCCTAGGACATGCGGCGGCCATTCATCGCCATGCTCCCGTTGCGAATGTGACTTGGGGAGGGCTGCTTCAATGGGCTTCAACACATGTATTTCCGATCTTGATTGAAAGGCTTGGCCAGTCATCTCTGCCCGTTCATCTTCTGGGCCACGAGCGAGAAAATGGCTACAGAAGACATGAATAACACCAGGTTGTAGAACTAGAACATCTGTTAGAGTCTGTGGTTCTGTTGTCAAGGACGGAGTTCGCACGGCATTCCTTGAGTACGCACTCTCCTCGGTGTCTGTACGTGCCTCGACAAAGAGTCGACGGAGGTTTGGAAGATTCGCCTGCAAAGTCATCAGCCAGTGCATCTCACCGACGTTGGAGGTGTTGGTCGCACCATGACGGAGTTTCTCTAGGCTAGAACCATTGAATATCCATCGATGTTGATGTGCAGGAGAGATGGGAAAGTTTGGACGTCAAGCTCACGGCTTGGCCAAGAATCGCCCGTGCTCAATTGAAGCTTCCATGTGCAGCGAAAGTCGGCAACGTTGTCGAACAAACACGGACCACCCCACTCTCTCCCATCAATCACTTGCACTGCGGTTTGCTGCTCTTCCATTCCCCCAACATCGAATCCCGAAGCGAAGCGAGACCGAGTCGTCTTCATCCATTAGAGGCAGCGAAGATATTTCCAACCAGGAAAGTGGCTCGTTGCCAACACATGAGTGGCCTGAAACAACTCCACCCCTAGATCGACGGCGAAGGAGGACAAGATGGCGGTCAATCGGCTACGAAGCGCGCTGGGAACGGCGAGGAAAGGAGAGACGTATGAGCTGAGGGCAGGTCTGGTGTCGCAATATGCCTGGGAGCGCAAGGAGTCAATACAGAAGACCATCATGTCCATGACCCTGGGCAAAGACGTCTCAGCCCTTTTCCCGGATGTTCTGAAGAATATTGCAACGCCCGATCTCGACCAAAAGAAGCTGGTGTACCTCTACCTTATGAACTACGCCAAATCACACCCGGATCTGTGCATTCTGGCAGTCAACACGTTTGTCCAGGACTCAGAAGATCYTAATCCGCTCGTCCGAGCATTGGCAATTCGAACAATGGGTTGTATCAGGGTGGAGAAGATGGTGGACTACATGGAAGAGCCGCTTCGAAAGACACTCAAGGACGAATCACCATATGTACGGAAGACCGCGGCGCTGTGTGTAGCAAAGCTCTTCGATCTCAACCCGAGTCTTTGTATAGAAAACGGATTCCTGGAGACACTGCAAGAGATGGTGGGAGACAGCAACCCGATGGTCGTTGCCAACTCCGTCACTGCGCTTGCCGAGATCACCGAGAGTGCTCCAGAAACGAAAGCCCTGGTCGTGACGAGCCAGATGCTGAAGAAGATGATGCTGGCGCTTAACGAGTGCACCGAATGGGGACGAATCACCATCTTGACAACTCTTGCCGACTACAAGGCCGTGGATACCAAGGAATCAGAGCACATCTGTGAAAGAGTCAGCCCACAGTTTCAGCACGTCAATCCGTCTGTGGTCCTGGCCGCTGTCAAGGTCGTCTTCCTTCACATGCAGCACATTGAGAATCCGACACTACACGCRACCTACCTCAAGAAGATGTCTCCACCACTTGTTACACTAGTCTCGAGCCAGCCGGAGGTGCAATACGTGGCGCTGCGGAACATTGATCTTCTCCTACAAAAGCAGCCAGGGATTCTGGACAAGGAGATGCGGGTGTTCTTTTGCAAATACAACGATCCGCCATACCTGAAACTCCAAAAGCTCGAAATCATGGTCCGGATAGCCAACTCGCAGAACGTGGATCAACTACTTGCGGAGCTGAAAGAGTATGCAATGGAAGTCGACATGGACTTTGTTCGAAAAGCAGTCCGTGCTATCGGGCAGGTGGCAATCAAGATCGAGGAGTGCGCCGAAAAGGCAGTCAACGTCCTTTTGGAGCTCATCAACTCAAAGGTTGGATATGTCGTTCAGGAAGTCATTGTTGTGATCAAGGATATTTTCCGACGGTACCCCGGCTACGAAGGCATAATACCGACATTGTGTCAATGCATTGACGACCTGGACGAACCCAACGCAAGAGGCAGTCTGATTTGGATTGTTGGAGAGTACGCAGAGAAAATCTCAAACGCGGGAGACATTCTTGCTGGCTTTGTCGAAGGGTTCAACGAGGAGTTCACTCAGGTAAGACTGTCGACCACATTCATTCGGTGTTCTTACTAACAGTGCGTAGACACAGCTTCAAATCCTTACTGCCGTCGTCAAGCTCTTCCTCAAAAAGCCAGACGAGTCCCAAGAACTTGTACAAAAAGTTCTCCAAGCCGCGACTGCCGAGAGCGACAACCCTGACATCCGCGATCGAGCATACGTATACTGGCGGTTACTCTCATCAGACCCTTCTGTCGCGCGAAACATTGTGCTATCAGAACGACCGCAGATCCACTCCACGATTCCTGTGCTGCCCTTGCCATTACTCGAGAAGCTACTTCCCAACCTATCAACACTATCCTCAGTGTATCACAAACCGCCTCAAGCATTCCTGGGCGATGGAAGGAGTTCCGCGCTTCAAGAAGAAGCTATTGAAGAGGCGAAGCAAAATGCCCGAGAGAACCCAATCGCTGMAGCAGCAGTATCGGCAGCTGTGGCTGGCACGAGTGCTTCCGGTGTGCAGAACAACGCCGAAAACCTGCTGGACATCGATTTCGATGGTGCGGCGCCGGCTTCGATGGCGAATACACCTGCGATGGGCTCGTCTGGTCTGGAAGGCTTATCGGGCACACCTCAGCGAGTCGCAAGTCCTGGAATCACATCTCCTTCTGCTGCGAGCGGGAACTTTGCAGATTTGATGGGTCTAGGCGATGATTCCATTGCTGGTAACGTTGGTGGAAGCCAAGCCATGATGGACGGGTTCGCTGGAATGAGCATGAACGACCAACCGCCGCCAGCGCAGACACAATTGAACGGTGGCAGTGGCGGAAAGAAGACGAACGAGGACTTGCTTGGTCTGTTTTGAGGATGATTGTGGCTCAACATGAAAATAGATGAACGCCACGAGTTCGTCTCAAAACCAACAGYTTGCAAGGCTTTACCCTGGATCGAGAGCGCAGAAATTACGATGACGGCTCTCAGACTGCATCACGACATGAACTGGAAACGAAAGCTGAAGCAATCTAGTCCACCGAGTCTACCGAGTCCACAATCAAGATATTGGGTCCTCGAGCTTGGACTCGCTATGACGGTCTTTATGACCTTGCTAGGCCATGAGCGATGGGCAAGTGGAGGGTGGCTTTGCACACCGTGCATGGTTGAACGAGCGAGGCCCGATGAAATTGAAGATTGCCACCCTGCATGCAGCATTTAACACGACTAAAAGACATTGTTCGATAAGGCGTTTGGCTGTCGCAAGGCGACGTCTTAATGTGTTTGTAGTTACCAGTTCTCGAGCGTCGTCGTCGATTCACCAAGGCGAGAGAGAGCCCGGTAGCCTTCTATTTCACTGGCCTATAGAGTAGCAGAACAGCCGAAATCATCCAAGACCGGTGCAGCCTCCGACTCTTGGCTACAATATAGTGAGCTGAGAGTGAATCTACTGCGACAGCTCGCCTGTGGACAACTCTTCTATCGTCCCTTATTACCACCGCCCGTACACCCTCGACCTTTCCAGTATGTCCAACTGTGACATTCAATGTCAGTTTCCAGATATCTCTTCTACCCCTAACCCTTCTATCTATAATGTCTAGACGACCTCTTCTTCCCTATTGTTCTCTCTGGACTTCATCTCCTCTGATTACGATCCTCTCCGAATCCACTTAAAGTCTCGCTCTATTACTCCGCTTCCCCACCCTTTCTCTCTTAGCGATCTCTCTCTATTGCTTAAGCTCGACTTCTTCAACTCCGACTTTCGCTCGCTTATGTTCATTTATCTCCATCTAGAGGACGTTTTCTTGATGCGTCAGATGAAAATTAGAGTGCACAGGTAACTTGATCAATTGAGCAGACCTGACGAATACCATTTTCCAAACCCAGCATTGTCCAAACTTAACCATTACCCGCAAATACCTTTAAGCATCGGTCAAGTCCCATCATGATGGTCAGACACAGCTCAAAGCTTACTGGGGCTGAGAAGCGGCTGAAAAGTGTGCTTGAGTCTCAAACCACTTTCGAAGACTTCAAGCGGCATTCCTACAACGACAGAGGTCAAACCTCAAGATTCACCTTGAGCAGCTTTCTCGTAAGTTGGAAATCAAAGCCGAGAACGACAATCCGCCGCCTGCAAATCCCTCAATTCCTTCTTCGACACCGTCTTCTCAATCAAAAGACCAAATTGATGTTCGTCCTTGAATTCTCCTTCAACTTTCCACCCCCACGCCTTGTCCTTTTCCGGTCCATTACCCTCTCCAGCTAGAACATTGAGCATGTACTTTCCAGCATTCGGCAGAAATCTGCAATTGTAAATTAGTATAACCTCTTCTCATACACACTTCTCTTTGACTGCGGTGAGATGTACTTGTAGGCGTGGAAGCTACCTCCCACAGCAAGATACAAATTACCAAGCTTCTCGTCTGGGTGTCTACACATGAGAAAGTTCTCGTCGGGCGTTTGGGCATCTGCGAAGCGAAGAGCAGGAAGGTCAGCGATATGTAAGACTTTTCCGTGTGGATAGAGACATAGCGCAGGCTCGAGAGATACTTCCGAACTACCCTATACATACCCCAACATATGCGCCAATATTCAGGCTGCTTCCCACGCACAAAATCCGGCAAGACCTTTGAAGCGATAATATCCTCAGTTTCGCGTTTGATGAATGCAGGAACATTATACTGGCTTTCATCCGAGCAAGGAACGGAGATCTTGCTCCCTGATTTCGTAGTGATAGTATTAATGATTCCTCTTTTCGAGTTTGAAATTTTCAAAAGTCTGTTGGATTTCGAGGGAGGGATCACTTCGCCTTTGCCACCATATACGATAACTGGTAAATTCGCCGCAGTGAATTGAGAGACTTCTTCTTCGGAGAGACGGTAGTAAGCGGCTGCTATACCAGTAGCTTGGACTTGCCGTTCGATCCTGTCCTTGTCTGGGAGATTCAAAGCATCTTCGATAGGGGAGAGTATCATGCTAGTCCAAGCACCCGTCGCCAGAACGATTTTGTCCGCGAGATATTCTTTCCCGTCTTCGGTTCGAGCTCCTCTGATCTTCCCGGCTTTGGTGTCTAGGAGAAGTTCCACGACTCGGCCGGTGACTCTTTTGACGCCTTTTTTCTGCGCTGCGGACATGAAACTTGCGGTAGCGCTCGCGGCATCACACCATCCGGCTTCGCAGTTGAAGTACGAGGAATTGAAGCCTGCAGTCTCTGTGCCTCTTAGTAGAGGCCATCGTTCATCCAGCTTGTTCAAGTCGAGTCGCTCGGCTTGCGTTGATCCTCGCTCGAGGAAGGTCTCGATGATCCGGTCAGAGAGCGTGCTGCCCTTCTCATCTAGCATCAACCAGCCGACTTTGTGGAAGTATTGAGCTTTCAGAGGGCCGGTCAATATCGGTTGTAACAAGTACAATGTATTTCTTACCAAGTTCCAAACTCCAGAACCACGAATGAATGGCCTCACAAGCCAGATCACAATACAACTTGCTCGGATAATCTGTCCTGATGATACGATTGGCATCGATGCTCGCAGCCGGTTTGGGCGGAGAAGGGGAACGATCGATAATCGTGACTTTCGAAGCATCCTTGTATGTTTGAGCCAAATGGTATGCTGTCGAGGTCCCAAATGTGCCAGCCCCAATGATCAAAATGGAGGGCTCCATGGCGACAGAAATCCTTGATCAATAATGTGGTACAGAATGTGAGACGAAAAGAATAGGCGAGATGAAAACCTACATGGCCAAATAGAAGCTCGACATGCGGGCAAAAGGCGACCCCGCCGTGGAGAATCCTTGCAAACCAAGACCGGGATTGCGGATACCAAAGTCAACAGCAGGTAGGGAATCGTGAGGGGTGAAGATCTTTGAATGTCCTGCATGTCAACATGTAGCAGTGGGCACAGCTGCTGGGAKCTTCGAGATGTGTATAAGAGCGGTTCGGGTTCCGCTTTATTCACGAGGGGAGTGCAGGAAGCTAAACGAGCTTGGCCTAAAGTGGAAAGGCCTCAACCAAGGAAGTGAGGTACTTGGGTACGTCGTCGTCCCTCAATTCTGCAGTGTACAAACCGCCTCGCTATGCATACAATTCTACCACATGTGTTCAGCAAAAACACCACAAACGCCTCCATCATCATACTTTTCCTAGTGAAACGTGACAGTTTCAAGGCCCGACCTTGAAGTTCATCCGAATACCCATTGCCGCCAACTCAACATCCAGGTACTTGAGTACACCGGGCACAGCAACGACAGTAACATCGTCGCCGCCATGCCATTTCTCGCCTTTGCGATCTTCCCAGCATTGACTCTTGGGATCGCTGGGCAAAGCCTTCCTGCTGCATCTCCGACATCTGACTCGGCCGCCCTCTCGTTTTCTTGTGTATTGACCTGAACTAGGCTGCGTCGACAAGAAGCTGCCGCAAGCCTTGCAAATGTTCGCTTTGGTGTAGTCACTGCAGTTCATCAGACGATCCTGCAGCAAGTACGCAGTTCCATGAGCAAGAAGGGCATCGCGCTCCATCTCTCCGACACGGATACCACCGCCCTTGGCTCTTCCCTTGATGGGCTGACCAGTGAGCGGCGTGACAGGACCAGTCGTTCGGACCTGGAACTTGTCATTCACCATGTGTCTGAGACGCTGGTAGTAGACAACACCAATGTAGATGTCCGCGGCCAGTTCCTCGCCTGTGATTCCAGAATACATAGGCTCATTGCCGTAGTAATTGTAGCCAGCACGCTTGAGCTGATGACCAAAATACTCCACCGCCGTCTCGCCTTCCTTGTCTTTGAACTTGAAAGGCGTACAATCTTGCGCCAGACCATGCAGAGCCCCAGACTTTCCAGCCATTGACTCGACAAACATGCCGATTGTCATACGTGAAGGGAAAGCGTGAGGGTTGATGATGACATCAGGTTGCATTCCACTTTCAGTAAATGGCATGTCAATGGTCGGCCATTTCTGCGAGCAGACACCTTTCTGCCCATGGCGGGACGAGAACTTGTCACCGATGACAGGCGAACGTGGTATCCGCAATCGGATGCTAAGAGCTTGGCAAGGATCATTCGTGCCATGCTCATTCCCGATGAGCTTTATCTCCTCGATGTATGCCTCCTCACTGTCCTTGTATCTATGCACGTGGGTGATGCCATCCTTGTTGACAAACTCGCCGGAGAGAGGGTCCTTCACCACCGTGTATGAGCAGCAGACTGCGTCGCCTTCCTTCAGCTTGACGCCTACTCGGCCCAGGCCATCCTCGTCCAGAGTCTCTCGCCATTGTGCTCGAACGACAGCCGAAGGAGCAAAGCCAAACATGTGCGTAGGGACACCACGACMACGAGAGCCCTTGTTCTCCTCAGCCAGATTGATCTTCTTGGTTTTGTAGACAGTTCCGTAACCAAATCCGCGCTCGTGAGCAGACTTGTTGATAATCATAGCATCGTCCATGTCGTAGCCAGTGTATGAAATGACGGCGACGACGGCGTTGGTACCATTTGGGAAGTTATCCAGACCGTACTCGTTATGTTGTGGTGTCCTCACAACTGGAGTTTGGCCTGTTTGAAGTCGATACGACTTGTTGTCTGTTCTGTATTTGAGAGCAGTTCCGGGAGTTCCCATTGTCTGTTTACCCATCTGACAGTTTCCAGTATAGAATGGCTTCTGTGCGGGTTCCAAAACCAATTGGGCATCGTTGTCGCCGTATTGAACAGTGCGTCGAGCCAGGAAGTTGCCATTGGGAACTGTCAAGCAGTAGACGAACCCATCGTGACGAGGATTGTCATATGAAATCGGTTTTGGAGCGGCGACGGCGAGTTCACTGTCGGCGAAGGAGAATGATATGCTCCATCTTGTAGCATTGGCGTGACAACCAATGCTCGGCACCCACTCCCCTTTGCTGTGGTTGACGTCGATGTTGACTCTGGTGTCAGCAAGAACGCCCAGAACAGACATGTCGTGCATTAGCGGGATTGAGCTATTGCAGACTCGGACAACTTCTTTGTTGACGAGAGGAACAGCAAGCTGATCTTTTTGGACTAGGTCCATCCTCTCGCCATCGGCAACGGCCAGACCCTCAATCATCGCTCGAGCTTGGTCCCGGGCCAATAAGTACAGCCAAGAATAGAAGATCCAGCGTCGAAGATGCCACCAGTTTCCAACCTTCCAGTCGGCAGGTGCGGGYAGAATTGATTCGGTGTCTGACCCTGACAATTCTTGATAATGAGATGCTTGATAGGTGCGGCACATTGCATCATCCAGAGGGTCGTACGACTGCGGTCCACGTACCATAGGAAGGAAGAAATGGTACATGTCGCGATGATTGATAGTCCAGGTATGTTTCTCTTGGACACCGGTTGCGCAGGACTGGTTGACCACAAATCCAGGCAGCTTATCGGSCAGACGATCGAGGAGTTGGTCAATGTCCATCTTTGCAGCGGGGTTCGAGGCGTGTTGATGGATCTGGATGTAGTACTCTCGGCCCTCGGAATTGGTGATATGGTTGATCCTACCATCACCCATCACCAACCCAATGAACCTACACCAATCCAGGTTGCAGGCTTCATCGTTGACAAACTCCTTTGGCAGCCACGGACAATCCGGCCACAAATACATGGCATTGCCGTTCTGCCCTACAGTAGGGATCTTGTGGTTCTTGTGGACAGCCGAATCATTTTGGTGTTCCCATTGACCCTTGTCCACGCCAGCGGAGTCCCTGAAAGGCTTCAGGACGCTGTCCAACATCTGCTGGGTCGTGTATGCCGTGTAGGTCGAAGGCTGATTCTTGGTGTTGAGATACCAGCGGTGACTATCATTACAGACTGCATCCATGCCAGGACTCTTGAGTCTATAGAGTGGTCCATCGTGTTCCAGGCGAGTTGTCATTTTGACAGTATTCCACTCCTGAGCACCAGTGGAAAGATTCAGGCTCATTACCTCATCCGTGGTCTTCACCGTCGAGATCAATCTCCAGCCGGTCTTAGTGAGCACCTCATGATCAGCGGACAAGCACTGGTACATGTTTCTTGGTGATTGGTTGAAGTTGGAGAAGGGCGTTTGGTTAGCAATGATGGAAAGAATGTTGGTAACATCATACTCCACATGTGTGGAATCTCCCGAGGCGATCTCAGGCTCCGTACATGCAATGGACATGAACGGCTGCTCAAACGGTCCTACAAAGTCCTCCTTCTCCAATGGGAGATATTTCACAGGCCGCAGCATTCTTGCCGCGGACGAGAACATGTACACACCAGGATATTGACCTCCATTGGAAAGTGGAATGTATCCAATCTCCAGCTCAACAGGAATGTCGTGGGTGCCCTCGACCTTCCAGTAACGCAGAGTATCACCGATAACTTTGGCCTGTTTGGGTGAGCAGAACCCTAGGATTCGACCATCCAGCTGGACCGATACACTGTCTTCCAAAGTTGCGTCCGAAGCGCTTGAAACACCGAGTTGTGCAATAAGGTTGGGCACATTTGAGGCATCAACGCTCTCAGTGGCAATCTTACACTTGTGCGCCAGATGATTGAGCAGACCGCAAGGCGATCCATCAGGAGTGTGAACTGGACAGAGGAAACCCCAACTCTCCGGAAGCAGCTTTCGCACTGTTGTAGTCTTGAGCTGGGCAAAGAAACTTCCACGATGTACCATTCGGAAATGKCTGATGAATCGATAGAAGTTGATCTTTTCCGCAACGACTGTGAAGCCGGAAACTTGCTGAAGATCGAGTCCACTAGGACTCACCAAGTTGCCAGTTGACAAGAAATAGTCCAGCGCTTGGCCCAAGTTCTCGTTCGTCTTCCGTACAACCTTCGGCATGAAGTCCTTGTCGAATTCTCGGCTCGTGAATGATGGCCAGTTGTTCGTCCGACCCCACTCCCGCAGACTGAGACCGATAGAGCCTAGCCATTCGTCGATTCGCTCTTTGATGATCATCCCGTATAGTGCGCCTGGGAGGAGAATTTCTTGACTCTGCACAGCGTCAGGGTTGTCAATGGTGCATTCGCCCTCAACCAGGGAGTAGAGCTTGCGGATCATGAAAACGAGCATTCTGAACTTGTCGGCATCGTTGGACTCGGTGACTTCGTATGATCCCAAGTGCGGCATCACAATCCGGCGCAAAAACTCCGTGCCAGCTGCCTCATCGCTCAGATCCTCTGGGACTCCAAGAACAACCCGGAACTTCGACCCAAGGTACGCTCGAGTCTTTGTTTTGCTGTGAATGTTGTATGCCTTGTATGTCCGCAGAAGCAGCTCCATCCGGTCGGTAACGAATTGCTTACTGTCAATGCCTTTCCCGCCTGCTGGACCAACGACTCCCTCGAAGATCTCGCGATCGTTGGTCTCTATCAGCGCCTTGAGGACCATCAGCACCGGCACGAGGTATTCGTTCTTCCTCCAAGAGAAGCGAAATGTGACATTGCCATCATTGAGGTAGTGCAACACATTCGTCTGTGATGTCTGATCCGGTCGCACAGATCTGATCTGGATACCGTATTTGGTGTATGTTGCGCCTCGGTTGACAAATGAAGGTCGGATGATGGCCATTGGAAAGTTCCTCCTGTTGACAATCAACATTCGGCAGAGTTTCTCAATGCCATTGACGATGAAGTATCCTCCCAGCTCTTCCGTTTCCTCCCTCCTGTTGACCAGCTCCTTCGGCGAGAGACCCTCCAAATGACAACGATTCGAGCGCAGCATGATGGGCAAGGTGCCGAAATCACGCACCGTCTCCCGCCATTCTCCATCGTTGACACGGTACTCAAATCGGCCGCGAAATCGCCCTCTATACGTGACATGTCGTTCTCTGCACTCCACCGGCAGAATCTCGCGCTTGCCCTCGTGCTTGTTGGAAGACGGCAGCTGTGGCTTCTCCAAGAACACTTCCCTCACCCGCACCTGCAGTCTGTTCCGTCGTACACCTTCCTCCTGTTGCCCATTTCCATCGAGGAAAGTCCGGGTCCCGATATCCTTGAGCGCATGCTGTAGCTGGCCATTTTCGGCGAAGACGGTGTTGAAGGAATCCACATGCGGCTTAATGGCCTCGGCCAGTGCTGGGTAGGCCGTTCTCTTGCTGGGCGGGTTCCGGAAGAGCTCTTCTCGTTTTAGAGTGTCGTACTGCTCCGTCCATCTGTTCGCAGCCGGCTTCGAGGGCGCCATGGCGAATGGCTATGGAGAATGTTGATGCGAGACAGCTTTTTCCGGTCACTCATGAAACAAGCGGGYGCGCACAGAGTCCCGAGTCCCGCTCAACGTCTGCCAATACAATGGATCAATGTCTCGCGACGCGATTGGGACGGTGCAGTTGGAGACGAAAGCAGTGCTCTATTGGCGCGAGAAAAAGGCTCGACCACTTTTTTTGAAATGCATGCTCCGGGCGATCTGCCGTCCACAAGCCGTGCGGGATGACCCACCTCGAGATTGAGATTGCCTTTGGTTCCACCGCTCGCTCTTGCACCACACACGACGACTTTGCGGGAAGGACGACGTTCAATTTGCAGGCGAAGCCCATCACATGTCCACAAAGATTATATACCACTTCATCCACCCGGTGCATGCCCGTTGGGTGTAAAATCAAAAGCAAACCTTCAATCCACTCCTCTAGCGTGGCGGCAAGGCGACGGCCCCCGCAGCAAAACTAAGAACCCACCTACCTGCACGACTAGGAACCCTTGAGTTGCTGTCCTTTGGAGTTTGAGCCTTCATCCGCTTTCTGCCAGCCAGCTCGCTAGCACTGCCGCAACTTTACAACGGCTCGAGGCAGCGCCAGTACTTCGCCAGCATCGCGCCGCTGCCCAACATGGCCGGCATCTTCAAGCGCATCTATGATTGGCTGCTCAGCCTGTTCTGGTATGCTGCCTCTCCGCCTCAAATCATGATTCGTATCCCGTTGTTGCCTGCGAGCCTGATATGGCCTTGCCACACCGCTCCCTCTCCACCATTTCTAACGATGACCGTGTTGGCATGCACGATGGATGCTGATACGATTTGCTTGCCTGATTTAGGGCGACCGAGATGGACATTACCATGATTGGTCTACAAAATGCCGGGAAAACGTCGTTGTTGCGAGTCCTGGCAGTGAGTCTTTGGCGATTTCGATTCGAGCTGAGACTGTCGGCTGACGATGCTGTGTAGGGCGGAGAATTTACGATAGAGTAGGTTCATGGCGCGGCGGCTGCGCTCGGTTCGTCATGGCTGGGTCTCGGATAAGATTGCTGACACTGGCAGTTCGATACCCACGGTAGGCTTCAACATGAAGCGTGTGCAGAAAGGCCATGTCACACTGAAATGGTGAGCGATATCGGGCCGACTCTGACATGTCGTTGGAGTTTGCCGTCGATGTCGTGTATCTTGACTAACCTGTGACAGTTGGGATCTGGGCGGTCAGCCACGCTTTCGATCGATGTGGGAGAGGTATTGCCGAGGGGTGAATGCCATCGTGTAAGCCGGCCATCTCGCCTCTTCCAGTCCGCAGAGTGCTTATACATCGTTGCAGCTTCATCGTTGATTCCGCCGACAAGGAAGCGTTGCCAGTTGCCAAAGAAGAGCTCCACATTCTCCTGAACAAACCCGCCATGGAGGGGATCCCGCTTCTGGTACTAGGAAACAAGTCCGATCTTTCTGGTCATGCAGGAGTCGATGAACTCATCGAGGCGCTCAATCTCAAGTCTGTCACGCATCGCGAGGTAAGCTGTTACGGCATCAGCGCAAAGGAGGAAACCAACCTAGATGCCGTACTGCAATGGCTCATCGCGAGAGCCAAGAACTGAAGCACGTAAGATGTCGCTGTTGACAGGTTGTTTATGAAAGGCAACGACCATGCAACGCACTCCACGAAGTCATGGCTTACCACGATTGCACCGTTTCCTTTGGGGTCATTTGGGTTGGTATAGAGGGCAGAGGATCGCGGCGCAAAGCTGCACGCCAGCAATGGCATTGAGCGGAATCTTCGTCGGGACTTGATGGGAATCTCTTTAATTCGCAGGGTATGGCATTGCTCTCCTTGTTGCTGGTAGCTTACGTGGCCAGGCAAGGAGACGACGAATGATGATTGATAGCAAGCGTTCGCGCGGGTGAGGTATAAGCATGAGACGAAGGTCGGCACAAAATCGATAGACTCGTTTGCACTCGTGCCGAATCGAATTATGCATTGTGTCACGTCCACGCGCCGGAAGATAACAGTGCAAGGGCTTCTGCTGCGTGTCGTCTCGCGATGCCCTTGACGGAAGTCAAAGCTTCCTGGTGTCGTCCATTGCGCACGAGGACTGCTCCGTGGGGGATATTGAAGAATGAAGAATCGCTCAGAATTGAGGAGGGCGCTGAAGAAAAATGCCAACGCATTGACAGCTTGAACCGCTATGCGCTGGCACGATGCTAACGTAAGGTAAGGTAGCTTGAACTGGTGGGATGATCTGCATCTTCGGCCGACAATCCCGTGACCAACAATACTACTTCTTGCCTGAGTACCTACAATGGCGCAGCACCCACCTATTATATTGTACGTTGTCCCTGCAAAGACCGAATGTCATTGCAGATCGATGGAATGTCATCTGGCAAGCTTCAGGCAAGTGGCGATTTGCGAGATCACCGCCTGATCGCCGAATTCTCCTTGGTTTCTTGACATCAGCCGCGCCAGCAGAATCGGGATTCGGCTTTTTGGGCAAGGAATGCGACGAGCAAGGCGCAGCAAAACACGCGGCAACTGCTTTTGTATAATAATCACCACTACGGTCACTTGTGGAAGACGATAGATATTTTGAACTCTCGTCATTCATCTGTGAGCATCATTGGAACGACCCATCAACCTGATCATCATCCCAAAGTCTGACTCTTCTTTCCACGGTTTATTACCTGCTTCTCACTAGCGCCAAGAGATTCGTTCGTCATCGATCAGATCTACATTCTACTGCTTAGAGCCGAGATACAAAGAACTTGAACACCTTCCCAGGCTTACCACTTTACTTCGCTCATCCTCCAACACCCGACACGCCACTTCTTCCTGCGAAATTGTTAGTGGTCACTACGCTGCATACCTCCGAATAAGCACGCGACGAGCAATACCCACCTGGACCGATCCATCCACCTTCCTCACAATGCCGGTCCTCGAAGCTCGGACGCTCGAAGCTCGAGCTCGGTGCTATGATCGTTACTACAACAGATACTACAACTGCACCAGTCGTTGGAACAGCTGGGTGCGAGTATGTCTCACCCTCTCGCTCTCTGTCTACGAAGCATGAACTGATTTCGATTTTAGTGGTTGGTTCTGGGGCTCATCGTTGCTGCTGCGATTGTCCTCTTCATGCTGTTCTCGTAAGTCAACATCATCTCACCAACCCGCTGCGAGACGGCTATGAACATTTGCTGACAACTTAATTAGCTGCGTCACTGCGCGCCGCCGCAGAAAGATGGGGCATCAGCCATGGAGAGGAACCGGCTGGGCAGTTTCCTCAAACCCACCTGCTCACAATGCGCCTACGTATAACAACAACGCGCAGCCCTACTACGCCAACTACAACAACTCGAACAACCCAGCACCACCACCAGCGTACCAGCCTGGAGGAGCGAACCAGGGCTATTACGGTCAGCAGAACGGAACTGAGTTGCAGCAGCCGCAGCAGACATACGGAGGATACCGCAGTGGCGAGTCGGCGTTTGAGCCTCCCAAAGGACCTCCCCCGGGTAGGTAAGGGAGTGAGATATTGGCGTCATAAGGAGGGATCGTGTTTCTTTCAGCGTACGGTGTCATGAGGCAACATAAGCTTTTTGTAATGAGGACAAGACTTCATGATGTACTTATTAAAAGGAAACGACAACGAGAAACAGCGCTTCTCATTCAACCTGATTGTCATTCTCATCTGCAAGCCTTGTTTGTACATGCGCGATGTACTTCCTCACTTGTCTCACTTGTATGGCTCGCACGCTACACCATGCATGTGTTCCTGCCGATCGTCACGCTATGACGTGATTCGGCTAAGTCACTATGGAGTAACGTTGATGGAGACTGGAGCAAACGTGAGGCTTACATCCACCACATTCGTACACAATGGAAGCTATCAAGATCGTCGAAGACCACAAAGCCGAACTCAAAGATGTTCCTATTCCCAAGCTGCGGGACGACTATGTTCTCTGCAAAGTCAAATGCATCGCTTTGAACCCCACCGACTGGTAGCCGATCCCTCCAAATCTGCGGGTATTCATGCTGATAGATGGTGTCCAGGAAGCATATCGATAGGATTGCTAAGCCGGGACCTACAGTCGGAGTAGATTTCAGTATGTTGGAAGCCAAATCATCACGGAAGAAATTTAGTGTATACTGATCGACTCGCAGGCGGCGTGGTCGAGGAAGTCGGGCCAAAAGTCACAAAGAAGTGGAYTAAGGGTGATCGTATTGCGGCATTCGTTCACGGTGGAAACGACTCGCAGCATGAAGATGGCGCGTTTGCGGAGTACTGCGTAGCTAAGGGTGATCTGGCGATGAAGGTGTGTGTATCCCAAGTGAATTTCTCACGTATTGGTTGGTACTCACTGTATAACAGATTCCGGATCATCTCAGCGATGAAGAGGCCGCGACTATGGGTGCAGGTGTGATCACTTGTGGACAAGCATTGTATCAAAGTCTTGGTCTGCCACTGCCTGGATCTGAAAAGCATGGCGGATACGTCCTCATTTACGGTGGAAGCACGGCTACAGGAACACTCGCCATTCAGTATGCTGTGCTGTACGTTGCAATCCCACCATCTTGGGCTTCTTATCAAACTGACCAGTTTGCAGCTCTGGATGCAAAGTGCTAGCTACCGCCTCGAAGCACAATTGGCCACTGCTCAAATCTTTAGGCGCCGAAGAGACATTCGACTACAAAGATCCTGAAGATTGTTCCAAGAAAATCCGAGAGTATACCAACGATCAGCTCACCCTTGTCCTGGACTGTATCGCGGAGGGGGACTCTCCAAAGATCTGCGAGAATGCCATTTCATCAAAGGGAGGCGCTATCAGCTACCTCCTCCCCGCGAAGCATTCCCGTGAAGATGTCGAGAACAAGCACACTCTCGGCTACACAATCATGGGCGAGGCATTTGAGAAGATGGGCAGGCAATCTCCCGCGAAGCCCGAGGACTTTGAGCACGCCAAAAGTTTTTGGGCGCTGAGTGAGAAATTGATTGGCGAGGGTAAGATCAAGCCGCATCCGCCCAAGGTTGGAAAGGACGGGTTTAAGGGGGCATTTGATGGCTTCCAGCAGTTCAGGGATGGAAAGGTCAGTGGTGTTAAGCTGGTCTATAGGGTAGAGGAGACACCCTGAGCCTGTGGCGTCTTGGAAATGAATGTTCAATTCTCAATCCAGGCCACGTCACTGCAGAATAGAACAACTGGGAGGGGGGAGATAAAGTCATTGGAACGCTAGGTGTCCTCTGCTTTGCCCTTCGATCCGGCGGGCTCGACTTACCTAAGGAACCACGTCGACTCTCCATCTTTCAAATCGTTCAACATTTGTGGGAACTGACTATACAACCTTCATCACCCCGGCGGACATCATCATCTTTATAACACTTTACAGGCAATCAATATCAAAGATCGCAGGTAAGCTCTTGATACATGTATATTCGAACATCCTTCGAACACATCCTGTCCCGACCACATCCCAATCTAACATAAGCGTAGACATGGGACTGGTAGACTGGTCCTTCTGGACCCGGGCGCTTGTGCCCCTGGCCTGGACGTCCGTGACGACCGTGATGCTCGTCCTCGGTTTGAAGAGTGAGAAATTCCCATCTCCGAGCGATTCAAGCGAGCACGAACTACTCAAACTGCTCGAACCACCCGCTCCATCATACGAGATCGGGCAAGAGAAACAGCGCAAGCAAGAAGAAGATCATAAGCACGAGCAAGAGAAATGTAAACTACAAGCGGAACTCTATCAAGCTGTGAGAGAGTACGATCTGAAGGTCCTCAAGGTGAATCAGGCTCACGAGCTGGCAATGCGACAACAGAACCTCGCTGAACTGGAAGCGAAGCATGTTATGGATATGACTGCTCGCAAGCAGGAAGCCGCGGAGCTGGAAGCCAAGCATGTCATGGACATCGCGATTCGCAAACAGGATCTGCTCGAGCTCGAGACCAAGCACGCGCATAAGATGGCTCTGCAAACTTCGAAGAACGAGGTAGCAGAAACCGAATCTTGGTCGCCTTTGACGCCGGACACTGAAACTCAAGATGAATTTCATTGGGAATCATAATTCTCGCCAGATACCCATCGCTTTTGAAGGTGTTGCGAGTGGCGACTTTGATCTGGTGGTGGGCGATGTTGAGCGGAGTCCAACAATCTAGCAGGAGGTACTAATTTCACTTGAACTTTGGAGGGAGTGCAGGAATGCATCGACGGTCTCCAAAAATACACGGCGCTGTGCTGTCTAGACCCTAGGCTTTTACCACGGTACAATTATCACCAGAGGCTGATCATTCTCTCCATCGCTGTGAATTTTGGACAGATATGGCGGAACGCCTCGGCGGCGTATCAGCGTATTGAGCGATGACGCGTATAATTATCATTCGGAACGATTTCCACAACTGCTCGCCCCCTTCTCCTGGACGGTGTCTTAGGGTTAGGGTTGAGGTAGTTGAAATTTGGCTCCGGCGGTGATGTAGCGTTTGAGATTTGTAGAGCGTCAATAACTCCTACGGAGATTAATTTGTGATATTGTAGGAGTAGCATAGCATGATTTGTGGACCTTGCATGATCTGTGTAGATTTCACCCTGTCCTTACATTCTCCTCACCCCGAAAAAGAAGCTCCTCCATCTTTTGAATTTCGACACCTACTTGGTATTCTTCAGAAACTTATACGCGATACTCCACGTTGTGAATGCAACCTCAAGAGCCCGCTCAGGGCTGAAGTAGTCATGGAACTCGCATCTGAAGATGCGAAGATTCTTGTGAAGTAAAGGTAGCTGATAACCTTGAGCAAGGACCACTTCCGATTAACCATGGTGAACCAGCGCGTCGTACCGTGAGACGACAATTCCGAAGATTTGGGCCGCTGGCGGTTATTCAGGTCCGAGAAGGTGGTGCTCAGAATTTATTGTTTGCCAGCTTGAATGGAAGCAAAGCTCGGCAATTCTTTATGAACCACAGGTTGACCTTGGTGCCGAGCCTGAGTGTCGGTGGTGAACAGATCGTATGGCTGGTCTTGAAAGACTGGTAGTCTCACTTTTATATTGGAGACATTCAACAGTATTCATTAATCGACGACTCGTATTTTCGGCACCTCACGCGGATGCCGCCGAGAGCTTTGACTCACTGTCACAAGAGGGCTTGGCAAATACGGAGAGTGAATTCCATCCCGGTTCAAGCTAGTGATCCGGCTATAAATACGAGCTGAGAATTAATGAATGATATAGAGTCTTCTCTGCAGCTAATAGGATTTAAGTTTGATCGAGATGATTATCACGAAGTCACGGACATCGTCCTGTCTGCTCCTTTGCTGCGAGTAGGCTTCGTTGCGACGTCTACTACGGAAACGCATTTTGACCCAACTGCAAGATCAAAGTGGTCGGAAAAGTTTTAGGGGGTGTGTAGCGTCAGAGACCTTGGACGGTGGTTCTATACGGTATAGCATCCTTCAACGCCTCTCCGGTGATCTTACTCATGAAAATATCCCGGAGCTGTCTACATCTGTTATTGGCCGAGGAGATGCTTGGTGCCAATCAAATGTCAGCTCCGAGCGGAGTGTACACACGGCCAGAATCGGAGCGCGGGTAGTCTCTTGTGATTCCATGCTGTAGATGGCTATTTTGGCCAGCTGCCTAGTATGTAGGCAAAAGTCATCCAAGGTGGCCTCTCCAAGAAACGTCAATTTCTCGTTCAATGCAAGAGGTCTCTCGACCGACAGCGACACGACTTAGCGGAGAGTATTTCGTTCGTACTGATGGTGACGGGCTGTTCCGACGTAGTAGAATGCGGTGTTGATTTGCGTGGGCTTATCCCTCCCTATGTCGGCTTCATGTTAGACACAAGAGGCTTTCCGACTTGAAACGCAATGAAACAGCAGAGAAATCTAGTGATGAGACATCGGATTGCCGTCGGCCGCTTTGTTGCACACAGCGTCTCTTTGCATCGGAGAGTTTCAGAATGTGGAAAGGATTTGGAAAGACGGTGGAACACGGAATGTGAAACCTGTGGGGAGGGAAGTGGAGTCTGATCAAAAAGTGGAGCATCACGTGGATCGTTTGCTTAAGGTTTGCTCCTCCCGCGCCTGGCCGCTTTGTCACCTTCTAGCTGCGCCGCTTTCGCTTTCGTTTCTCCTCCTCACTTCCTCCACCACTTCACATCCCACAACCACCTTGCTTACCCACCATCGACAACGCACCACCAACTGCACGCGACATCAACCCGGCAATAGTCGTGCATTCAAGACCTCCCAGCGAGCAGTGACTGCCGCCACCGCCCGCGCGCGCCCCGCGCCTTCGCGACCAAGTGAACCCCGTATCACGGTGAGAAGTGAGACTGCAGGGAAGTGAGAGACAGCAAAAAACAAAGAATTATCAGCTTGAGACTGCGGAAGTGTGGAAACCTAGCTACTGTTGCTTTGAGGATATTTTTCTCGCGGACAAAACCTTTTGATTTCCCAAAAAGCCAGATCCATTTGAACACTGTTCTCTTGCACTAGGCTCCTCGTAGCTGCATCGGTCAGCGCTGAAAATACAAAAGCACTTTTGTTCTCCAGTGCACTTGTCCATCTGCAACGTACAGTTCCTTCCACCAAACTRCCACAGCAGCAGAGAAAGCGGAATACCCCTCTTCGCGAGCACAAACAGCTCAACGAAAACAAGGTCGACCAAGTACCCTTGTWCTCACGCGTAGTTGCTCATTTGCAACTTACAGCTTCACTCGAACACCACCAGAACACCACAACCGCGCGCGGAGAGATGTCTTCCTCAATCTTCTTCAAGTTCAAGTCTCGCAAGGATGTGCTGCAGATCAACTTCGATGGAACCAGTCTGTCCGTGTTTGAGGTCAAGCGGGAAATCATGAGCATCGCCCGCCTCGGTGATGGAAAGGACGTCGATCTTGACATTTATACCTCTGACACGATGGAAAGCTACGACGACGACACCACACAGATTCCGCGCTCGACAACAGTAATTGCGCGCCGCCTACCCGCTTCAAGACCGGGTGCTGGGAGAGCTGCGCGCTATGTGACCGGCCAAATGCCACTTCGCGCCAAAAACCAGCACCGTGTTGAATCATCGGCAACAACAAGTGGCAAGAGTGCAGGGTTCGGGGAGGGAAGCGCGTCGATGACGGAGCAGGAGAGACTCCAAGCTGTAATGAATGCTAGCAATAGCCAATTGAAAGCAGATCTCGAGCAGTCAGGCAACAAGCCTACGCCGCACCGCAACTACAACAAGTCGGCTGCAATTCCTGACAAACCTCCACCAGCAGGCTATGAGTGTCATCGTTGTGGAAAGAAGGGTCACTGGATTCAAGCCTGTCCCACCAACAATGACCCAACGTTTGACAACAAGCCGCGACCCAAGAAGACCACAGGCATTCCGCGGTCTATGCTYGAGTACATTGATGACGAGGAGGCAGAGAAGATCAAGAATGGAGAGATTGAGCAGGGACAGGGAATCTGGAAGGACGGGGATCGTTATGTCAAGGTGAAGAACGATGAGGCTACGTGGCAGAAGATCCAGGATCAGAGGATTGCTATTGCAGAGCAGGTGAAGGAGATCGCAAAAGGCGACGAGGAACTTCGTAAGATGGGCTTGGAGTGTGATATTGACAAGCGACCATTTGCGGATCCTGTCAAGACCCCCTGTTGTGGGAAGACGTATTGTCGTGATTGCATTGAGAATACACTTCTTGACTCCGATCTTCTTTGTCCGAACTGTGGAGAGCAAGCACTGCTCGATAAGTTGGAGCCCGATTATGAGGTTGCGAAGAAGATCAGTGCCTTTGAAGCAGAGAAGAAAGCCGAGAAGCTCCGTAAGGACAAGGAGACAAGCAAGTCTCCCGTTACTGGTACACCCACAGCTGAAGCCGCCATCAAGTCACCTGAAGGCAAGAAGGATGCCGTGGATTCTCCTGGCTCTACTACAAGCAATTCCAAGAAGCGTGCTGCTGAGGAGGAATTAGAAAACACTCGTCGTCCTGCCGTGCCCACTGGACCTCGAAGCATGACCAACAACACACAACAGCAAGCAAACAACGGCAACCAAATGTCAGCTTTCCACAGCCAGATGAACGCCATGTCCGGTGCAATGATGAACCCAATGATGAACCCCATGATGGGTTTGGGAATGGGCATGCCGCCGATGGGAATGCCAATGGGCAACGGAATGGGAATGGGCATGCCGATGGGCATGAACATGGGGATGCCAGGCCCGATGATGGGAGCCGGCATGGGCATGGGAATGGGCATGGGAATGGGAATGGGAATGGGAGGAGGAGGGTTTGGCGGGATGAATGGTGGTGGGATGATGGGCGGCCCGCAAGATCAGCAGGCCTACTTTCGACAGCCGGTCAACCCACAGCGATTTCGGGGCAAGCAGAGAAGACAGAGGAGCCCGAATTTCAAGCAGGTGTGAGAATGTGTGTGTGTAGAGATGGCGGGCTGGATGGTTGTGCTTCTATTTTGAGCGTTTAATGCATGGCGAAGCGATGGAATCTGGCATTATGACTGGCGTTATTGAGACAGAGCAGGAAGCTCTCATTGCTTGTGTATAGAGTGCTGATATGATTGAATGAAACACCACATCAATACCAATCGACTTCTACATCATATTTCCTTTTGTACACTGTGAACCATGCTGCAACACTTTTACATGTCTCCTCTCAAATCTCTCAACTTCCCACTCACAGCTTCGCTACTCTTCAAACTAAGCACGGCCGCTCGTTGCGCCACGCCGATCAAGTCCTCTACCCGGTGTCCCTTTGATAGTCCAGCAACAAGCGCTCCAGCAAATGTATCTCCAACTCCATTGACACTAACAACCTCTTCATCCTTGACCTTCTCCGCAGCTGGGAAGAGTCGCATATACACGCCCCCAACCCCCAAACTACTTTCTGTCTCATTCCCACAACGAGAGAGAATGRACGGCGCCGCTTCAGCACTCTGTAATCTCTCATCTCCAGCCGGTAGAAGCTGCGTAAGTAATACCCCATCGCCACCAAGTTTTGTCAAAAGRGTGGGGATGAAAGGGAGTAGTTGTACTGCCATCTGTGGGATTCCTTCGTCGACAAGCTTGCTGCTTGTCGCCATTGCCATTTGGACGCGGGCGCCTGTGGAGAGAATTCCTAGCGCGTCGATGACGTTCCACCAGTCTGCTCGATTGAAAAAATCTCGTTCACGGGCTGCCGTGTGCATGGCGGATAGTTCAAAGGAGTTTGGTGTGGAGTAATGGATGCTCGAGTGAGGGTATGCACCTAGTTGATGTTCATCCTTGGCTCGCGAAGGTAAATTGAAGAGTGTGGTCGATTTGGCTGTGCTCACTGGCTCGAAGATAATTTTCGCATTGATTTCTTTCCCGGCTTGGAGCCATTGTGCAAGATACTGCGACGGCCAGTTCCCATCCACGACTAGATGTTTGGGTTTCTCGGCCCGGAGTTGAGGCAGCCATGTGTTCTCAAATGTGGATGGTAGGCTGGGAGAGGTGGCGAGAATAGACATGTCTGCCATTGCCACTACCAAGTCTTTGGCCGTGTCGTTGATCGCGACGTACTGTGCAGTGCGACTTCCGCTCTCTGCAGGGAACATAGCGATGGCACCTGTGCTCATGCCAGTAGAGGCTAGAGCTTCAAGAGCTGCGGAGCCGGCCAGGTCAGAACCCACCGCGCTGCAGAGGCGGACTTGTGCACCCATGAGGTGAGCCGCGCGTGCGACGTTGTGGCCCACGCCTCCTAATGACTGAGTGATTCGAGCAGGGTTTGAGGTCTGTAATGAAGGGCTCTTTGAGGATGCGGAGGAAGATAGAGGAGCAAAGTCGCAAGAGWGATCGACCGCTAAGCTGCCAGCCACGAAGACTTCTGCCAGCGAAGTCGACGTTTCCACAGGATTGGATGTTGGCTGCGGAGGGTCCATGAGTCCGGCGCCGGCAGCATAGCTTATTGGAACTCCCTGTGCAGTATAATTGCTGGCAGCGGGTCCGATGATGACACTGCTTGCTTCTATTTCAGGTCTATACACACTATATAAGCAATCTACCTTTAACGTGGACAGTGGTGCCTACGACTCACTTCGCCTCCCCCTCCCTCTCCAGTCTGCTCAATTCAACGGCCACCTTTGTACCTCTGATGATGTTGGCCTCAACGAGGGCCGTATTCGCCTCGACACTCTTGCTTCCCGTGAGTTCTTTGATTTTGGCAAGAATGTACGGGGTGCTCGCATTTCCAGTCGCACCTGCAGCCTCGGCAGCTTGGATGGCCTGCGCAATAGCCTTTTCCATTTGTTCGAATGGTAGCGAGTACTTCTCTGGGATCGGGTTGGCAAAGTGAATCCCTGACTGCAGTCCCAGCGCGTTTTGTGCAAACACAACTTTGGCAGCCTCGAGCTCATCCTGCACAATCACTGGGCTCTTGACTCCACTATCTCTAGTGTAGAAAGCGGGAAAGTCAATCTTTCCAGTCCTCCCGTCAGCGAATGTGGCAACAGCAACACCCTGTGTCTCGAGATACTCGAGCGTACGTGGAATGTCCAGGAACGATTTGCAGCCTGCTGAAATAACAGCAACAGGCGTCCGGCCCAGCTCGGTGAGGTCCGCGGAGATGTCCATGGAGTTTTCGGCTCCGCGATGGACGCCTCCCAAACCTCCTGTGGCGAAGATTTTGATGCCGGCCAGGTGAGCGAGGACCATGGTACCAGAGACTGTCGTTCCACCATTTAGGGGTTTGCCATTTGAGTCTTTCAGCCCGAGAGAGAATGCGATGTCTCTACGCGAGACTTTGAGGAGGGAAGGCGAGCTGGGAAGCGAGACTAGCTGGTCTAGGTCCTGAGGAGTGAAGCCTACCCTAGCGACGCCGTTAAGGACGCCAATGGTAGCGGGCACTCCGCCATTTYGACGAACCAGCCTCTCTAGGTTGTTTGCCAAAGCTAAGTTTTGAGGATATGGGAAGCCGTGCGTGTAGATTGTTGTCTCGAGCGCCACGACGGGACGTTTCTCCGACAGCGCCTGGCGGACCTCTTCAGAAACCTGGAAGAAGCTGGAGTTGGAGGTGATGTTTCTTCTGCTGGGAAATCTTCTCAGCTGCTGCAGCGATCGAGTAGAGGTGGACCGGCAGGTTCGACAGAGCCAAGGAAGAGAAGACATTGCCGGTGTGACAGTTGCAGGTCTTGCTTCGTGGAATGAGAGTTTTCTGCGTTAGTGTATCGGGTCCGACTTATCTGTAACTATATCACTAGCATCTTCCTGAGATGCTCCAATCGCGACCTGCGGTGTCTCAAGTGGGCAAGTGTGTTTATTTGCGCTCGGAAAGAAATCGGCGAGGTGGAGTCGGAGTTGAACGGGCTGCACAGACCTTGCGGTCGCGGAGCGGAACGACGAAATGCTTGGCGGATAGAACTAGGGAATCGTCACTTCACTCTTACTTGGACGAACCGATAAGACATCGAGCCGAACTGACAGCGTCTCTTTGCATCGCAGTGGAACAGACTAGCAGCGGACCAAACCCCTTTGCATGCTACAAGATACTCTCACCTAGAGTGCCTGAGGACCTTGCTGAGCTGCCGTCCTCTTGGCCAACGCATTCAAGTCGCGGTATCTCGGAACGGGACTGAATAGAAGAGGCTTAGTACAAGAGCTATCTGAGATGGTACCACGATCAAAGTCCAATGGAGTCTGCGTCCTTTAGACACTGTGCCAACGGCATGTCAGGATCACGACTCAAACTCCCCAGGACACGCACTAGCGCGTTCATAACGAGATCAACCTCCTCTTGAGAGTACCAACGCTTCGAAGCCTCAAGGACGACCTCTAGTCCACCATTTCCTAGAGCCGACGAAGTGATTGAAAAGTCCATGATCGAATCGTCGACGCATATCATTTCTACGTCGACGTATGCTTTATCACCGAGCGTGAAGTGCTTCGCGGAATCGAAGTTTTGATGAAGCAAGAAACTACTGTGTCGGTATTTGACATCTCCGCACCATTGAGGAGCGCATTCCCGTGTGATGGAGTCGGCTCCTAGATGGGCGTGAGGGAGCGCGGCGAGGACCTGAGACTGTACCTGCTTTAGTAGCGAGGCCACTGTCATGGTGTCAGAAATGCGGACGCGCATTGGGACTTCTGTGGCGCAGCAGCCTACGACACTTGATGACCCGGGAATGGCTTCGTCTCTGCCATTCACGAGGTAGTAGAACACGACATCATAGCTGCTGACCATACGGGCTAGCATTATCGCCCAGGCGCTCTTGACCAGAGTTGAMAGCGTTGCCCCTGCAGGCAAAGCTGTGGGTAGCACGACGATGCGCTTCGCGGAAATGTCTGATATCTCGCCATTATCGTTCGCAAGAGCCATACCATCCTTTCGAAGCATTGTGGGCTTGGAACCCTCCAGGAGATCTCGCCAGTACTCGTACGAATCCGAGACTTGCGGTAGAAGCCTTTTTTCAAGATAGGGCAGGAACTGCACTTCGGGGAATGAGACCTCTCCTGTCTCATATCCCTTCTGCAAGGCTCGAAGGATCAGTCCCATGGATGTGCCATCCACAATATTATGATGCATACTAGTCAGTACCTTGACCTGGCTTGATGAAACTAATATCATCCAAGTGACGGGCTGGTTACCAGAAGACTTCTCAAGGGACTGGAGCTGAGCCAAGAGTGTTTGAACCCCTTCATTCACATCGTTGCACTCAACGATCTTGATTCTTTGCAATATCTGCGGGTCCGAAGCAGGCAGAGCCATTTGCTTGGCTCCATCATGTGTAAAGGTGAGTCTCAGGGAGTCGTACCGCTGGAAAATAAGGGAGACGGCGTTCCGCAATTTCTGGACGTCCACACTGCCACGCATCGTCAATATGTGGTAGAGTATAAGTGAACGATGCGAGCTGGAACTCATGCTTGCACAGTATCTTTGAAACGACGTCGTTGAATACCATGTTCCCTCAGCCACCCGCGCAAAGGATCCACGGTCCCGAGGTTTCGAGAAACCATTCTTTGAGTTCGATTGTTTGATTCTTTGCAGCAGTTCCATCATGTTCGGAAACTSCAAGATGTCGGACATGTTTATCGAGAAGCCGGCTTCTCTTGCCTTGCGAGACAGCATCACGGCGCTCGCGGAGTCTCCACCTAGCTCTGTCCAATTGCTTGCGTAAGACAAGTCCGTTGCATCGACATGCAGAGTTTCGGACCACGCCTTTCTTAACTTGAAGAAATACTCGTCATTCTGAATGCTTTTAGGAGAAGGAGRGGAATCAACACCTTCCGACAGTGTTGCGTCCTGTCCAAGTTCCCGTAAGGCCCTTCTGCTGAGCTTGCCGGAAGCGGTTTTGGGGAAAGCTTCCAAGACAATAACTTTTGCTGGAATCATGAATGAGGGAAGTCGCTGACTTAGGCATGCCGTCATCTTTCGTTGGAGTTCTCCAACATACTCATCTGTGTGTTCGCGCCAGCGTAAGATCATGAACGCGGTTAGACGTTGCTTGAATGGATCATTGGCCACGAGAGTGATGTCAACGATCACGTCTACAATCTCCATGCCAAGCGCCTGCTTTATCGACTCCTCTACCTCGGATGGCTCAATGCGCTGACCCCGGAGCTTCACTTGGAAGTCCTTCCRGCCAAGCAGAAGAAATTCTCCCCGGCCATCGTACCTGACGAGATCACCTGTTTTGAACCAGCGTCTGTCGCCCTGGCCAGCGCCAAAGGACGAAGCCCATTTTGGACTCTGGATGAACGCTGCTGATGTCTTCTCGGGCTCAAGGATGTATTCTTTGGCGATGCCGTAACCCTCGAGGATCAGCTCGCCAATTGCACCGACAGGCATCAACCGATCATGATCCTTCGGGTCTACGACCCAACCTCTCTTGCCAACGCATTTGCCAATACTTTGACTGTCAGAGAGCAATGAAAGAGCCAGACAAGCACTGATTCCTGCCTCCGTTGAACCATAGTGGTTTTCAAGACGTCTTACTTGGTTGTCGAGCCAAGTCTTTCGTAGGGTAGCCGAACCTGGCTCGCCTATCATGTCGACCGCCTCAAGAGACGGGAGTTTCCGGGGATCCAAGGACTTGGCCAAAGAAGGCGGGATTGCCATCCACTGAGGCTCTAGACGACGGATAGCATTACGAAGATCGTCCGATAGTTCGTCGTCGCTGGGTACACACAGCACTCCGCCGTTCATAAGCGAGGTCAAAATTTCCAATGTAGCCCACGCAAAACTATACGACGTTCGATGCAGGCTGCTGATTTCTGGTCTTCCGGGGAAGATCGTCCCGAGTTTTAGGACCGAGCATATGGCAAAATGCTGCCACGCAACAGCTTTCGGCTTCCCGGTGCTCCCCGAGGTAAAACTGATGATTGCTAGATCATCGGGCGACACAAATACCGGAAAGCTGCGTGGACCGAAGACACCTTGTGCACTGACCAGAACAGGCATCCCATTTTCTTCTACAGCGATGACGTTAGAAACGAGCTGCGTTGCTAGTGATGCGCTCTCCATTGACGATAGCACGAAAGAGCATGATATAATGGAGATCATGGCCCTCAATCTCTCCACCGGTAGGCCCTGGTCAAGTATCACAAAAGCAGCTCCTGCTTTCAAGACGGCCACCATCGCAACCGGCACTCGCGTACATCTCGGCATGATGATCGCAACAATCTGTCCTCGACCACAGCCCTGTCGGGCTAAAAAACGGGCAAGAAGGTGGGAGGCATCATCCAGCTGACCTCTTGTCAACTGCCCGTCCCAGGCGGTCACCGCAAGTTTGTTTGCATCTTGAGACGTCCAAACCGCGATACGTTGGTTGATAGTGCGCCAGTCTTTCTCCTCTGGAATGGCATTCAATTCACTAATTTGGTCGGCATCCTCTTCGCTCAGTATATCCACGGCATCGAGTGATGATGTTCGATCCATCGAAGTAATTTGGCGTCGAATATGAACGAACTGCGACAAGAGTCGCCGTGCGGATTGGAGACTCATCACAGAAGGATCGTAATGGACACACTCTGGAAAACTTCCATGGCTAGGATTTGAGGAATATGCAAGCACCAAACCGCAATGAATGTCAATGTCTCGCGGCAGGTTTCCAACATCCTCGGTGCGTAAAAGCATACATGGAGCTTGGTCGGGCACTTGATCCAAARCGCTTACACCGCTCCGTACGCCGGACAGCAGTTCCTTGATGGAATGATGATGTCCAATGCTGATGCTGCATCCTTGTAGATCCCAATGGGTACCAGAATGGCTTCCGTGCAAGAAAGAGATGTCCGGAGAGTTGATGTATGCTTCAACAAGCAGAGCAAACGCGGCCAATGTTATATCTTGCAATTCCTGACAGCCATKGCCAGCGTAAGCTTTACTGGGCTCGCAAAAACTTTTGCGTGTCGTTGCAGCTTGAAGGTCGCCTAGTACAGGTAGGACAAGAGAGCTGGCTCCGAAAGAAAACTTCGACATCGTGCGATTGAAGCGTGATGCAACGCAACGTTGGATGGTACGATGAGATGGTCCATGGGGAACAAAAACCTCAAAGTGTGAAACAAGTATTGTGCGAAGGCTAATAACATGGGAGAAACTGATGATGGCATCTTGCATTGCATTGCAGCAGCATCATCATTACTGTCGTAAGAAGCGAGCGGGCGAAAAGTAATAAGAGTTCGACCCGTTGCAGCCACATTTGTACGATCGCCAGCCGTTGACCGAATTTGGTTAACACACAGGCTTTATTCCCTCAGGTCGCAATGAGACCGATCTGCTTCCAAGACGTGTGATACGACCACGGCTTTTGGATCGACATCGCGTTTTAAAGCTGTTCATCCAAAAATTTCCATGTCAGAACATTCAAGTATGGAAATGAAGACAATCTTGACAGCTTCATAATCCTCGACAATCCATCCCGAGAGCGAAGAAACTTCCTTCCGGCAGGGAGAAGCAAGATGTGGAATTCCAGGAACAGTCTGCGTTGCAGCTGGGCATTGAACGCACGAAGATCCCAGAGCTGGTTGCTTGTGGCTTGCTGCATGGCAATATTCACCGTGAGGCTCGCTTTTCCCGAACAAACCAATGCTGGCAGACTTACCATGCATGACGCATCAGGACATCTTCACATATGGACTATTGACACCTACCCTGCCGTTTGCCTTGCCCAATCGTGCCCACGTTCCGGCAAAAGATGGTGCGACTCGAAAGAGCATTCTTTCGGCATTTGATCGATGTTGAGGTTCTGACTCTCTGATAGTGCAAACATACACATCTGTCGTTTTAGCTCTCGCTCCTGCAACAATTGTGGTTACCGCACGTGAGTTCTTCAGCATAAAGATACAATTGCAAGCTCTGACGAGTACAGCACTCGCTGGATGGCTTTCAGACCGTGCTGCACGCCGACGGCCACTTTTCATATCAGCAGTCATCATCCAGGCCATAGCAACCGGCCTCTTCACCGATGGAAGATCGCTTGCTCTCTGGCTTTCGGGCGCAGTGCTAGCGGGAATATCCTCGGCAGTGGTTTGGTCGAGCAGTCTCGCCATGATACTTGATCGAATTCCCAAAGAAAACATCGCGGAGTCCTTGGGCTACACCAGCCTCAGCCTTGGTCTGGGGATCTTCCTGGGACCAATTCTCGGCGGAGTGTTATGGGAACATGCGGGTCCGTACGCCGCCTGGGGTTTGTGCTTTGGATTTCTCGCCATAGATCTCGCACTGCGACTCCTGGCGATTGAGGAACCGCGAAGTCGCGAGGATTCTGTGAGACATGAGGACGAGGAGAAAGCTTCGGTCCAGTTTCTACCCGCTTTGCGTCTGTTATCATCTCCAAGGCTGCTCTGGGGACTATGGGCAACTATCGTGCAGGGGATCGCACTTAGCGCCTTCGATGCAGCTCTTGTCATCTTCGCGAGGAACACATTCCACTGGAATTCAACGGCAGCCGGGCTTCTATATATACCATTCGTACTCCCAAGTTTCCTCAGTCCCTGGGTCGGACAATTCGCAGACCGGCATGGCGGAAGGCTGCTTGCAACATTTGGGTTCCTGCTCGCTACCGTGGTTCTGACCTGCCTGCGCTTCGTGGACCACAACAGCATCTCTCAAAAAGTCTTACTGTGTGCTCTACTATTTCTCGCATCCCTGGCCATGGGTTCGACACTTTCGGTCTTTAGTGCGGAGGCCGCCCATGTTGTGTTTGAATATGAAGAGGAGCATCCAGGGTCTTTCGTGGCAAGAGTGCCATTGCACAGGCCGAGGGTTGCTGGTGGGCTGCCTATTCTCTTGGGACCGCTGTTGGACCCCTGTGGGGAGGCCTTGTACAAGGAGCTGCGGGTTGGAAAACATTGACCTGGACGTTGGCTTTGTTGGTTGGTGTTTCGTCCATTCCGGTGTTCCTCTACACTGGAGGTTCCATTTTTGGACGCAAGCGTGCAGTTAAAAGGCAGCAATCTAGCGACTCGCATATAGAGGAATGAATTTGTTCGAGAAAATGCACCTCGAGGTTCATGCAATTTGACAGTCTGACAATTCGAAGAAGGGACGATTACTTAAGGTTCCGCTAGCGTCATAGGGCTTCGGACCATCTTGCGGACAGACACGTACGCGGAGTAGCAGCTCTCATGAATTGAGCTTCCGATTGAACTGATTCCAATGCCAGCACGATGAGAGTACTCCAATGGGCCGTCTTGGGCCTCACCGGCATCGCTACCGCCGCCGACTCTAACCTTACATCGCGAAACATCCTCCCCGGCACCTTTACGCCGCCGCCAGCTTTCAAGAATGTGAATCTGGTACGGAATATCAACCTGGAGAAAGCGTATCCTCGCGAAACACTGAATGTGGTCATTGAGAATGTGGCCAAGACTGCGCAACAAGACTATTTCCTTCCCTTTGAGCAGGGTCTGATTGGTCGTGTGGGTGGATTGGAAGTCAAGGACAAGAAGCAGCCGGAGCGGAGCGGCTTCAGCGTTGAAGTCGTGGCCATTGACCCGCAGGAGTGAGTGTTGTCAAAAGTGGATGGAAAGAGAGGAGTATTGACGATGATGATCTCAGCACCACCGAGTACTACAAAATCACCCTTCCAACAGCTCTCGCACCGGCCGAGCAGTTGACGCTGTCCATCACCTACCACATCCTCAGCGCTCTGACGCCCCTCCCGGCTTTGATCGCTCAGAATGATAAGCAATACGTTCTGCACAAATTCTCCGCCTACGCTCCTTCCGCATACCCAACACTCAAACAGAAGACCAAGCTCAAGCTTCCAACAACCGACGTCCCGGATGTCGTGAAGCTTCCGTCAGCYCTCAACGCGGAAGGCAAGGACGACCCTCAGAAGCAGGGCTCCACATTCACGTACGGTCCATATGGAGAGCTTGAGGCCGGTGCGGTGCAGGAAGTCAGTCTCCGCTATGAGTTCACCAAGCCTCTCACCCATGTCAAGCTCCTGGAGCGGGACGTTGAGGTCTCACACTGGGGCGGAAATATTGCGACTGAGGAGCGTCACTGGTTGACCAACCGCGCTGCTGGGTTGAAGAACCACTTTTCGAGAGTCGCATACCAGCAGAGCAGCTACTACAACCCTCCAACCAGCGCATTGAAGGAGTTGCGCTTCCCGCTTGTGACGGGCAGCTTGGACCCCTACTTTGTGGATGACATTGGAAACGTCTCGACTTCGAGATTCCGATCCAACGTCCGGGAAGCCAACCTCGAGCTCAAGCCAAGGTATCCCATCTTTGGAGGCTGGAATTACAATTTCAAAGTCGGCTGGAACGGAGAACTCCAGAACTTTTTGAGAAGGACAGAGAAAGGTGCCGAGAGTTTTGTACTAAAGGTGCCTTTCCTGGAGGGACCTAAGCAGGCCGAGGGTGTCGAGTACGAGAAGGTCGTCACGAGGGTGATTCTGCCCGAGGGCGCGAGGTAAGGGGATACAGATCTTGATGTGCTTGTGATGAAGACTGACACATGTTTGATAGCAACGTCCGCTTCGAGACGACCGTGCCACTCATCTCCAACACCACGACTTTGGTGCATTCTTTCATGGATACGCTCGGACGCACCACGCTTACACTCACCGCCATCAACGTCGTTGACGATATGAGAGATCGTGAGCTGCTTGTTGTTTACGACTATCCATTCGCGGCGAGGTTCCGAAAACCTTTGACTATCTTCGGAGGTGTCATGCTGGTGTTTGTTGTGAGCTGGGTTGTTGGCAATCTTGACGTCAGCATCGGGAAGAAGCAGATCAAGTGAGTGGAGAAAGTATATTAGAAGAGGAAAAGATTCATCTAGAAGAGATATGAAAATGTATCATACGGTTTGAGTGCAGCTTGAAATTCACGAATGGGTGAGTAGTGAAAGCTCGGCGAGGTAGTTGATTGTGAGAAGAGAGACCTCGAGACGGGAAGATGTCACTCGAAATTTCAATCCATCATTGCCATTCGTTTCGAGACGTTACTAGCACACAGAGACACTGTGTAGTAGTATTTGGACCTCCCGGTCCAGAGCCCACACTGGTCTCCTCACTGTTTTCCAGCAAGCTATCCGTCTGGACGCGATTTTCTTCCCTTACTTTCCGAACAAGCCATTCAATACTTCTAAAAGTGATGAGCCTGGAGTCCAGCTTCCAGCAGCATGGTGTTCGACGAATGCGCAATGCAGCAGTTCAAATCGACACCAACGCAGCTAGAMTCCAACGAGACGGTCTCTTCCAACTTGCAGCGCCGCTTGTTCCAGGCCAGGGTCCCATGTACAATGTCTCGAGAAAGGAAGCGCATCGTGTGAAAAGTTCCCCAAGTCCAAGGCCATACATATTACCCTGCTTTCTCCATGCCCTTGACGTGTTCCTGTCTGCAGTGGTAATCATATGTGAAGGCCTCTCAATCTACTTTTTATTCTTGCTGCTTTTGGACTTCTGTTCTCCACCCCAGAATTCCCACGTCGAAGGATCCGATTTAGCAGTCTTGACACCATCGTCGTGGAGTCGAGGAGTATCATCCAAATCGTAAGAGCGTCTGGTTTGAAACCCTATATGAAACTGTCCAGGAGAATCGTCGCCATGTTGTGGTAAGCGAGGGCGGACGTTGTATAGATATACCGAACTATTTCGCAAACAATGGATGAGTTCCGCGAATGTGATATTGTTCCGTTGGAAGTCGCGCTGGTTCAATATGCTCGCCATGTCGACCGATCCCATGCGATCAACGCTCTCGATTACACTAAAGAGTAAGTCAGAAATCAGCTTCAGGCGTGTCGGATCTGGTTCGCTGCAACGTAGGTAGATGAAAAGTTTGCTCAATTCGCCCTCCCCCTCGAGTGGGTTCTCTACGCGAAGGGAGTATCTTTTCGCGGGATCTCCTGCGACCACGTGTTTGAGAAGTTCTAGTTGATCGGGAGTAGGAACGAGTTGCTCTGCTGCAATGCGGCGTTCTTGACCAGGTTCTCCAATAGTGCTCTCGTCAGATCCCTGGAAGAAGTTGGCGAGGGCTTGGAAGATCATCTTTTCCCACTCCGCGGTGCCAGGGATTGGAAGCATTGCTCCGTTGGGCTCGCGTTTCGTGATGTAGGATCCAGCTATCTCGCCAGAACGCGGTATTTTCAGCTCGAATCGTCGCATCCTGTCTTGTTGGATGTACTTTTTGAGGTCTTCGAATTGTTGCAAATTTTTCGCCCAGTTGCTTGCCTGGAATTCGGTTTGCCCAGGCTGTGAAAGCCAGAAGTCGAGGAGCATGAGAACTTGTGGTCCTTCTAAGCTCATGGTGATTTCAGAAGCAATTTGTGGAGCTGAATTGTTCTTTGTAACATTCGGAGGCTGCCAACGAAAGACGGTCGCTGGGAGTTGTTGTGACGTTTCAATCGGTGACAGTGGCTGTCGGTGAGCCTGCGCACCTTTCTTCAAGATCTTCCTCTCCAATCTTTTATCTGCGTTGGATCCTTCGCCATAGTTGAGGGGCATGAAGATCTCACAGATGCCGAGCATACAGTATGCCCGGTCCTCACGTCTTGTTGTTTGACGTTTGTTCATCCATGATTGGCGTTCCTCAATGCTCGTATTTCCAGCATTGCGGTAGTCCCAAAGAATACGTTTGTCAATCCCAGTAGCCTTTGAGATCCATTTATTAAGCGGCCAACCCAGACGCCCAAAAGGAATGGGCGCTTGCGAGTCCGGCTCCATTAATCCCACAGTAGAAGACTTGTGGCCCAGATGCCGCCATTGTTCATCCAGAAAGATGACAGTCTTGGGCGCCAGGAGTTCCTGCAAGGTCCAACCTAGGTCAAACAGTCAGAGGCTTTGCATGTACCGTCACAGCTTTCCACCATACCACGAGTAAACCAAACACTGACGCAGAAGGATTTTAACACATCAAGCGGTGCCGCGTCAACGCTTACATCGTGCATCCAAACCAGACAGCACCACGCCTGCGCATACCACTCAAACATGGAGGTGATGGCYTCCTGTAACTCGGCGGAGCTATCTTTGTTAATGCAAATCGTGTCAATCCAGATGTAATGCGGAATGTTTGTTCCTGGCGGCTGCGATCTCCACTGATTGATGTATTCGCAAAATCGTAGGACCTTGTCCATGCCGGCCTTTCTCTGCTTCGTGGGATCTGTATTGGTGCGATTCTTGACGAACTCCTGATAGCTGACCTCATCGTCGAGCCAGCGATGAGATGCGATGATATAGCCAGGCGCTTCGTACGGAGACACATGTTCACTGAATTGGAGGGTGTGTGTATGCAGTAGACGCATCGTGGGAGTCGTGCTTGAAGGAAATGAGTGGGATGAACGAGTGAAAGAACGTAAGGCTGAACGCTTGAAAGTTCAAGCGCACCAGCTCCACTCCACTGGCGGAAGGAATAGGAATGGWGTCCATCGCCCACGGCGTCTCTTTCCATTGGCGAGTATTCTTGATGGCTGCTCCGCGCCGTGATTCCCTCGGGATTGCCACGCAGCAAGAGTATCTTACCAGAGCCAGAGGATGCTCGAGAGCTCTTTATGGGTCTGAACAAGTCCGGATGCAAAGAGACGCCGTGGAAATGGCGGTCATACTATGCCGTTGGAGTGTTTGTCTCACACCACACCACATCTCATCGGCACATTCTGTCTTGATAGTATTCGATCGAGTGAGAAATGATGGAATGCCTCTTGTTTGAGAGGGAGTAGACAGCGGGAGGTCGGAGGTTCGGGTGAAGTTGATGCCGAGATTGTGGCGCAGTAGTGGCGGTGTCGGATGTTCCATTTTTGTGAATGGTGGGGCAAGCGGCAGCGATGTCATCTTTGTTTCCGATGCGTTGGGTTGGGCTGCGCTGCGCAATGGTCCGCGCAAACATATTCAGGCACCACCATTCGAAACACCATCTTGCATGAACTAGACGTGCACTGGCACATTTCTCCCCTTCTCCCTTCTGTCATCACCAAAACACCATCCATACCCCACAATGAACGTCCTCAAGCTGCAACGGTAAGAAGACGCGGGCCATCCACCTCATTCTTGCACTCTTGMATCCAGCTAATACGTGCCGGTCAGGAAATACCCGCAGCTTCAGCAAGATCTGGGCTCCCTCTCCGATCAATTCCGCCGACTGGATGTCGACGACAAGGGCTACGTGGACGAAGCGACGGCGATCAAGTCGGCCAGCGGCACCGAGCGACAGCCATACGATGTCGTCCGGCAGGCACTGAAAGAGGTCGAGCTGGACAGCTCACGACGGGTGGAACTGGATGATTACGTCGATTTGATTGCTCGTTTGCGGGAGAGTAGTCCGGCCCAGCAGCGGTCGCGCGGCTTCAGCAATGCTCAGAAACCCGTGGCAGCGCAAGCCAGTGGACAGCATACCACCCCATCCCACGCCAGCAAGGGTAGTCTCGGCGGGGGAGTGACGGCCAAGCCAGGACGGATCACCGTGGGAGGATCCACGGCTTCATCCCAGCATACCATCAACGAGGACGAGCGTACTGCCTTCACCTCGCACATCAATGCCGTTCTGGCGGGCGATGCTGACATTGGTCATCTCCTCCCCTTCCCGCTCGACACCTTTGAAATGTTCGATTCCTGCCGTGATGGTCTGGTTCTGGCCAAACTCATCAACGACAGTGTGCCCGACACCATTGATGAGCGTGTTCTCAACCGAGAAGGCAAGAAGATCAAGAAACTCAACGCCTTCCACATGACCGAAAACAACAACATTGTCATTGAATCCAGCAAGGGTATTGGCTGTTCGGTGGTGAACATCGGCGMGGGAGACATTATTGAAGTTCGCGAGCATCTTATTCTTGGTTTGATCTGGCAGATCATCCGCCGGGGATTGCTCGGAAAGATTGACATTAAACTTCATCCGGAGCTGTATCGTCTGCTAGAAGATGGTGAGACTCTGGAACAGTTCCTCCGCCTTCCCCCAGAGCAGATTCTCCTCCGCTGGTTCAACTACCATCTGAAGAACGCTGGGTGGCAGCGTCGAGTCCAGAACTTCTCCAAGGATGTACACGACGGTGAGAACTACACGGTCCTACTCTCCCAGCTCGCTCCTTCAATCTGCTCGCGCTCTCCACTTCAAACTTCAGATCTCCACTCTCGCGCTGAGCAAGTCCTTCAAAACGCCGACCGCCTCGACCCACCATGCCGGAAGTTCTTGACTCCTCAATCCCTTGTCGCTGGTAACCCAAAGCTCAACCTTGCTTTTGTTGCCAATCTCTTCAACAACCATCCCGGTTTGGACCCCATCACGGAAGAAGAAAAGGCGGAGATTGAAGACTTTGATGCAGAGGGTGAGAGAGAAGCTCGTGTCTTCACTCTATGGCTCAACAGCATGAATGTGCAACCCAGCGTATCTTCATTCTTCGACGACCTCAAAGATGGCATCATTCTGCTGCAGGCTTACGACAAGGTCATTCCAGGAAGTGTCAACTGGCGTCATGCCAACAAGCCTCCTGCGAATGCTGTAACTCCCGTTTCCCAGGATGAAGACGAAGCATACTTGACTATCAAATCTGGGATGAGTAGATTCAAGGCTGTCGAGAACACAAACTACGCCGTCGAGATTGGAAAGCAGAACCGCTTCTCCCTGGTCGGTATCCAAGGTGCAGACATCACTGATGGACAACGCACTTTGGTTCTTGGAATGGTCTGGCAGTTGATGCGAAAGGACATAACCAATACCCTCTCCTCCCTCGCACAGCGTCTCGGGAAACGCGAAATCACCGACGCGGACATGGTACAGTGGGCGAACCAGACTGTTGCCAAGGGCGGCCGATCGGGAAGTGTACGAAGCTTCAAGGATCAATCCATTGCAAGCGGTGTATTCTTGCTGGATGTGCTGAATGGGATGAAGTCGAGCTATGTGGACTATGATTTGGTTGCACCGGGCAAGACTGATGAGGAGCGCTACGCAAATGCCAAGTTGGCCATTTCAATTGCGCGGAAGATGGGTGCGACCATTTATGTGGTACCGGAGGATATCGTCACGGGACGGACGAGGTTGCTCGTGACCTTTGTAGGTTCGTTGATGGCTACGGCGGAGAAGATGGGTGCGTCATGAAGAGGCAGCTGAACATTTGGGGAAAGTTTTGGCTTGAAAGGAACCAAGGGATTTGCATCGGTGTGAGAGCAGAATGGCGTGTCATGATGGATGATCCGTATGATTGATGCCGACGTAGAGACGTAGATGCCCATTTGCGAGGAATGAAAGAGAGACAATCATACCTTTCACATTGTTGATATCTGGTGATTGTAGACGTGGAGAGCAGGTGTTTGAGATGATAGTATGGCCAGAGCGACCATCTCTCTACTCTCTTCTCAAACATTTATGGAGATTCCATCACAATCCCACTCCATCTAACTCGTCCCGTTGATTCAATATCCGAGTAACATCTCCAAACATCTCCAAATCTCAAGCATTCTCATCCTTGAACCCGCCCAACTTGAACAACTTCTTCGCATTCTCCCTCCCAATCATCCTCACCGTCTCCACACCATCCAATTCCACCCCATCAAACCACTCACACGCATCCTCAAATTTCTCAAACGGATAATCAATACTAAATAAAATCCTCTCGGCTCCAATTTCCCTTATACAATACTCCAAAGTAGGCGTGGAGAAATGTCCACTAGTCGTGATCCAAATATTCTCCGCGAAGTACTCCCTTATAGTCCTCTTACAATCTAGACCTAAAGGTTTCTTAACGTCTTCAAACCAGTGATTGATTCGCCAGAGATCAAAGGGGAGATGTTCGCCTAGGTGTCCGATGACGATTTGTAGGCGAGGGAAACGGTCGAAGAGACCGTTGGTTACCATTCCTAGGAGATGGAGACTTACTCCCTGGGCGAAGGATAAGGGGGGTCCGATGAGCCATTTTCGAGGCGCCCAGAGTTTTTCGTGGAATACTCCTGTGGGGTTGCGGGGGTGCAGGTAGAAGGGTACGTCGAGGTCTTGGACTGTGGACCAGAAGGGATCCCAGGATGGGTGGTCGTAGAAGATCATCCTGGAGAAATTCCATGTCAGTTGGATGTATATGACTTTTGTGAAGGGAGGGAACTTACGAATCCCCAGACTCGTCATTCCGCTGCGTATCATTGACCAAAGCTCCCTTGAATCCCAATTCCTTAACACATCTCTTCAATTCCTCGGCTGCGACATGTGGATCATGCATCGATAATGTCCTGCACCCAACAACCATCCGTCAGTCATTCATCCTCCCAAAAACAAACCAAACGATAAATAGATCGATCAAACTCACGCAAAAGCCCCCAACCGCGTCTCAAACCCTTTAATCTCCCTCGCAACATGATCATTAACTTCCCTCGCCAAAGCATCCGCTTCACTTTGCTTCCACACATCCTGTACGCCCGGAGCGGTGTAGGATAAGATTTTATAGCCGACTCCGTATTGGTCCATTTTTTGGATGCGGAGTTTGTTGATGTCGTTGATTTCTTGCGTGTGTTTGGCCGCGTCGACGGCGAAGAGGGAGGCCCACCATTCGGTCTTTTCGGCGTTGCCTGGGAGAGGTGTCAGGTTTGTGGCCAAGTATATCTTGTTGATGTTGTTGTTTGATGAGGCTTACGGGGAAGGGCAAAGGCCTCTTCGAAAGCTACTTTGCCGAGCATGATGGGATGTTTTTGGGTACAAGACAGGAAATGATGGAGTGGGATTGATGAGTTGGGAAGAAGTTGGGAGGATGTCATCTACAAGACTTGGGATTCCTTTTGTATAGACCTAGCGTCGGAGGAATCTCATCATATCCTGACTGATCGTCTCCACCTCCATGGATAATATCGCCCCGCATCATCGCGGCATTCTCGCGCAAGCATCTTCTACCCTACTATGCATATCGTATCAAGATTCGAGCTTCGGGCTTCCCTGTCAGCCGGGTGCGCCCTCGGATGATGTGATGCGGATCTTCGGGTAGTGCACCTCTTCGGCTATGTACCTAGACTTGAACTTGCCGCCTCCTCTCCGTCAACCCTTGCAGATATGCGGCCCAAAGTCTCTGATGCTCCAGGAACATTTTCTTGATATGTGCATTTGTAGTGCCCAATACTATCTGCCCCCAGTCCGTCACAGCTCCAAATCGATACTGTGTCCACCATTTATAACGTGGGCCGTTACCCACCGAGAGGTCCTGCACGGAGAGGATGATGGAAAGTTCCATCTCACATTCCCAATTTTGAAACTCGCTTCCTAGATCCGGTTCCCGCAGTATGCGGCGGACATAGGGCCAAGTTTCGGGATCCAGCTCTTGTAGCATGACCGCGTTGCGAATGGCGGGCTCCGGAGTCAATGTATGCAGCACTCCTCGGATGCGATCGCGGAGGGGTTCCGCGCTGGCTTGGKGCGGCAGGACTTCGAATCTCTGTAGATCGCCCAGTTCGGGGTGTTGAAGGACYGCAAAGCTCGAATAAGGAATCGTCTGTCCTCCTCGATCGGGCGACGACCAGACCAGCATATCTTCTCCTTTGAGGATGAAGAATATGAGCTTGAATTTGGAATACGTGACATTCATGGGCAAGATGAAGCCACCGCGCCGTTCCGACATGAAGGTCCAGTTGATGAACATGGTTGGAGTCAAAGATAGCCAGTCTTGCCTGCCTGTAGGTACTCCTGGGTTGAGTGACGGGGAAATGGAGGCATTGGCGGGAGGAAATATGTCGTGTCGTCGTCGTTGCTCGTTAGTTGTGATGGCATTGTTCATATTGCACTCTCGAGTGCCGGGCTGCTGTCTGGGGATTGAAATGTTGATGGGAGTGTTATGATGTGGATTCGTATGTCTGTTGTGATGGCATTGCTGACCTGCTGGAGAGAATGGACATGCATGCAGTGAGTGAACGGTCGCTGCCTCCCTCCTCTCTCTATTTATTCAAGGCTGGAAGGCAGGTCTCAGCGTGTTTGCAAGTTGGCAGGCGCATTGCGTCCGTCGTGTGCGGAAGAAGCCCGAGGTGGACAGAACGCGCAGCCAACAAAACGGCAAAAAGAAAGCAGCCACATTCAATCCAACAGACGGGGTGTTGAACGCGCGACCGCATCAAAAACAATCCAATGRAACACACAAACCAAAAGCAAAAGAAGACCACCTTTCGGTGGCTTCTATTGCCCCTTTAGCCCTCTCACAAGAAACCCTAAGAAGGGAAGTGGTCGAGATCATCCATGCGTTTTACACTTTTTGGTGAGATGTTCAGAATTCTCGGTTTATATTAACCTTCACGACCAGTTCTACCGGAGTAGGTGCGATGCGGGACTTGTGGTAAAATCGGCGGAAGCCGCGACGGGATGGGATGGGAGGGTCCGGCGGAAGTCGCGGGATGGGCGGAAGTCGCAGCATGGGCGGAAGTCGTGGTGGCGGGGACGTCATGGGAATCTTCTTCTTCTTCTTCCTCATCCTTCTTTCTTTTCCACTCACCACAACACTCGCCTCCGTTTCATATCCACATCGCCATCGATATCGACATCGACATCGACATTCGTATCAATATCAATATCCAATACACGTCGGCGGAATCCCGAGGCCGAACACCATGAGACATGGCAGGTATGGTGGCCGCGACTACCACAGATGGGGTAGGGCAAGAAGAATCTATGGAAGAGGCTTATATCCAGCGAGACCCGGCCCGGAAAGACAGCAAGATTCTTCGGGATCCAACTCGTCTCCTCCCATTGGAAAGGAAGCTGGCGAAAAAATTGGCAATCAAGGTGATACAGCAGCAGATCCACCATCAGATAAACCCAAACGCGATTCGGGACTATCCTTCACTTCAGCGTTGAGGCCCAACGCCCCAGTCTTTTCCATGGAATCCAAGGAGCCGACGAATTCCTACAGGCCATACGCTGCTCGTACTGCTGCATATCGTGCCGGTGCTTCCAGAAGAGGTGGAATCAAGAGAGAACGCATGCCAATCGACAGGGACAATCCCATCCAATTTGACCCAGTCACCACCAAATGGGACGAATCAGGAACCCAACCAGGCCCAGAATGGGGATATCCGGCCAACCTCGTCGGTGGAATCGACCGCCCAAGCACTGGTCGTGGCAAGGGAGACGATACCAGGCGAGGCCGTGGTACTTTATTCAATTGGAGGACCAATAGATAGTATCCAGCAGGTCCAATTCTGCCACCACAAGCCTCCCATTCGCATCCTACCCCGGGAGCTTCGGCGTCGCAGCTGGGATTTGATGGAACTTCCTGGCCCGAGCCCCAAAGGACAGCTGATGGGGACAGACAGAGTGGGTAGGGCCCATCATCAGCAGGTCCGTCAGCAGGTCCGTCAGCAGGTCCGTCAGCAGGTCCTTCAAATTCTGTAGGTCTTACACCAGCAGGTTCTTTTTTTTCTCCAGGTCCAGAACCTACACGGCTCCAATTGCGTTCTGATGTGATGGATTAGGGTGTCCCCACTGGGGTGAGCTCAGCCGACGATGCCATAGCAAGTATCCTCAGAATGGTCGACCGACATTCCGAGGAGTGGCGGCCTCCACCTGCACAGGGTAGGCTAAAAAAATCCCCCAAACTGGCCAGCCACGAGATCTCGATGCTAACATCTAATCAGGTGAGCACGCGCCTAGATCCCTAGCGGAGATATATATGGGAGAGCATTCATGGAACTCGGCCTGGAGGCTAACTACGCTCCCACCGTTTTCGCCGGAGATGCCCGATCTGCCTACGCAACATCGCCTTGCACTAGGTCGGGAAGAATTGAACGCCAGTCTCGAAGCGAATCTGCGTAACAATCTGGAACTGGTCGCGCGACTCCGCCAAATGCCCCAAGCCACCGAGAAGAAGATTGTGACGTTGCTGCTCAAGCGTGGAACGGTGCCGGAGAACGTGCAAGGAAGCGTCGTTACGGTGGAGCATATCGCCCTCTTGTTGTTCTTGCGATTACATGTTGTCATGAAAATCGCCAAGGACGCTGGACTGGGCTGGTATGAGTTGGATTGATGTCATCCATTTCAGCATTAAATTTCCCGTCGCTTTGAGGGGTGCTTAGCTCAGATCACTGTCCTCGTGAGGCAAGTCGCTCGAGATGCAATTTCTTGAAAGATTGTTATTCGTTTCTCAAATGAGAGGTGCAGTCTCAAAGGAGCAGTACAGCGTGGAAAAAAAGAGAGGTGAGGTCGAGGTGAAATCCGGGGCATGATTTTCACTTGGCTTGAAAAGGCAATGTTATCCCGTACGTACAAATCCTTGACCGTCCGAGAGGGGAGCCCTCTCATGTCTTTTTTTTCCCACCTGACTTTCCACCTTCTCTTTGCCTGATGATACGTATCTTGCACTCGTGCAATGTAGGGCATTTCCTTGAGACACACGAGGGACATGTGGAGATGAATACTTGTGGAATAGGAGTCAATGGCGTAGGTGGAGCAGAAGATTCTAGGCAGAGTAGGCAGCAAGTGGGATTCGGATGGGAATCCTTCAAGGCAAGCAAGCCACATTATTATTTCCCTTCCCTTTTCCCTTCCCTTTTCTCCTCACCCAACATCTCTCTCTCTCTCTCTCTCTCTCTCTCTCTCTCTCTCTTCTCCAAAACCTCTATTACAAACTAAAGCAAAGCAAATCCAGCATGACCGCCACACTCCACACCCTCCCCGAAGAACTCCTAGATCTATGCTGGCAACACTCCTCCATCGCCGACCTCCGATCTCTCCGTCTCACGCATCGCAGTCTCCTATCTTCAGCCACGAAGAATTTGTTTCGAGAAGTTGTACTCCTCCCTACGAAGGCCAGCGCGGGGAAATGTCTTGAGGTGATGGGTGATGAGAGGTTGAGGGGGGTTGTTCAGAGGGTGGTTGTTAGGCAGGATGTTGAKGAGGATGAGAGGGATCGTGATGATGATGATAATAATGGTGAGGATGAGGAGGATGAGGAGGAGAAGGAGGAGGAGGAGGAAGTGGAGGAGAAGGAGGAGGAGGTGGTCAGATGGTTTCATAAAGATGATGAAGATGCTGAAGATATCGTGGAGTTCCCTACGGGATATAAAATTTGTTGTGAGGGGTTCTTGGGCAAGTTTTTGAATGTGAAGGAGGTGGAAGTTGGGTTTGGGGGGAATGTTGCTGGGCCTGAGAAGGTTGGGTTTGGGGATGAGGGGTTTGGGTGGGGGAAGGAGGTTGAGGAGTGGGAGGGGTGGGAGTTTCGGGATTGTGTTTTGAGGATGATTTTGAGGGGATTATCATCATCTTCTTCATCTTCAGGCAAGTCTGATGATGATGATGATTCGGGGGTCAGGATTAGGAAGTTGGGGATTGTGAATTTGCAAAATGTGCTTGTTGAGAAAACTTTACGGTCGGAGGGATTCGAGAGACTGATGAGGGGGTTGAGGGAGTTGGAATTGCAAATTGCTACCGAGCAGGATGAAGCGGCTCCGGAGAATAGTATTAATAAAGAAGAACTGCACTCCTTCTTTGGTGGAGGAGGGGGATTCGTGGAGGGATGGTTGAAGCCTGTGCAGGGTCACTTGACGAGTCTGACGTTGTATGCGGATACTTATTGGGGATATTTTCCGGCTTGTGGCATTACCGAGGTGGTGTTTCCGCAGTTGGAGAGGTTGGCTTTGGGAAATTATTCGTTTGCTTTTGATGAGCAGTTGGAGTGGATTCTGAAGCATGGACAGACGCTCAAGGCTTTGAGTTTGGATGATTGTCCGATTTTGCATTATTGTACTATGCTTTGTGGATTTTTGGATGGGAGACGGGCGAAGGGGGTCGAGGCTTTTGAGAGGGAGTGGGAGGCGGAGGAGAGTTGGAGTTATGAGGGACGGTGGTATATGTATTTGGAGAGGATGAAGAGGGGGTTGATGAATTTGAGGGAATTTCGTATGGGGCATGGGGGTTGGGATGAGGATGAGGGGCCTATGAGGAGTAGACATTTGCTTGGGTGTGAGATTGTTGGGGGGAGATATGTGGCTTTTCATGGAGGTATGTCGTATTGCTGTTCGCGAAGAGGTCTTTGTGCTGATGGGTGGTTTGTGCAGGAACTGGACCGAGTCAATGGATTGAACCTAGAGAACAGTGGAAGCGAGGAGACAATGGGGAGGATGTTCTGGAATGGGAGTATGACGGATGTTGGGATGATGGTGATAGACCGGATGTTCCGGATTGTGAGGAGGAGGATCGTAAGGCGTTGGAGGAGTTGCTGGAGGTTGTTCGCAGTCGTTGCAACTGATAAATCGACGACGCTGAATTTCATGCTGACAAGCAAGCTTAGTTCTATAAGTTGCACGTCATTCATTCTCACAGTTCATCAATCCAGTCCAGCACAGTCAACGGCTCAACACGCTTAACATAATCCGGCTCAAGATACAAATTCCTCACAACACCCTCTCCATCCACCAGCATCGTAGCAGGAAGCGGCAACTCAAACGAATCATCACCATTCCTCCTTGGCAAATCATGTCCAAAAGTCTCAAACACAGGCCGTAAACTCTCAGGCTGCCTCCACACAATCCCCAACTTCCTCGCATATGCATTATGCAAGTCTGTAAGAACGGGGAATTCCAATTCGTGCTTCTCCGTCATGCTGAGCGTTCCATTAGGGAGTTCAGGGGTGATGGCCACGAGAGTCACGTTTTTGGCCGTGAATGCGGACAAGTGTTTTTGGAATCCTGAAAGGGCGATGTTACAGAAAGGACACCATTCTCCGCGGTAGAAGGTTAGAATTAAGGGACCTTTGTTTAGGAGGGTTGTGCTGGTTTGGAGTTCGCCGAGGGCATTCTGGAGGCTGAATGAGGGGAGCTTGTCTCCTATCTTGATGGTTTCGGAGGTGTCGAAGTTGATGAGTTCGGCTCGGGCAGCGTTTATTGGGGTTTGGATGGTTTCTGGGGCATTCTTGGTGAAGCCTTGGAAGATGGCATCTAGTTGGGGTGTGATGTGGCTCATGATGGGAGTGGTCGTGGGAGAATATCGTTTGGGTGTTGGGATGGAGATTTATGATTGAAGAGCTCACGAATATACATATCTTCTTGATTGATCATCCTGTAATTTTATGACTCAAACGATGGACATGTCTGTGTAAGCACTATACCACATCGAGTACCGGCTTGTGTTGCGAAGTTCCCGGTGGTATGCAGTTGGGAACATTGGTCAGCCCTGCTGGCTTGATTGGATCAACACCACGATGTATCTCTGACGTCGTACGAATTCTTGACGACGTTGRAGACAACAACAGGAGCGTGTCAGATCCTCTCCAACATGACAGCCATGTCGTCAAGAAGCTTCAATCGTTCCCTCTGCTGCAATTTAATGCTCCGAAGCATCGTGTTGGTTCGGTGATATCTCGATGGAGTTTGCATAAGTTACCTATCCCATCGACGCCAACACAGTGGCATAGATCCATCTATACCAAGCGTAGATACATTCTGCGTTGCAAGTAGTGTGACGAACACTGTGCGAATGACGTGAAGTTTGGGAAATGAGTTTTGAGACTTTGGTACATACAAATGGTGATGATCTCCAGATAGCCTTTTTTTCCAAGATCACTACCCAGCCCCTTGACTGCGTAAACAACACCTTCACTACCTACTCATTTCAGACAGCACTTTCCGTCGAATTGGCGTTGAAACGCGACACTGATACAATGGCAAGCGTCCGTCCCCACGTACCAACTCTAAACGATGTCCAAGAGGGTAGAATCAAGAAAACAACGCCCAAGCCTCGAAAGATGAGTGCAAGGAAACTAGCAGCGATGACACCATTGAAGGAACCAGGCTGGTTACTCAGAATCGATATGAAGAATATGGGCTTCATCCACGACACACGCGAGAAAATAATCAGTCGAACACGATACGTGTCCCGAAGACGATCACTTTCCACCATCTGCACGGCATACTTGTAAGAGTCTTTGGCTGGAATAGCAATGCGCGAGACGGCAGGCGCTGGGGTTCGGATACAAAATACACATTCATGCTGTTGGRCGAGCGATCGGCGAATCCTCATCACCATGGCATATATAAACCTCCGCGAGAGTCGTTGACCGCGGATGCACCCGGTTACGGCTTTTGGAGGAGTAGCAAGATCAGAACTTTGGAAGACGTCTTTGGCGGTCAGGATGATTTGTGGCCTGAAGTACCTTGCAGCATCGAACATCACTTGTACCTTCTCGAGGACAAGGACATTGAGAGCGATATAGCTGGCGAGGATGGTGTAGAAGAAGAGTTTGGACCGTTCGTGAGCTTCTGGGACTRCAACATCCATTTTCAGGGCGAAACGACTTCGACTCTGACTGATCGTCCGGGCCAGGAGGTCTTTTGTACAGAGGGAATTGGTCATCCGAAAGAGTCCGATTTGACGCGTATCTGCCTTACGTCTCAGCTTGATTCGCGTGGAGAGTTCTGCCTTGATCATGTCAATGATATATTGGACGAGTGGTGCTTCAAGTATCGAACGCAGCAGAAGAAACTGTCGAGCGGATGAGAATGTAGAAAGAAAGGGAGGAGGCGCTCAAGGGAGTGAATGAAAAGTGAATGAGCGATGCCTACGAAGATGACTAAGGTGGCAATAACGGTGTAAGATCCCATGCCGCATACCGCCTTTCTCATTGCAAGACATGAGAGGAGAATGAGTTCTCGGCTCGAGCAAGCGAAATGTATTCAAAGGAAGGTCGTTACACATAAACCTAACCTCTTCTCCTCCCACGACTTTGCACATTGAGAAACGTCACTGAGTCAGCGCACAGAATGGGCAGCCTTCCCTTTGGTTCTCCACTCTCCCTATCCGACACCACCAGCTGCAATGCAGCGCCTTATCCCCTGCAAGTCTGCCACATGCTCCTGCAGCCCCAAAAAAGCAGGGCCAGCGTATGTGAGAGCCCGTGGACAGCTGGTCAAGGTGTACTACAGGATTCACAAGATCAGACTACGCTGAAAGGCATGTTCGGTCTTCAATTCCTCTTCTCATTGGGATCGAATATAGTAGGGACGGCAAGTTTCTCAAAATATCAGCCGGTGACGTTGATCAAAAAGGATGGACCAGATTGGTCGATTGCTTTGCAACTCAAGAGACAGATGGAGTAACATCTACCAGTCCGGGGAATAGAATTGAAGAACTCACTCCGCTCCAAGGCATTGTCACAATGCTGTTCATCAGCGGTACCACCTCGATTTCAAAGGCATGCCCTCACACCGATCTGACTCTCAATGCATTCACGAAGAATTTGGAGCTTGGAKGACATTCACCTGGCGATAAATTCTGCGCAATGCTCCCAACCGACCACGCCAAGGGTTACTTCTACGTGCTCCATTTCTTTTGCACTGGCGGTGCCGTCGTATATCCATCTACTTCTTTTTGGCAGCAAGTAAATGGCCAAGGCACTCAAAGATTATTCCTGTACTCATACATGTCTAGTGCCGACTGCTCTTCACAGCTTGGTTGAATATGCCATGGACGACGACCTTCGATTCACCTCACTGAAGGATGTTTGCCTTGCGGGAGCTTCTATCACGCCTCAGCATCTGCGCCAGGTCGTCCAGACACTCGGTGCTGAGGCCGTTTCGACAGGCTTCGGCATGACTGAGGGTAGTCCAGTCTGGAATGGTCCATTATCAGATCCCGAGAGGCTCATTGTGGGAGAAGATACCATTTCAGGCAAATCTTCTCCGGGAGCACACAGACGCATCTGTGCACCAGACTCAACTGGGCCTCTTCCACGAGGAGAGCCTGGCGAGATCCATGAAAGTGGACCCGGAGTAATCGCAGGTTATCTCAACAATGTTAGTGCGGAAAGCTTTTATACAGACCAGGCAGGCCGTGCCTAGTTCAAGACTGGTGATCGTGCAGTCATGCTGCCTGACGGCCGGGTATCGGCTGTGGGAAGGTTCAAGGACATGATCATTCGAGGCGGCGAAAACATTGCCCCGACTGCGATTGAGAATGTCCTGAACAAATTCCCAGACGTGGAAGCACAAGTTGTGGGCGCCAACGATGACTATGCCGGTMAAGTTCCAGTGGCAGTCGTGAGGAAGCTTCCCGTCGATGATGCTGAAGGTAACCCGGCTGGATCGCTTCTGAATGCAGTTCGCACATCGATGGGCATTCTATACATCCCAGACGAGATCATCACACGTCATGAGCTCGGACTGGTGGACTATCCACGGACCATGAGCGGCAAGATTCAGAAGTCAGTGCTCCGCAAACTTGTGRCAGACCTTCGAAAAACCCGTGGATCGACTAAGAAAGAGAGTGAGTCACATCTGCGACCGACATTACAGCAACCATCGGTCGAGCAGACAGTCTTGGATGTGTGGTGGCGCGCTACGGGCATTGCTCCCACGTCCCTGAACACAGAAGCTCCAACGACGAATTTCGCGGACTCGATCACCACGATGCGTGTGAGAGACATGTATCGCAAGGAATTGGGTCTGACTCTCAGTGCCCATGAGATGACGGTACAAGCCAGCTTGAGCAGCCAGATCCATGCCCTATAACAAAAGATGAAGGGTGATAGGCGGGACTCAGCGCATCAGTCTTCCATTACTGGCCCGTCGCTGACTCTAGACGACATTCAACTCGCAATTGGTTCAGACAACGACACGGTATCGTTTAAGAAAGCAGCAAACAGTGCACTTGCTGAGTATGGTTTTGACTTTGAAAAAGACGTCGGATTCCGTCATACCAGCAAGCGACTTCACCAATGTAATGATTCGGACCAAGATCATGGACACCTGGAACTTTGGCATTGCGATAGTCGCGGACGGCTCGACAATCGCCGCTCTGAAGCAAGCTTTGACCGCCGCTCTGCAACAAAGTCCACTTTGGCCATCCTTTTACGTCCTCGGTGACGATGGCGCACCCTTCTATGTCACTATGAAGCCCCAGACAAAGTTGTACGAACAATGTCTGACGGATTGCGGCCCCGCGGCGGCTACTCTAGCTGATTTGCAACAAAAGGCAATGGAGTACCCGTATCCAAAGCACTCCATCTATCCAGGGTTACTATTCCATGCACTTCTCTACCATTTTGAAGAGCTTAACTCGGCGGCGTTCGTCATTTACTTGCACCATGCTGTTCATGACGCTTCGTCTATGCGACTTGCGCTGGAGGATCTGAACATGAGCTTACGATCTCCGGATCAGCCATTGAGAAGCCACGTAAGTACAGTGAAAACCAAAAGGCATCTTACGCAGGATGATGGAATGAGGGAAGGGGCTTTGGAGATTGCTCGTCTGCTGAGGTCTCCGAGAGATCCTTCCATCAAGTTTTGTCTACCTCAAGGTCTGAGACGCCGCTGACCATTTTACTCTTCGCTTTTAAGTGCAATTCAAGACTTGGGGAGATATCTACCAATCTCTACGCCAATGCACCTCGCGCCACAATAGATGTAGAAATTGGCACCTCAGGCGTTTAAGTAATATTCATGAACATCGCAAAGCACTGTATCCTCCTGCCAAAGTCCCGCGTCAAGCAACAAGTGCCACTCCAGACGGCATAGACCACGAATTTGATGCTCCCCAACTATTAGATTCAAAGAAGAAACATCCGAACATCATCACCGCTTCTGTCATTCCCCAAAGCAGCCATGGCACTCGTTAATATAACGCGGACACGACACACGCATGCTTTATTTAGCAATTTCGAAGCTGCTCGATCTAGTCTTCCTTTCTGGCCCGAGACACTCCGCCATCTACCCGTTACAGACGGAACAACCCTCGCCGAGTTGAACGCCTCTGACGTTGCCGGACCGACCGTGAACGCCGTGACGAATCTGATCAAGGTCGATCATCAAGAAGCCGCCGCCATGGATTTCGTCTCGCGTCTACAAGCCGAACAAGCCGAGCTCACCAAGAGGTCGCACGCACCATGGATTCGAATAATCGACAAGCTCAATAAATTACATCCTGAGCACCTACCTACCTGGGGAGATGATCCACGAGACTCATCAGACTCAAATTCTTGACATGGGTTCCTGGATTCCTGGGAGACTATGAGAAGATCCGGGTTGTGCAGATTGCCATTCGTGCTGCGTTGGGTGTTTACTTTGTGGCTGGATTGGGAGGACCTCTCAGGCGACTACTCATATGATTGGTTTACGTTGGGATGTTGCCAATTACTCGGCTGAGGAAGTCATGGACTTTGTGCGGGATGTTGAGAAGGCGATTACATGGCTTTTGATGGAGAGTCATTGGGCTCTTCCTGTGGGTGGGTTTCTTGAGCAGTTTGAGTAGCTCGTGATGTTCTTCTATATCGCAATCTCGGGGGCCAGGTCGAGACAACCAGTGGAGTCTCAATCTCACGGATGAACATCGAACTCATCTTGTCCGCTCTGAAGGGGAATCAGATCATCAGAGGTCCAATTTCCAAATCACCAGACTATATGGCTCCCGAAATCGGCAAGTCTTAAAGGAACTCGGCGACCCAAAACGCAGAGGTACAGCGTAGAGCCAAACAGAGAAAACAACAACATGAAGTCAGCTGCTATACTGAGTACAAAATCTTCACAGCGCGTATCCTTCACAGCCAAACATTCGCAACCCTAAATCCCAACAGCCTCAATCTTGACCCTCCCAGTCGCAGCCTTAGCGCTCGAAACCTTCTTGGGGAACATCAACACGCAGCAATCCAGCTTCCAACTTCGCAACAACTCGATCCATCTCCACTTCCACAGGAAATTGAAATTCCCGTCTAAAAAACCCAATTTTCCGCTCCGCGACAATAAGCCAAGGAGGCATATTAATCCCATTATCATAATCCCCTTTCCCATCACTCGGCTCCCGGGGTGGTTCGATTTTATCAACTCTACACAAAGGCTCAAATTTACCCGTCTCCTGCTGCAAATCCTCTTTCTTACCGCTGGACTTCTGCAAACGATCTCCGTGAATTTTCGGACGAGGGGTGCTTTCCACTAAGAATGAAACTCCTTGGACCGTTCCATTCGAGTTTCAAGGAATCGGCATCGCTAATTCCAGGAACTTCAATGTCGATGGAGAAGGTGGTTGATCCCGTCGCTGATGTCTACGTCTGGGTAATTGGGATGTCCTTTTTTGATTTGGAGGTTGGTGGGAGATTAGGCTGAGGAAGGTCGTGTGTTGGTGTCGGCGCTCGTGGGTGTGGTCTATGTACATTGGGACGTCGAAGGTGTTGTTTATTACTGGGGAGTCCATGGTGAGTGTCTGTTGCGGTGATGCTGGGGTTTAGGGAGATTTTTCTTTTTCTTGAATGTGCTGGTTTTTGAGTGATGGTGGTTGATGAGAGTGGGATTGTATCCTATAGGGCGATGGCGCATATATATATCATGGCCTGCGGACTTGCGATAGGTGAGATACGGGCCAGTGTATCACTACATGTCTGAATGTCACACCACTTTTCAGATGTCTGTAGAGTGTTTGCAGCCATGAAACGCATGCGAAGTAAGCGAATCGACAGGAGTCCAATCATTCTCCAATGTAAACAATGTAAAACCGTTCTACCATGTTGACTGCTTACTCTGCTGTGCTATATATATCACAACGCCCTGGAACAGGCGATTACACAAGTCCAGGTGTCGGAGTATCATCCGGAAAGTGACAACTCGAACTCGTTCCGTCTGGAATGGATGTCATACTTTGGATTCGTGGTTGCCTTTATGTGTGGTGACCATATATCTCGTCCAATAGTTCCATTGCCTGACATATTGTAAGACCACCAGCTCCGAAAAGTCCGCTACTCGAATTGATCGATATGCTAGACTAAAGATTTCAAAAGTAGAGACAACAACTCCCTTTCCAGAAAAAAAAGCGTTGGAGTAGTATATGATTCTCCGATAAGAATTGAGTGATCCACGAGCTAGATACTCAATACTTCAGCGCTCTAGAAAGCAGCAGCACAACTTTATTGCGGCCGTTCGTTGCTTACTCCGAAGATATGGTATTTAGTACCGACATATCATGTCGTGCGACGTTAAAAACCTTGGCTGCATTAAATAATGTTGAACAAGGTTTGAAGCTAGTTGAACTCTCTGGAACCCAAAGTGAATGCTTCGAACTTGCGGCTTCTGAGTTGCCTCTAACTCTCCAAGGCAATACACCACCGCGCTGGAATATTAGATACTCGTGCCGTACAGTCTTTTCATCTCCATTAACCAGYGTAGATCTCGGKGSTC